TCAGTTTTGCACATTTCCCTTACGTCATTTCTGCCTTATTTTTATTTCAAGTACATTTATTTAAAAAAAGAAAATCTTTTTTTTTTTAATTGGTCGGCTTTAATTAACTGTACTGTTAATTTATATTTCACCCATTTCATTTCATTTTTTTTACAACCTGCTCAGTTTTGCACATTTTCACTTACCTCTTCTCTGCCTTATTTTTATTTCATGTACATTTATTTAAACATATATATATATATATATATATATATATTTTTTTTTTTATTGGTGGGCTTTAATTAACTGTACTGTTAATTTATATTGCACTCATTTCATTTCATTTTTTTTTACAACCTGCTCAGTTTTGCACATTTCCCCTTACCTCATTTTTGCCTCATTTTTATTTCATGTACATTTTATTTTTTTTATTTTAAAATTGGTCGGCTGTCCATAAAAGGCAAGCATAAGAATTTCAATACACAAGGGGGGTATATTTGACAATAAAATCTTTGAATTTGAAAAAGAGCCAAGAGGATATCCACAACGAGATGGTCACAAGCAGTGGGTTCACTGTATTGTGCCTGATCTCTAAGATCCAACAAACAAAGGATACCATCCCCAAAGAACATTAGATCCGTATCACCAGGATCCCAGAATTAGAGGACAACAAAACAGTCCTTGAAAACATCTGCCTGTACTTAAAAAAAAAAAATCTAAATAAGAAAGATCTAAAAAAAAAAAAAAAAAAAAAAAAAACAGATCTAAATAAGAAAGATCTAAAAAAAAAAAAAGATCCAAGTAAGACAGCTCTAAAAAAAAAAAAAAAAAGATCTAACTAAGAACGATCTAAAAAAAAAAAAAAAAATTACAGAGGGTATTCTCTGGCTGCTTCAGAACCTAACTCACAACTGGTCTGAACTTCAGCTTGTTATTTCACTTTTACTGTACTGTTGATTTATATTACACATTTCATTTCATTTTTTTACAAACTGCTCAGTTTTGCACATTTCCCTTACGTCATTTCTGCCTTATTTTTATTTCAAGTACATTTATTTAAAAAAAGAAAATCTTTTTTTTTTTAATTGGTCGGCTTTAATTAACTGTACTGTTAATTTATATTTCACCCATTTCATTTCATTTTTTTTTACAACCTGCTCAGTTTTGCACATTTTCACTTACCTCTTTTCTGCCTTATTTTTATTTCATGTACATTTATTTAAACATATATATATATTTTTTTATTGGTGGGCTTTAATTAACTGTACTGTTAATTTATATTGCACTCATTTCATTTCATTTTTTTTTTACAACCTGCTCAGTTTTGCACATTTCCCCTTACCTCATTTTTGCCTCATTTTTATTTCATGTACATTTTATTTTTTTTATTTTAAAATTGGTCGGCTGTCCATAAAAGGCAAGCATAAGAATTTCAATACACAAGGGGGGTATATTTGACAATAAAATCTTTGAATTTGAAAAAGAGCCAAGAGGATATCCACAACGAGATGGTCACAAGCAGTGGGTTCACTGTATTGTGCCTGATCTCTAAGATCCAACAAACAAAGGATACCATCCCTCATTTTTATTTCATGTACATTTATGTAAATCATTTTTTTTATTTTAAAATTGGTCGGCTGTCCAGAAAAGGCAAGCATAAGAATTTCAATACACAAGGGGGGTATGTTTGACAATAAAATCTTTGAATTTGAAAAAGAGCCAAGAGGATATCCACAACGAGATGGTCACAAGCAGTGGGTTCACTGTATTGTACCTGATCTCTAAGATCCAACAAACAGAGGATACCATCCCCAAAGAACATTAGATCCGTATCACCAGGATCCCAGAATTAGAGGACAACAAAACAGTCCTTGAAAACATCTGCCTGTACTTAAAAAAAAAGGACCGGCAGACGGAGATGGACGAAATGAGGCACAAGCTCCAGGACAAGGAGACAAAGACATAGGAGAGAGAAGAGAAGAAAAAGGAGACTATCCAGGACGTCAACATCAACGTGCCTGAGACTAGACACCTGTAAGAACACCTTCCTTCACCTCCCACTCCATCCTACCTCATCCATCTACCCTGAAAAAAATATTCTGAAAAGAAAAAAAAAAAAGGACCGGCAGACGGAGATGGACGAAATGAGGCACAAGCTCCAGGACAAGGAGACAAAGACATAGGAGAGAGAAGAGAAGAAAAAGGAGACTATCCAGGACGTCAACATCAACGTGCCTGAGACTAGACATCTGTAAGAACACCTTCCTTCACCTCCCACTCCATCCTACCTCATCCATCTACCCTGAAAAAAAAAATTCTGAAAAAAAAAAAAAAAAAAAAGACCGGCAGACGGAGATGGACGAAATGAGGCACGAGCTCCAGGACAAGGAGACAAAGACATAGGAGAGAGAAGAGAAGAAAAAGGAGACTATCCAGGACGTCAACATCAACGTGCCTGAGACTAGACACCTGTAAGAACACCTTCCTTCACCTCCCACTCCATCCTTCCTCATCCATCTAGCCTGAAAAAAAAATTCTGAAAAAAAAAAGATCTAAAAAACAAAACAAAAAAAACAGGGATACTCTGGCTGCTTTAAAACCTAACTCGCTTGTCAGGATTTCACTTGTACTGTACTGTTGATTTATATTACAGATTTCATTTATTTTTTTTACAACCTTCTCAGTTTCCCTTAAGTCATTTCTGCCTTATTTTTATTTCATGTACATTTATTTAAATGTGTTTTTTTTTTTTTTTTTTTAATTGGTCGGCTTTAATTAACTGTACTGTTAATTTATATTGCACACATTTCATTTCATCTTTTCATTTTTACAATCTGCTCAGTTTTGCACATTTCCCCTTACCTCATTTCTGCCTTATTTTTATTTCATGTACATTTAAGTAAATATTGTGCCTGAGACTGGACACGTGGAAGAACACCTTCCTTCACCTCCCACTCCATCCTACCTTATGCATCTCAAATAACAAATAAAGGAAATGTTTACCCCAATCTGCTGTCTACTGGTTATCACTAGATTGTACTTACAGACCAACTTATTTTACACTGTAGTGAAATTTTACATTTCACTACAGTGATTCACTTATTGATGACACATGTAGACATTAGTAATTGAAATATATTTATTAACTTGGACAGTAAATGTTGAACACAGATACATCAACCGATTTGTATAGTCCTATACAAACAAACATGTTACAGAAATAAAGACATTTAAATAATTAAACTAATGAATATTAAAACCAAATATAAATAATAAAATGATAATATTTCAATGTACAAAGTCACAAATGCAAGAAACCAATATATAAACTAATTACAACATGAATATTACAAATAATTGCACTTAAAATGCCAGATGGAACTTTTCTGTGTGGCATCCAGTTCTAGCTGAAAGAACTTTTGTCTTTCGTGCGGCCCTTCTTTTGCCCCGGTTGTTGTTGTTGTTCCTGTTTATGTTGCTGCTGCTTTTCCATGATGTTGGGTACAATCTTCTCAACAGAAGCTTGTGTCAGCATCTGAACAGGTGGAGGTGGGTGAACAATTACAACAGACATCGTAACAACCTGCACACTAGTAGTCTCACTCGCCTCTGTCAGAGAGTGACAGAGTTTCTGCCTCTCTTGCAGTTTTTCTGGACTGACGTTTAAAGAGGAACTGGTGTTCAACAATTTGCTGAGGTGCTTTACATATTGTAGAACATGTAGTTTTGTTGTCGGGTGGAGCATGCTGTTGGGGTCTGTGCAGGAGTTGTGAACTAGAGCAGCGTAGTCCTGGTCCACAAGCTTCAGCATGTCCTTCTGCTCACGGTGTTTGTTGAGCAGCAGGTCGATAACTGCCAGCGACGGCGGACGTACACAGCAAAATGTCCAGTGTTGAATTAACTCCCACAGAGTTGATTTCAACACTTTTTGAGAGTTTATATAGCTCCACACTCTCCAGAGTTAAATTAACACTTTCAAAATAGTTAAACATTTAACACTCTACCAGAGTTCCTTTATTAACTCACAAAACAGTGTTAAAGTAACACTGAGGGATTAGACAACTAACACTGCTCCGAGTTAATTTTTTTAACTATTTTGGTAGTGTTAATTACACTCCCTAATGTGTCAATTATCTACACTGAAAAAATGTTAATTCATTTTAAATGTATTAATTAAATATATACTTATATTAATAAGAATTCATCACAATAAAAAACATTTTCAAAAACATTTATTCCTTTTCTCCCTTGCAGTCAGTTGAATTAAAACATTGTGAATGAAGGTATAATGTACAAACTTTCATCCAAAACATTATATGAGCTTTGAATATGAAACGGTTTATGAAATTTAAGCGCAGACATTTTTAGTAAACATCTTTCCGCACTTCGTAATACTCTGAATGCATGATGATGGTCATGAAAATTCTCTGTAAATAGCTTGTTTGTCAACACATGAAACAGGTCAGCATTGTTATAGCTTCTTACTCACAGGGTGAGAATGCTACTGGCTGGTTAAGCAGTCTTGCTCTCAAGTCTTTAACTCTGGGTGACTCCTTCATTTTCCCCACATCAATGTTATACACTGTTGTCTGCAGGAATGTATAAAAATTCACAAGTGCCACATCGTAAGACAAATTAAACACAAAATGTGCTTTGAAAAGTTCATCACATGCCCCGAGGGAGCGGTTTGCCTTGCATGGGATGAGACGCTTATCCATGGTGATGTAGAAGCTGTCAATCTTGCTCTTCTGACGCCCAACAGCGAGGAGGTACGGCTGCCGACCCTGCTGGTTGCGGAGATGCTCCTCCAAACTGCAGCATGACTATGGTTGAGATCAGAAAACTGAACATTAGACACAAGAATAATGTGCAGCCAAATAAAAAAACATTATAGAAGTGATTATTTAAACATCTTATTGGCTAGTGCAAGATGGGAATGAAGACATAATTACAATCCACAACCCTCATTTACATATGTGGCTAAGAAGTTGACATGACAAATTATTATAATCCCCTTAATAATATAATTACCTTATGAAATACAACAAGTCTTTCAACTGCATCACATGCACTATTTTTTGGAGACTTCAGTCCCCCTGGAGGTGGTGGAAGGAGATGTAACAGCAACAACAGGGAGGCCATTTCTTGGTCGTAGGCTGAGGACAAACAGTCACAAGAGTTAACTAAAAACTTTTCAAATGTAACACGTTAAGTTTGAATGAGAACAGGGAGGCATTATGACAAAGTTTTAAACAGTCATCCATCTATTAGTCAAACAAACTTCTGACGATGCTGAAAGGTTTCTCTCATCTTCTGGAAAATCAGGGAATTGTCTGCTGTATGGTTAAGCAAAGACATGGCCTCTTGGCAAGCATCACCATCAAGCTGCCCTTCAACATTAACAGTCCTTTGCCAATTTGGGCCTCCTGGAGAAAAGTCAATTGGGCTATTTGGTGGCTGTGCAGAATCTTCCTCTGGACTGTTTTCAGACGCCAAGAAATGTACCCTGTGCTGCTTGCAGCATCATAGAAGTGTTCCTGAAATGAAAAAAAGAAATGTGTTGTAATACCAGGCTCATGAGAAATCTCACGGAATTCAAATATCAATGTCATCCACACAGTTTTGGGTCACAACAAGACATGGAAGTTTAAACAATAATAATGCCTATTACATAGCCCTTCTTGGAGTATGGATCCTTAAGGGAAGGGAACAGCGTCACTATCCCACGTGCATAAACTTCTGATTGTTTTAGTGGGGCAGTGCCTGAGAGGAGATATTAAATTAGTACATTCATGCAATGGTCATGCACAAATAAAAACAATGTGAAACAAACATACCCATGATTGTCAAGACACGTGAACTAGACACGTGAAACACCCGTCTGCATGTTGGGACACGTTTTTTGCGGTCCCTTTGATCTTCAAAGTGAAAAAAAAAACGTCAGCTCCAGCCTCAAACAAGATTTTATGCAGTTAAAAATCATAATGCTTTGTATTTCCTAGCTTTGAGCATGCCTGTGAATTGTTAAATCATTATTGATAAAGTTGGAGAGTTTTAGTAACAAACTGTTAGCTAGCTTACCGTACACTGCTAACTAGCTAGCTAACCACGAGGACAAATTTACTGTTCAGTCCTGGCAACAAACACGGCTGTGTAAGGCATATATTCTCTGTGGATATTTAATTGTTCATACTGAAATTCTCAGCATCAATTTTTAATTGTTTCAGTAAGTTTAACTTAATTGCACTTACCGTGTAGTGCTGCATGAGAGGTAGAAAATGGCGCAGACTTGTCTTCTCTGTCTCTAACCGAAGAGGTGAAAGGCGTGGGCGGAGCTTAATTACGTCTCTGCGGAGTTGGGTTAACACTGACATGATCAACTCTGCCAAATAACTCCAACACTGAACACCATTTAAATCAGAATGTGTTGAAATTACACTCTGGGAGTGAAAATCAACTCGGAAATTTTTAACCCTGAAATTTCAACACTCCAATTTTTGCTGTGTAGAGTTTCTACAGGAACAAAAGACAGAGTATTATAAGTCATTCTGACCTAGAGAATCAAATACTTGTCTAATAAATATAAACTTTCATTAAAAGCTCATGAAAGACTGGTATTTGTATGTGAATGTTTATTTAATAACACCCTAAATATATTTTCACATCTTGTAAAAAAATGGATAAGTGACACAAATGTATGGAGAAAACTGGAACACCCTTGAACCTCCGACTGTGTAGCGAGTGGATCACTTTGAGGAGGTGGATTCGGGGCCTGGGTGTGATCTGTCTTGCTGTTGTGCTTGTCCCAGTCCAGAGGAACTGAGCAAAGGAACTGAGCAAAGGAACTGTACAGGGCGGGATGCCACCGACACACACTCACGGAGGAACCGCCTCATGCAGTGAAACAAGTCCAGCTTGATATTAATGTTTGCATTAAAATGTGATGGTTGCCAGACGTGACATTGGCAATCTCTTGTTCTCCAAGAATCCCATTTCAGATGTTCTCCTGCAGACGACTCTGCCACCTTAAGTGCAACACAGCAATCCCTGAAAGAAAAAAGAAAAGGAAAGCCATCGATGTGACAGCAGTCATATAGACCACCATGTGTGCACCGGTGGATATGGTCATCAAAATAAAATTGAATGCAAAGGGCTTTTCTTTAATGAAACTGAAAAAAATGAAAAGTAATCTAAGTTGTTACTATGAGCTGTTTGTGTCACCAATGATGGTTAAAAATATTGATATAATTTACCTGTCTACCCACTGTTATTGTGCCTTTTCTATGCCTGCAGCGCTGCAGCGCTGTGCCAGTCCCCAGTACATGGGCTTCAGGGACTTAAATTAACTTTAAGTTAAATTAACTTTTTTTAAAGTAAGATTAAAACTAGTCGTGATGCCAAATATATCATATATTATCCTAATCATTGAGGCATTAATGTGTTTAAATTTGACTGACTTTAAACAATTCTGGTGGTTTAATCTATTACAAGATCCTCATTTATTAGTTGAGTAACATCTGTGATATGCAACTAGTAATTAATGCAGTCAAACACACGTGAACACAACTATAAACTAACATGTGGCGTGACACCAACATAAATTATATTTATAGTCATGCTGCATATTTATCTTAATAATTATTACACATTAAATGTCATTGACTTACTGTTTAGTGACTTCCTCATAGCGCGAGGTCCGACGAAGGTGCACCGTCGCTTCGGTGCTCTATCCCGGGTAGACTGACGGAGAATGACCGGAGAAACGCTTTACATCCGGGCAAACGCTCGGTCCGCACAACAGCGCCACCGGTGGCCAAAGATATATTACACCCGCAGTGGTTTAGCACAACCATAGAGAATGAATGGGTTTTGGTGTGAAAAGGGCACGCAAAGGACACGCAAGGGGTTCATTAGTGTTTCCAAAAAACTAATTCCTCAGAATTCCAAAAAGAAAAGAAGTCTGAAACACTTGCAGCTCTTTGTTTTATCCTCCAGATGTCAGTCTTGGTGATACAAAAGAAGCATTGAAACACCTTCTCTTAGCAACTTCTATAAAATGAACACAAAAACCTCATCAACATATGTTTTAGAAAATTAGTCAGAAACAAAATATGGTTATGTTCTGTATCCTGTCCTGTCCAGTTAAAAAAAAAAACATGAATTACACATGGCAGGTTTACTTGAGAATAAACACAATTATATTCAACTTTGACTTGTTATAACCCCAACAAATAAATAAAAAAGGAATTCACAGTTATTATCAGAATTGTGCTCTGACGTCTGAAACATAATTGTTGTCTGTTGGGATATATCAAATTATAAAGGAACAATTGATTAGATAAAGCTAATTTATAAACAGAAAAACTCCCAAATTAACGCCCAATTCGATTTTACAACTGGGGAAGTTACTTTCCGGACCTATTGAATGATTATCATGATGCTCATATGAGTCGAATGTGGCTGATTCAATTTGATTCTTCATCTTAATACACAATCGGTCTCAGGCATACTAAATGTTTCCACATTACCGTGCATGCAACAATCTTTTAAAGCTCTTTTGTATTGTCGCTCAATATTGTCCATTCATTCAAGTAGTATTTAGTAATAACATTGGTTCACAGTGCTACGGTCAGGGTGTCCTGTTAGGTGCTGTTTACATGCATGGGCTCATTCCCTCTAATGTTCTGTTTTTTTCTTCTGAAGTAGAAGACCTTATGTGAACTCCTCAGGTCAAGCTGCCCTCCTCCTTGGTCCAGCGAGAGGGCTTTGAAAGCCAGATACAGAAGAGGCAATCATCCATCCATACCTGAAATTAGCTGCTGTCTTCATTTAATGGACAAGGGTTCATTGATCAGTGCAGACTGGCATGAGCCCAAGTCCCAAGAGCTACAAGTCCATCTCCTATTTTCCATAACTGTGGAACCATCTTCAAAAATAAGGACCAAAGAGCATTGTGATCATTTTTATGTACAAGTGGTTTAGCAATAGTGTTTAAAATGTAAAAACAACAATCTACTTTTGGTTGAACTATTGAACTGATCACAATTAAGCGACCAAATGCATCTTTAGGGGCAAGCAAGTTGTCTGTGTGGTGTTTTCTTTTTGCTGTTGTTCATGGCTCCTCTGTGCAAGGCAGGACCTGACGTGGAGGACAAGGAGGCCCTCTGGGCACTACTGTAAAGAGGAGACTCCATATGTAGATAGTTCTTAATCTGCAATTGTGTTGTTGTGTTGACATACTTTTCTTTACTGTTTTCTTAAATTTAATAAACTTCAAACTACTAACACATTTATTCATTGTCATTGATTGTATATGACTTTTACTGATAACATAATGCAATATAGCCGCTTTGTGTTGCGTTGCTTCGCATCGCGTCGAGGTCTGTATGATCGCAAAATTCAGAGTTTACCCACCTCTAATTTTACCACTACAGCACTGACAGTGAGCACATCTCATACTAAATTATATAGCACGTTATTGTAGAGTAGTTAGGGTTAAACCCCACTAACCACAGCTGCCAAAAACGGCGCCTCGTTTATTCTTTGCTTTATTTTTAAAGGATTTTCAAGAGCTAACGTTAGCTATAACTTCAAATAAGCACGGCTGACATCTTCAGGCTAGGAAACTCCAAAGTAACGTAACTGTGGCGTTTTATCTGATTACCTGCTCGATTGTCCCCCAGAGAATTACAATAACCCGAAGGCAAATTCTCCAACGAGAACTCAACCGCGATGCTAAACGTCTGAATCAGCCACATCACGCCCGCGTCATCGTGACGTCACCCTGCCACTGACATGATCGGCTCATCAGCCCCATCTGGTGCCCTGGAGGTGCAATGACATGGACGAAATGCTGAAATATTTCTGTAAATTTGGACAAATTTCTTCATAGACTGGTGCAGAAAGGGGGGGATTCCGACAAGAAAACGTGCTTTAATGGTCATTCGGTCCCCTAACTTTTGTTTTCAGACATTCTTACCACTGTGACCTTGTCCTTTAAGTAATGAACAATCAAATGAGCGATCAAGAGTCAGCACAAACCGACGTTGTCAAGAGTTTTAATTGGGCAGCAATTGTGCAAATGGACCACTTTTTTCCCCTTTGAGTCTGATTTTATCTTTCCTTTGTTCTCTCATAATTGTCTTCACCCAATTTGTCTTGATTGACAGCTTGAGAGGTTGTGATTTAAATTGTCATCATAAAATGAAACAGCCACTGAGAGAAATACTTCTCATTAACGTTGGTATGGTGCGAAAAAGTAGAATAACCGCATTTAACTAATAGTTAGCTGAGCTTATTTTGTCAGAATCCCCTAATTAAATTGCACATTTTGCCTATACATATTTGTATTATTACAATAATAATGAAGATAAAGTTAATGATATTAATGTATTATGAAATGTATCAATGTTGTACAAATGTATTATATTCCACCTCAAAGCTGTATGAGATGTGATCATTACAGCCCGATCACATAAGCAAACACATCATAATAAAGCATGCTCAATGCAGAAATATGTTTTATTCAACTTATTTACATAACATTTAAAAAAATCGACTTGAAAGTTACATTTCAATGGTATTCATTCATGTACTTTAACAATGAACGTTAACATGATATATAAAGTGCCTCCTTTCACATCTTTGGTCACCCACCAAATGTACAGCTCATTTTCATTGAAGTGCAGGAGCCAGATTTATGGGAGACTATTAAATAAAGATTAAGTAAACAATACAGATCTTTCTCTAAATCTACAACACCTCCAGCATGTGTGACCGCTCAGTAATCCACGTCATTTAATTGACAGATACAATATTAAGATAATGGCGTCTCAATCTGACTTATTAAGTCATCGTCAGCAATTCTAATCATCATTATGTGTCAACAATTAGCGACACAAAAACACAAATTTGTTTTTTCTTTAGTTATTTCTTGGCAATAATTCCATACGTCTCATATTGAGAACTCTTATATCAATACAGAGGCGAATGGTTACCCATAATACTGTCCGTGAACTGCATCAGAAATAATAAACTAGAAAATAACAAACATAAATAAAGGAATGAATAATTTATAAAAAAGGAATATATTTTGGCCATTCCAGGCTTTAAGCGAGTCCTTCATTGCTTCCCTCTCAGTCCACTGGGTGGCTCCGTTTCCCTACACATACAAAACACGCGTGTTCCTTTTCCACTGGTCTGCCTGCGCAGAGTTCAGGTTTAATTCACACGCGGCTCAGACACTTTATAGCTCAAACCTCTGCGCCGTCCTTTCAGCAGCGAAGTGAGGAAAATACAAATGGAACTCAAACTGACGCTTCAGACACGAGGCCTTTTGTAAAATGGTCAAATCCAGTCGAAATTCCTCATGTCAGTGTAAATAATCTTAATTGCAATGTTGCCCTCTCCAGAGCAAAAAGGTGTCCCACCAAAAAAGAAAAAGTCTTCATCATTTTCTTTTAAGGAATAGTTTGTATTTTGGGCTTGTATGCTCCCTTGTGTCAAAGGTCAATACCACTTGTGTGTGTATGTAGGAGACACTTGGATCATCTCTGAACAGCAAAGTAAAAAGCGTATTTTCAAAACGTTTCATCTGTTCTATTAAAATCTGACGGCGTTGAGTTCAGTCGGACTCATCCGAGCCGTTTCCCCCCTGCTGCGGTGATCATAATCCCACCGCCTTGAACTCCTCACGACTTCTTGGCGTTGGGGTTTTGCTGCTGCTTCTGCTTGCGGAGGTGAGCTTCGATCTCGTGCCTGAAGAGGAGCATCCCCAGCTGGCCGTGCGAGGCCTCGTTCATGGCCTTGGACTGCATGCACATGCGGTACTGGTCCGGCGGCAGCTCGTCGGCGCAGTGCTTCTCGTGCCACAGGTGGAAGAGGCCTCGCGACGGCGCTCGGACCACCAGGAGGTTGCTGTGGAGGTACTTCCTGTACAGGTGGACATCTTCGCCTCCCCAGCCTTTGATGTCGATGTCAAAACCTCCTGGAGGTGCAGGAGCGGAGGGGGAAGCGCAACTTTACCAGAACATCTCAGTGTGGGGCGTTAGATGACAGTCGTAAACCTTTTGATGTGCAAATAAATTAAGTAATTTGTGACTTCAGTCCTGGGTTCAGTTTAAATTGTGTAGCCTAAATAATAAGCGTCTACTTCGCCTATTCTTTTTTTATGAAGATATTCTGGACTGATGACCAGCTCTCCACCTGGCATGTTTAAAGCTGCCACACAGACGTGTGCAGTATTCTAGTCTGCTCACACTTTGTGCAGTTTTATTTGGATTATTCTGCTCGTCTCTGCCTCCCTTTTCAGACTTGTGCTCCGGGGCTAAACAGAGATTATAAATGAACCCAATTGATGAATTGTTCATTCGTTAATGTGCACGCAGTCACGGCCTAAATAAAACATTGCGTTGTCGTTTCTGAAAACACTAAACGGCACAACAAGATTGAGCCTTTGAGGCACATTTCAACCTTTTAGAGAAACAAACTTCTTTTGGGATTTACACGTTTGTTGGATTGTCTCTCTGGTAATTATGAAGTTGCCACCAGAAGCTGTTAGCTTAGCAAATAGCATGCTAGCACAGCTAGCCTAGCTCTGTTTGATGGTAAAACAAAACAGTCCAAACCCTAAAACTCAATAAGCAACTGCTTTTGTAATCCGTCTAAAAAGTACAAACCAGTTGAGTTGTAAACTAAGCTAACACCTAAATAATTACTCATGTTATTTAGGTAATCGCAAGTCAGCATAACATAGGCTACATATGCATATCCATATTTTCATATAAATGTATTAAACTCAGCTAGAAATTGAATAAGCTCATTTATTCTGTTTTTAGTTTGACTTAGTTGAACATTACGTGAGTAAAGTGGGAGCATTTGTATGCTTGTGCGGCTGTTTGGTCCTCAAACAATAAACTACTTTGAATTTTTTACTGCAGCCTCTAATTGACGTCCCTTCGGCGGGAAACTAAATAGATGCAAATTTGTCTCCAGAGTCAATATTCCAGAACTAATACAGCGATGGAGAGCTCACAGTGCAGAGCGATATGCTAATATCCTGCTTCTGCTCAGAGCTGTTTAATGCAGAGTAATATAATAAAAAATCCTCCCAGTTAAGAAAAGCGATGCAATATTGAACCACTTGTGTTACGAGGTTTTTCATATCCATTACCCTTTGGCACCATTAACACATCATCCAGCCATGTAACGCCTCTGCACAGATCACCAACCCTCCAGAGCAGCGCTTCATCAATCCCTGCATTGATGAGAAGTCGGGATGGGTGCAAATATTTACCTATGTTGATGAAGTCGGACCTGTATTGGCAGGTCATGCCGAAACCGAAATCCCTCCAGAACCCCGTGTCTTTCTTGATCACCTGCGGGGGGGAAAAGAACCAAAGGCCCTTGAGAGCTTATGAACAGAAATGTCTAAGCTCAACGTACAAGCGAGAGGCTCATCAACGGGAGGCTGCATCTGTGGATTTGGAACAGCTGGAGGGGGGCAAATATTTCCGCACCTCCCGCCCTCCCAGCACGGCGCTCTGTGCGATGTTTTCCACAAGTGGCTTTGGATTTGATTGGTGTGTGTGTGTGTGTGTGTGTGTGTTACCAGCTGTTGTTCCACAGGCGGGACGTGTTCTTGACTTCCGTAGATCAGGGTGGGGTTGTACTGGCTGAATAACACCGGGTAGAAGACCTTTTTACCTGAAACGGAGCGAGACAGGGAGTTGATGATGGATGGATTTGTTTTAGCCACACGACCATAAGCGCCTTTTCACTACACATCATTGCCGCACGCACCTAGACACCTACAAATGCATTTTAATAGGCGCAACAATGAGTTAAATCATTTGGAATTATGATTTAAGGTGGTTGCCTTTAAATTCTGCCATGTAAGAACAACAATTCAAGATATCTCTTAATACGATACCAATAACAATGACGTTTCATATTCATTAGACCATTACATCCTTATAGACATCCCACTTACAATTTTAATTCAAGATATTTGTAAATACATTTTAAAAATAGTCAAAAGTGAACAAAATTCAGATTTTTCCTAAAAGGCCTAATTCAGCATATGAGGTCAAAATTTAGATCTCAATTTTTAATTCCTGAAAATCATTACTTGACTATCCCACACAAACATTCCATATTCAAGATATTTTTGCAAAAGCATGCCCTGCAGCGTAATCGGGGATCCAATAGATGCATTGGTGGAATTGTTGAGGGTAATCTTCTCCACCTTTTACACGCTAAAAGGGCAAAAGATATTTTAAAAAGTGTCTCACCGGGCTGCGTGTTGAGTCGACACGTGTTGAGGAAGTCGGCGGTGAAGTAGATGTCCACGTCGCAGAAAAAAAGCAGCACGTTGCCGCCCTTCCAGGCTCGGGCCCCGACGTCTAGACCCCGACCCCGAGAAAACTCCTCGTCCAGCTGCAGCAGAGTGAAGTTCTTAAAATGAACTTCCCTGCAGAGATGCAGAGAGAGAGCGAGAGAGAGAATCAGAAGTCAATTTATTTATAGAACGTTCACAGAATGAATATATAAATACATTAAAATACATTTTTGTCAAATTTATTCAAAATATGAAGAGATCATTTTTAAAGTGGAAAGAGAAAATGGTGGATTTCATGGAGGATTATCTGTGACATACTATAAGAAGTCAGCTGTTCTCCTCTCTTTTTAATGAATGCACTTCTATTTCCTGCATTGCTTTTATTACAGTCACACTCAGTTAACTTGTTCTGTAATGTAAACCGGCCTTGAGCTGGCTCCTGCATTTAATACAAATTCTGATTCTCAGGCTTGTGCGTGAATCCATTTAAATTGTCTTTATTATTTCAGTTGATGCCGTACACGAATCAAACTTCCACAAACACGCACAGCACGGCACACATTTGGTCTGGTGGTTATTCAGAATAGGGGTAGAGGGCTAAACTATAATGAATAACAATAATACTACTGAGTACAAAAAGGGCCCGGATGGTCAACGGATTCCCTGCTGGATTTATTTGCTTTTGGTAATCTTTGCTTTTCTGGCTTTCATGCCTTTCGTATTTTTCCACCGCAATATTAACACATCATGACCTCATAAAGTTCACCCTCCCCAAAAACCTCAACCTCAACTCAAACACGAAAAAATAAATTACACGGGACAACAAAGCCTCCTGCATCACTGGGCTGAGGTTGTCTAAGCATGTGCTGAGAGCAAAGAGAAACAGCTGGATCCAGATGTACACAGCTGTGCCCCCACCCTCACCCCTCCGCTAACCATAACAATTCACACCGCTAGTGACTAATCCATTACTCACGCACACTCAACATACACAGACTCCTATTCAGACCGATGACACGGGAGAAAAAACTGGTTCACACGTCTTATGTTCAGAATTTAACCCCCTCCTGCGTCCATGTGATGCCGGGTGACACACAACACATGAGAGAGAGAGAGAGAGAGCAGGTACACATCTGCCGCTTTGTTACAGAAAAAAATTAGCAGAGGAAACGTGGTCGGGTGAATCACGCTCCCCACATTTCCATTGGACTGCTATGCATGTGTGTGAATAGTTTGTGTCTTTATATTCATTCAGGTGTATTAAATAAAGAAAACCGTTTAACTCCCTGCTCAGAGCAGAGAAACGTAAACATGACGCCATGTGAGGGCCTCGTTCATCTGCTCGAGCAACTTTAAAATATGTCGGAAACAACGGCGAGATGTACCTGTCTGTACCTGAGATGTGCGGTCAGTCAACAAGTGGGCGGGCCTTCCCCCCGCATCTGCCTGCAGTTTGTCAATGTGGAACAAAGTCGATCTGTTTCACAGCCAGAGTCCCGGGAGAGGCCGACCCACCCGCCGGCAGTAAACTGTCCACAGATGGCAGCGACGGAGCACAATAGCTCTGTTTGTCTCAAACAACACGGATGCTGCAGCGGCTTTATTCACGTGTTGATTCAGGCTCAACTTTAAACCGGGCGGGAAGTTATTCCGTCGAAGCTGGAGACCGGGCCGTCACATTGGCCTGAATGGATTGCTTATTTTCTTGCAAATGAACACACAAAGCAAGGATATTTACATTAAAGTTTGTGTTATGTTTTTCCTTGGTTTTAAAGAAATAGTTTCACATTTAGGGAAAACTATTTCAATATTTCCCTTAAATAGTTTTCCTTTGGGAGAGTTAGATGAGGAGATCGGTACCAAACCATACGCTAAATATGAACTCATTATATCTAGTTTGTTCAAAATAAAAATGTAAAAGATGATTAGAGTTTTAAAGAGGTTCTGTGCATGGAAATGCATGTAGAAATGAGTTTACATAAACAAAGCCAACCGGCCGCTGCCTGTAGCATCGTATTCCCAGAGGTGGGAGTGATTGCATTGATAGCAATACAAATAAAAAGTGTAGTTCTCAGCAGGTCAAGCTATTCCTTAAAAACAGATTTATTATCTGCTTGGACTCTTGTTACACATTTTTGCAGTTAGGCAGGAGGATTTTCATGTTACTTGAAACTAGGGAGGGAAACGTGCAGCTTTGCTCTGATCAAAGGTATAAATAAAAACCTAGTTTAAAAAATATATATATTTAACAAAAATGTTGACTAATTAAATAAATTGTAGTTGTGTTTCCAGTCTTCAACCTAAGCTAACGGCTAAGCTACTAGTCGTAGCCTCACATACATCTGGTACAGTCGTGAATCTCCTGAAATGATTCAAAAAATGAAACTGTGGATATTTAAATTTTAAGGGAATCTACTAAATACTGATATTTTGGGGGGTGAAAAATGTAATTATATCTTTATCTCTCAAGCGTTGTTTGTCTATGAATGTGAAACCAAGAATAAAAACATCAGGGCACTACTGTAGTGTGCCAACGGAAAAAGTCCCCTTAAATCTTGGAACGTCCTCGTTTTCTAAATTGCTTTTCATATTCTGCACAGGCGTCAGCATCCTTATCAAGCCCAATTTGTTTACTGTGGCCGTGATGGAAATTGAAATTGCATCAGAGGGAGAAGCCTGTTAAGAGCTGTCATGTTGTGTCACTGCAGCATTCCTCATCCTGTTAGTTCGGCTAAGGACAGGAAGGGAAGAACGCGGGAACTTGGGCCTCTGTGTAACCATCTGCACGCGTCTGGGTTTGTGTGATTACTGAAAGTGAAACGTCTCTATCCGTGCACGGGTCCGGGATTCTTTTCATTCCCAACAAGTAGCCGAGATGCCTGACGTAGTGCTGGCGTTGCTCTATGGCCACTTTGGTCCACTAGTCTCAACAACTATCTTTGGCACAGTAGGATATAAACACATTCTAGAATTGGATTGGCCCAAACAAACATGGTCGACATGGCAAACTAAAGGCTGAACTTCCTGATCCTACAACAATCTCGCTGCGTAATAAACAAACGGCAACCGACGTCCCCAGTTTGTCCATCGCCCCTCCGGCGCGTTCGGAGAGGCTGACGTATCGCCTGTGGGCCGCGGCGCTGAAGAAGAGGAAAAAGGCTTCTGCTGCACGATGAGCCGGGGAATCAGCAGCCACTGCACGTCATGGAGAAGAAAGTGCAAGCTATAAAAAATGCAGACTTGTTGGGATCACTGAGAAGGCCCTCGGGCCAAACCGCCACTCCAGTTATTAACGCTGAGGCATTTGCAGAACGGCGGCAAGTTCTCTACAAAAAGACTCTAGGCGGCTTTCGAAATATATCGACTTCTCATGATGTCTCAATCAGCTTCAGCGGGGTGTTTTCCCTCAGAGCTGCAGGGACGGTTTGCCGAGCCGTCTCTGAACTGCCACGATAACATTGAGGCTCAAGTTGAGGTAAAGGTCATCGGCTGAGTGAGCGACACAACGATCTCATCCTCCGCTTCTTCGTCCCGTCCGCGCCTTTCATCCCAACACACCACTTCCTTTGACAGCCATGTCGACGATGATCTTCCGCCCTCGTGGGAAAAAAACTAAACAAAACGTTCTTTATCCAACTTCTCCCCGTCTTATCTTTTACTCCTCCGACTTTCTTCGCCTCTCGTCCTCGGCTGACACACGGCGCCCATATGCATCGACCGTTATCTCGCTCCCCTCCCTCGGTTTCCCCACAGTCTCCCTCCTTTTCCATCTGCTCTTCATCTGAAGTTGTTCTCCATCGTTATTCCTGACGTGAGGCTCACAAACGTACATTTCGCCAGAAGGTCTGAGCTGGAGTTCAGGCTTTGAACTGTGGATGCGTAAGCGATACACTTGAAAGTCCTGCAGCTGATGTCTATTTTAAAACGACATGCACGCTGTCCGGGGGAATGTTTGAAGACTTTTCCATCTCCTATATTCTGTAGAACTGCTTTGGCTTTTGATGTACACTCCCAATTGAAATAAAAACAGTGTGTTGCCAGTCGCTCACTGAAGAATGATTCACTTGAGATAGAAGAAGCAGCCCTGAGATGCAGGACTATTCAGATCTTCTCAGCCTTGTTAGAAAACAGTACTCCTCATTGAGTAGAAGCGGAGGGACTCCGTGCGGTTTAAGAAAAACAAATATCTAGAGGTTGTTTAGGAGGAGACGGTAATCAGACTGGTTTCTAGCGGTGAATTCAATTATTAGGGGCAGAGTGAGATCAGCCACTGAGGATGCTGATCGCTGCTGGGAACAGATGTTGACTTGTTTGTGAGTGAAGAGTGCGTATGTTCTCTGTGTGTTCTCGCACGTCTCTATGTGACCCAATTTGAGCTTTAGACCTTCGCAGTAAGGCAGTTTAGTGCAAATCCTCAATGCTGGTTTTCTTGGGGCTTTGAGCTGGAATGCGGAATAAACATTTGATACAAGCTTCTCGCGCATGTGCTCAATCTGCTCATTCATGAATTTATCCAGTGAAATAACACAAACTATTATTTTTGGATTCACTGAATCATACAACCACAACAACAGAGGATCTGACTGCGGATCAGCCGTCTCCGGAGGTGTGAGAGTGTGTGTGTGTGGGGGGGGGGTCTGTGTGAGAGGTTCAGCGGCAGTCAGGGACGATCACGGGCACGTTGTAATTCACCCGTGTTGACTGGTGGCTCTCAGCTCCGCGGCGTGGGCGGAGCGCTGCTCCATTATTCATCAGACGGATGACTGGCGGTGGCAGGACGCAGAGCCAGGAGGTGTGTGAGTGAGTGTGTGTGTGTGTGTGTGTGTGTGTGAGTGTGTGTGTTTGTGCTTCTGAGCAGACGATGAGCGGCCCCGTTTATTTCATTACATGAATCGCTTTCTACGTTGTGCGTGTGTGACACAAAGAGGAGACCCAACCCACCAGGATGTGTTCTCCAGAGTGCTGCGCACTTCACTCATCTGCTCCTTCCCAAAATACACCACCGTCAGATGGACGCGGCCCGTCCTGGCGCACACAGACTTCCCTGCACGCAGTCACACACACACACAGACACACACACACACACACACACACACACACACACACACACAGGAAGGGACATTATAGATGAAAGCCTTCTAAAAACTCAGCAGGAAGGAAAAGCACTTTGGGGAAAAGAGGGTTTGTAAAAATTGAAGGCTTGAACCAGCAGGTTTCAGCCTCTAAAACGTGATGATTTACGGCTTTTTCGGTTTCTGCATCTCTTTAAATTTGATCTCGCCGGGTTGGTTTTTTAGAAAACATCCATTAAAAAAAAAAAAAAAAAACACCACCGTAGGAAATGAGAGATTGTATCGCTCCTAATCTATATTAATTAACGACAAAGATAAAAAAATATTTAATTGCTCGCGGCAAAACTCTCCACTCTCTACTATCATGAAGGCTCTGCTCATTCTTCAAGTGTGCTGAAGCACAGGGAGGAGATTGTGAGTAACAGAGAGCCGAGGTGGGAGATGCCTGCAGGCACTTTGATGGAGAAATGTCAAATATATCACACACATGCTGAAGAGAATTCACCTCCTCTCCCACAGCACGAGTTTTGCCCTCGAGCACACGGGGAAAATGTCTGACAAAACACAACCAGATACCTAAAAATGACTGAATAGGTGCACAGAATATCAAGTCTTTGAATGAAACAATTGTAGTGTTTTTGTTCATTTATTAAATCCTTTCTGCACATGCTGAATTCATTTTATGGGATCTGAGACGGTATTTTTGTCACTGAGTAGATACTTCCTGATGAATTCGAGAGCAAAGTCGCACTTTAAACTCCACAATGCTCGCCTGCAAATGTGTGCAGTTTATCTCCATATTTCTGCACCTCGGGGGGGGGGACGGGTGCATCTTAAACGCTGGTACTTTCCAGGCTCGGTGTGAATAAAGGATATTTGATGTACTCGCAGTTACTCACCGTTATCACCTCCTAAGCACAAACACAAACACACACACACAGTTTCTCCCGGTTACCCCTTTAATATGGATGAGCTAAAGTGTTTGCTCAGCGACTCTTTCCACCAAGTACCCTCTGGTCTGCCCAGGGGGGATAGGGGGGGGGGGGGGGGCATCTAATGAGCCGCTGCGCTGCTTCTAAGGAGGATTTACCTTGTAAATGGAGCTGTGATAAACAGCAGCAGCTGTCCGATAAATCACAGACATTGAGAAAGACGTCCCCAACTGATGGTGATGGACGGCGGCGCCGAGAGGAGGAGGCTGATGATGTTTGGACCGCTGGGCAAAGCACGCGCCCGCTTGCATTTATTTGTTATGTAATATGGTTTATTTGAGAGGCTTAACGGCTCCGCGCATTAGAATGTGATCGGTGTGGAGCTACATTTCCTGTGGTAACTGATTAAAACTGAGCTGGGATCTTTATTCATCCTCTTGCCTGAATTATTTAAATTGTTTACATACTAATTATGCCTCCCGGAAGCAAAATAAATTACTGATACACTGCATGGTGCAGTCCCAAAAATATTTATTTAAATATGCCCTAAAGGCACAAGCGCATAACCGATGTTATTTTCTGTCCTTGAGAGTCGCCCGCATTTCCCAATTAAAATGTAAAACTAGAATAGAGCCGGGTTTGAATAACACCGTATCACATCTCCCCGAGTTTAGTGTAACACAACAAAGCGGCTTGAATAATTCATTGTGGAACTTCTCCGTGCGCCACGCTGACGGCTGGAAACAAGGAGCAACAACCCTCGACATCCCGAGAGGACGTCCGGTGCTCGAGTCTCACCTGAAGTTGTGCATGAAATGTTTGAACTTGTCCGTGCGCCTGGAAAGCGGCACGATGATGTTGATGGGGACGTTGGCCGTGTTCACCTTCTCGTTTTTCACCTTCATCAGCGGCCCGAAGGGCCGGAAGAGGACGAGGCGTCTGAACTCATTACCCGACTCCCCTCTGAAGGTCAGCTCGTACAGCGTGCCTTTGTCCTTCTCGGTCCGGGTGATGCCTGACGGGGGCAAGGGGGCAAACACACACACACACACACACACACACACACACACACACACACACACACACACACACACACACACCCTTAAACAACATGTTGGTGCCAGTGACGTGTTCTCACTATATTTACTAGATAAACATGGTTGAAGAACTTCTCATCTAACTCTAACTTTCACAAAATTCAAAACTTTAAGAGAAAGTGTTCATTAACATTAACCTATGAACCAAAATCCACGATCCACAACTTTGTTTTTCTGTGGCTGAACTTTCTCTGAGTCTCACATTTATTTATTCCTTGTTTTCGTGGGTGCGGCTTTTGCTGAAATCCCGTGAGAGTTTCTGTGTTCATACAAAAAGGTTCATGTTGTTCCCTGCAATCTTCTAACAGCTAATCTTAAAAGATATCTGAAAAAGAAAAGGCATCAGCAGACTGCCAAAAGAGCCACTGTCTGTGCACGCGCACACAGACGCACGCACACACACACACACACACACACACACACACACACACGCGCACGCACGAAGCTATTCTGGTCATCCAGACCATTTTTATTGTTGCCGGTCTTACGTCAGCTTGATCCTCCAGAGAGAAGTTGTTTTTCAATTGCTCGGCTATAAAAAGCATTATTACTCGCAAATGGAGCTTCTGTCTGCCGTCTGCGCGGAAAGAGAGCAAAGGGGAATTGAGCAAAAGAAGTGAGAAGTGAGACCCGAGAGAGAGAGAAACAGGGAGAAAGAGGACGAAAACACATTGCTGGAAAGGAACATCAGAGAGCGCTGCGTGAACTGGAAAAGAGCAGAAATACAATTTTTTTTTTTTTAAAAGTGAAAGTCAGAAAAAGAGGAAAAGAACAGCAACTTGGATTTAGACCTTCCTGTTCTTCCCATCAGTCAAATGCTTTCACTTCCGCTTAGTCTACACTTTTCTGTCCTCTTCTAAACTCAGCGGCCGGCGAGTTCATTTAGCGAAGCTCCTCTATTTGTGCACCGTTTCAGCCCTGAAGTCTCCCCGAAGACGCTGTAGTCAGCGAGGCCTTCGATTCCGCCTCGGCTCGGATTAATCGCTGCTTGTTCAAGATCTGCTTGAAATCAATGTCTGGGTCCATTAAGAGGAATACATGTGAGCAGGAGCTGGCTATCGCTGTTTACACAACAACACAACTACATTAAAAAAGGAGCACCAGCTCCACACAGTGACTTATGGCTCATTTCCCACCAGCCAGGTGCACGCACGCACACACACACACGCCATATTGAAGAGACGCTCCGCTGTGAATAAAAAGGATCCGAGTTAATTTCCGGAGCGCTGAGCAGAAGAAATAAGGAGGATATCCTGGTCCGTGTCCACCAACGCACGCATATTTCCGACCTTGCAGGGATTTGCGTGCAAAGAAATAAAAGATCAGAGCTAGAAGAAGAAGGTTGAGGGAAGCGCTTTGATGTATTAAAAAATGCGTTTGGGAAATTACATCCATGTAGCGCCACTTAGTTTTTTTCATTGACGTCGGGGTCACGTGTTGGTTTCATCATCATTTAGATGTCGGACTTTTGCATTAATGGGGTCAAACAGTGGAAAATAAATGATGGTTAAATGTAAATAAACACGTGTCTCGCACAAAAAGGTTTGTAAACTATCTGCACATAACCGGCTCTCCAACGATGCAGTGAGTCACGGTACGTCTTACGTAACCCGGTGGAGACGTCGAGGAGTCCTCACCTTCTATGAAGTCAGAGGGTGTGTACACTTTGCCGGTTTGACCGTTTTCCGCTGCACTCCTGCCGTCTTGCTGCGATGACGGAGAGTTGAGGCTGTGCAGGGCCGTCTCCAGCACCTCCCCCAGTTCCTCCCTCTTATCCTTCCTCACGGGCTTCTCCTCCGGGTGGCGCGTCAGCCCCGTCTCCAGTTGGTACACCCGCTGCAGGGAGAAACCCTCAAAGGGCACCACCGCGTACTCGCTGGGCAATCGAGCTCCGGCGCTCACCTCGGCCTTCGACAGCTGGCTCCGCAGGAACTCCTGGAGGTCCGCCTGCTGGCCCCTGGCTCCCCGAGAGTCCCCGAGACCACCGGCCTGGGACCCGGCCCCGGCTTCCTGCCCCGCCGCGGGGCCCCCGGCGGCTCTCTTCAGGCTCTCCTGTACGCCTTTCAGCTGCTGGCTGCGCTCCTGCAGGGCCTCCTTCAGCTGAGCGATCTGCTTCTTCAACGAGGAGATGTGGAGGCGGTGCTGCTCCTCGCGCTCTTGGAGGAGCGCCTGGTAAGAGTGAACAGCGGGGGGTCCCCCGCTTTGGGCGGCCCCGGCTCGGGCTCCCCCGGCCCCGGGCGCCCCCGCTCCCGTGCCCCCCAGGCTGGGGTGGTTTGGTCCGGCGCGAGGGAGGGCGTGGCTGAGCGGGGGGTCGTCGGAGTGCGGCGGACTGCAGGTCATCACGTAGAGGAGCGACAGGGAGCAGCAGAGGAGCACCAGCGCGCCCCCGACGCGGGAGACCCAGGCGAGGAGGCCGCGGCGCAACATGGCCGCCTGTGGCATCAACGCTCACTCCTCCGGGTCGCACGTGTACAGCGCGCGAGCAGAAATATCCCGTAGCCTCGCACACACACGCCAGCCACAAAGACAACAGTCCATTCGTGACTACGTTCCATCACCCGCTGACGAGGCCCGGCTGCTTATCAGCGTGAGGTCATTGCGTCTGAATAAGGTCATTGGTTTATTCACCGCCCGGAGATCGTAACTTGTTTTGACAATCGGCGAAGTCAGCGACGTCCCTTTGCTTCGGTCCAATTAGCTCACGTTGTCACAACCGGCGACTCATACGTGACTCATCTCTTCGCTCCGCCGCCCGGCGACGGCCCGGGAGAAGCAACGCTTCGCGAGGAGGCAGATCCTCTGTGGTGAGCCGCGGCCTCCTCATGTCGATTTCCTGACAGGGGAAACACAAAGAGCAGCGGTTTGTCATTCTTAACGTCTCGGCCTCCGACGATTACGTTCACCATCAAGCATTTTTTTATGTGGTGGTTGAATGAGTGCTGAGGCTACTTCAGTGGTTCCCCTCCTGCGTGGATTTTATTTTGCATCAGACTCGGCCGTGCTAACTATTTCTTCCTATTTACTGGTCTTTATGCTAAGCTAAGCAGACAGCTAATAATGTTCACAGCATGATGATAGTTTTCTTTTTCTTTCTAATTGAGAAATACTTCAAGCCCCTTCGGACCTCTAGAACTCCACAATGCGAGATGGAAAAACACTTTTAAAGGGTTTCGGAGCCAAACATATGATCATTATTGGATCATTTACAAACCACAAACATAAGAAGGTGGACACTGTCTTGCATCCCAGAGCGGTACAGAACGGTGCATTCGGATGCATGAATGCGAGTACACATATATATACGTTTTGAGGGAAGGTGTTTCTGTGTTTGAGGTACACTGCGTACCTGTAAAATGTGTCTGTGTGAATCGGCCTCGGCCGCTCTCGACTCGCCACACAGGCGGCTCTTTGAGCGGGCTGGCTGAAGCCGGGGCTAATGAAAAGGATTAGTATGTGGCAAGGAGTGAATACCGGACTGTGCTCCAACACGCAGCTCAATCAGGGAGGCAGGGCGTCTCTCCGGCAGGACGTCCACTCCCGACTTTGGGAATGTTTGAGGAGAGCGACTCCGGTGGGGGGGGGGGGGGTTGGGGAGTGGGTGAGAGCCGGAGAGCAAAATATGGCTACTGTGATGGAGGATCATCCTTTCAATTACAGGAAATTCTTCGTGATGTCATTATAGGAGTCCTTGAGCGTGGCTGGTGTGGTAGCAGTTTAGTGGCTTTCTGTGGGTGGTTCACGAGCGGCTCGTTAGTCTGGTATCCAAGAATAATGACATCACTTCTCCGTGACGACTTTGCCTCTCCTGGTTTTATGACTTACTGTAACAAGCTACATGCTGCCACTGCTGCCTTTAACTGCAAGCCATTCAAACAAATGAAAGCAGGCATTCAGTTCTGACAAATGCGTTACTTTGCATGTTTGAATAAAGTGAACCTCCGTTAGAAGCAGGGCAACGTGTTTATCTTCAACCAATCAGGAGACAAGTTCTACTAATAGCTCTTAATTCTTAAAACACTCATAATTGAAATTTAACTAATTTCTTTTCAACAAAGACGTCTCCAACAACATAAAAACATTAATCGTTTGACAATAAACTATGTATGGCATCAATCAATTTGTGAATGCTTTGCTGGTTATCCCCCCCCCCCCCCCCCCGCTTCAAGTCTTAATGCTAAACTAAGCTAACTGTCTCCTGTTTATAGCTTTATATTTAGGGTACCGGTATCGTAGTACTGCACAAACACAAGAAAGAATATTTACCAAAACAATGAACATATTCCCTTGAAATGATCAATGTTCTGCTAAATGTGTCAAAGGCATCCGAGTACCATGACCCTGACACAACAGAAACGCACATCTGCATCTGGCCGCACTATAGTTCTTTGTTTCTGCAAGTGACACGTCTCAGCAACATCACAAACACTAAATAAGTACCGACCCTCTGTGGCGAAGAAAAAGATTTACGAGCGGAGAGTCCCGGCCTCAGCGGGGATGAATGAGTTGATTCAGTCGTGGTTATTTGACTCCCCGCGGGGGGGAAAGCAGCGGCGCAGGAACCCTGCCGGCTGAATGATCAGGTTTGATTCGATTGGTGGTGCGATGTGGAAACCGTCACTACCATGCTTTACCCTATTCCCCCATTACCCGATCTTCAGAGGTATTTACTGAAAAAACAGCTGTATCATAAATTATTAACAAACGCACAAAAAAAGGTACATGCATTTCCAATGAACTAATATCGAGATCTTCTCTGATGGGTTGGACTGACATTTTGTACAAATATTCGATCCTCGGGGGAAGAAACTACTGGATAAATGACCGTGACCCATAACTTTCATCAGCAAGCAGAATTTCTTCCACTTGCTTTACAGTGTGTTATCTGAGCTTCACACGGGAATGAGATGTTTATCTCAACCCGAGGCGAGTTCCAGTAAACCCAAACCGACAGGAAATAACATCATTCGAATGTGTAACTTTGCATTTGGCAATTTAACGCAACATCCTTCCTGGCTTCGCTCAACAATACGTTGCTACAATTTTAAAAAGGTATTTCTCAACAGAAACAAAACGAAGCTGACATCTAATTCCCTCTGCGGTTTTTCCCACTATTTGTCTCAACATTAACGGTTTAAGGTGGATCCCACAACCGACATGTACTGTCGGAACTGTATTTACCCAAATCCTCTTTGCACAACTCAACATACGCATCACCAGACTTGTTTACCAACACGCAAAGCAGGCGGAGGACACAATAACACTTCCTGAGACTGATGAATGTGCCCCCCCCCACACATTTCATTCTCTCAGCTAGAAATAGGGACAGAGATGGAGGGACGGGAGTGAGTCAGAGACAGAGCGATGAAATAAATGATCCGGCTGTCACAAGGAAGACAGCAGAAGGAGAATGATTTAGTGTTTCGTGGCCCCAGATGTTTCCAAAACTGAGCAACCGCTTCAGCCTCCGAAGTCATTTCCTCCCCTCACGCTGCTACTTTCAGCCCGAGGGGCAATTGTGTGCGTGTGTGTGTGTGTGTGTGTGTGTGTGTTTGCCTCAATTAGCGCGTCTCTCGTCCGTTTCCATTCCAGCATCTGTCCTGGAAGGAAATATTAATGTTACCCTTTTAACAACTTGACTGTGCTCTTTATATTTGTGAAAATGATGAAGAAAAGAAAACCTCCAACAGACTTTTGCTCGTCGGTCACACGAGAACAACAGAAATCCCACTCAGGTGGCAGATGATCGGTGTGCGTTTGTGCTCCTTTCAGTCCTGCAGCCTACGCAAGGTCGACATTTAAATGTCTGAGGCGTTTGAGAAGCAACCGTTTGACCCTCTCATGGTGACAAAACGCAGCATCTCAGGCCCGCCGGCCCCTTTCTGCTCTGCTGGTATTTAAAATATTCAAGGTACGAGAGTAACGCCTGCAGCGAGAGCACCAAACAGTAAACATGTTCTCTTCAGCTCCATTGAGAGCATGTGAGTAACTTTGTGTATGACAACAGACCACATGATGAACCACAAAGTGCAAGCATCTGCTTTAAGAGGGATCCTATCAGCATGTTTCCATGTTTCAGCCTGTTAACTACATTTGCTGACCAGTTTTTCCCCTATTCGTCCTGGAGACGCTTTGCGGGATTTAAAAGTATTTCTCTCTCCGTCATATCGTTAGAAAATCTATGAGCGGACTGATGAAACTTTCTTTAGTTGACTAATCCATCGCATTGAACTTCCACTCTGCACTAGAGTTTTCCCTGACTTAAACAATCCATGCAAGGTTAATCAGTCTAAAGGGGCACTCCATTGATTTAGTGTCACACTAGTGGGAGAAACAATTAAATAGGACTGCGCGATTAATAGCCGAATAGATCTGGCCGAGCCATTTCCGCTGCAAACATCCCACTCACCTCAACCTCTGCGCAGTTAACTGCTGTCAGGGCAACAAGATGCATGCTGGGACTGCGGGGGAAAGTCTAGGTGTACGCCGTCCTAGAGAAATAATCAAAGCACAACACGGCCCGGTGATGCACAACAAATCAGCGGTGGAAGAAGTAGCAGAGATGAAGGTCGGCCGGCGCCTCACGGACTTGACTTGACCCGCTAATGGAAATTCAAATGTGTGATGGAATGATCAAACGAGACGGAGATGAAGAGACGAGTATTCTGATCCTGATGTGTGCAATCATTCAATGGAAACCGCTCGGCGGCCAAAACACAGTGCATTCACCTTTCTTAATCACAGCGGTTTGTATTAAATGATTAAATGTCATGCAAAAGGGCTAAGACAAGCAGAAAGAAAAAAGCTAAATCTGCTTTTTCTTCCCGACGCTCAAACGTGGACGTATTGATCTTTTTAAACGGCGCCCTCTCCTCTCACACGTTCACCAAACGACCCGATGAACCACAGCAGCGCGCACGCCCAAACTCCGCTCCGCCTTCATCTTCGCACGGCCTCTGCTGCATCGTGTATTAGTTACAGGTCAGGGTTGTTGTGGCGCTCATGTGTACGTCGGCCTGCTCCTCACACGGCTCTGCCCGAACCCGCCCTGCAGCCGTCTCACCCTAAAAAAATAAAAATAAAAAAAAAGGAACGTTCTCTCGGGATGAAAGCTAGGTGAGGACAAGAGGAGAGAGGAGAGATTAATTAAGATAAATGATGAAGGTAAGTGATGCGGGCGGGCTGGCGAGAGCTGTGCGCACACAGCTCGGGGTACTCGGGGTAATTATTAGGTGGGCAGAGCAGATACGCGGCGTGAGGGGAGAAAACGGAGGAGTCAGTGTGAAGCGAGCTCGTGGGAGGAGAACCGAGGAGAAAGGTTTTCTTTGATGTCTCTTGTCCCCCTCAGGTGATGTTTTCCCTCCCAGTCATTAGGGGGCCGGCTTCCCCGGAACCGCCCTGTGGACGTGCCATCTGGAGGGCCCTTTAAAAAAAGCCCACTTTACTCTCAACCGTTTCACTACAAGAGACATGTGTTAAGATCTTCTTCATCATCCTCCTCCTCCTCCTCCTCCTCCTCCTCCCTCTGCATTGGTCCTCAAAGTACTCCCATTGCTTCACAGTTACGTTAGATTGTATCAGATGAAACTTTAATGGGCCCCAGCAGGGAAAAGAGGTCAGTGCAACAGCAAATGTAGTCGGATAGATACAACTATCTACACATCTACAGTAGCACTGAAGATTGAACACGTTCATTGAGATTAGATAAAGCAGATGGAATTTGCTCGTCAGCCCTCAAATCTAGTTTTATTTCTGTTAAAAGAAAGAGAAAACCTTGATAGCTATAAAATCATTATTAACATGCCAGTACGCACAATAAATGCATAGAAATGTATGTGTACCCATTTTCACGTTTCACTTTATCGGAAAGGGATTTTTAGAAAAGGAATACTGTTTTTGCCATGCGTCAGGGTGATAAAATACATATACTGCGTAGTGCATCGGACTAAACCTTCGATAGGTCATTTTGAGCTTAATCACAGATATAAGAGGAGTATCTGCAAGCATCTCCGAGTCACAATAACAAATTACTCAATTTTTCTCAGTTATTTCCAAGACAAACAGCGGGGAACACAAACATGAGTTGAAGTGCCTTCAGGAGCAACGAATTGATCTCCTCCATAAACATACAACACAATAACATCCACAATCCAGTTCCACATTGCTGAATACTTCTGCGCTCGCGGTGGAGATTAGTCTGCAGTCCCTCGTACAATGAAACACAATGAAAGCCTGCATGACTATTCTGATAGAGCACAGCTCATCGGCGCCTAAATATGGAGCGATATAATAAATCTCAGTTTGCATTGCAAAACAATGCCTGTGGAAACGCACAAAGAGCTGATAATAGCAAACAAATTCACACTAAATAAACGAATCCAGTGCTTTCCCCAGACCGCTTGTATTCTCCTCAGCCATTCACCTTCGACACACCACTGTAATTGCAAATATCCTTGCCGCCGTTGCAGCCTCGTCCGGCGGAAGTGGTTGGCCAGCGAGTGGTTGAGAGACGTCGACAAGTGCAAGTTCATCTAGGGCCACAACTCATTACTTCCCTCTTCTCCCTGGACGGTTAACCGCCACGCAGACTTCACCAGCAGGCTGAACCAGGTCCTCCTCTGCAGGAGGACGCATGCTGGGTGACAGGAGCGGCAGTCAGCCCAGGAGGGAAGTAAGCCCTACAGTGGCACTCATAAGCTCTCCGTTCAATTGAAAATCGATTTCTTTTTTTAAATCAGCCAGCATTAGATATCTAGCGGTAATATCGTCAGAGGTAATTGGATCAACACGCCGCAGGGGCGTTACATCAACACCATTAAAAGGTCCTGTAAGATCCCTGTTATCTGATCTGACAAACGTGAGTGTATCGGTCTGCAGGGCAACGCACACACTCCCAGGCCCCCGAAGACACGCACTAAACACACATGGAGGACAACACACACACACACACGCATCGAGCATCTAATGAAAGACTTTATCTCCCGGGCACATGGACGCAGCTACATACATGTCATGAAGTATCACATCAATTTGCCTGTAAATCTTTAATGCCCCCTGCAGAGCAACGTGCACTCGCCAGTCTTCTGTTCTCCCCTTGCAAACAAGGCTGAAATCCCACATAAGCTCCAATTTCATTCTTCCAATATGAGGAAAAACAACTCAGCCAGCTTGCAAACCAAATATGTCAGGGTGCTAGGTGCCTGTTAGTGAATGCACTAAGCAGGATTACAACAGTTTTCCTGATAAAAGCCCCAGCTAGTGTGCATGTGCGTGTGTGTGTGTGTGTGTGTGTGTGTGTGTGTGTGCGATGCAGAAAGGAATCTGGCCCTTTCACGGAGTGTATGTAATTTCATTATTTGAGTCTACCCACTAGAAATGACATTTTCTTTAATCCCTCCATGCAATTTTGAATTGAAGTGCCCTAAAACATGACTCTCAAATTGATAATGTGTCTTGTATCATATTTTCTGATAAGGATGGTTTCATTCGTAATAAATAAGTCAACAATGTGTAGGATTTCTACTGAATGGATGAATTCGCTCAGTGAAAACAAGGAAGCAACTAAAAATACAAAAAAAGATCATTATAGGCCAACTCGTATTGAGATAATTTGTCTGCTTTCATAGTCAACGTTAAGCGTGTGATAGAAAACATATTTGCTTGATTTAACTTAGATATATTATTTTGTAGATATTGACTGAGTTTTTTTCCAATTGCTGTGGGAAAGTATCTGGACATGCAGCACACATAAAGTTGACATGGAACAGCATGATGACTACAAACTAATCACACGTGAACTATCACGATGTTGTGATACTAATAATGACAATATGAATAATTATAAATATGATTATTATTATTAATATTACTATTATAATGGCTATTGATGCTGCTCCATAGTGCTGACGCGGAACTTACCTCTTGTACCTGCAGTTCATCCCGGGTAGCTCTCGGTCTTTGTCCCGGTGCTGCGCTCCGGTCCCCGCGGTCCTCCTCTGGTCTGCAGCCACATGCGGAGTGCAGGGACGGTGTGTGTGAGAGTGTCGTGAAGGCTGATGGAAAAGGAGCCAACGACCACGGGAACACGAGGAGCGCCGCCTTCAAAATAAGATACATGCTGGATACAATTTTGAAGGACCACCAAAAAATAAATTCAAATAATCCTGATTAAGTCACAGTTATTAAGGTAAGAGGTCTAAATGTATATATTTTGACCGCCATTTGTATTTGCAAAAAAGTAGTCCGCTGTCAACACCAATCACGGAAATAGTATGATAATATATATTTTTATCCATGTTTTTTTAAACAGGTAATGTGAGATTTGGTTGACTTGAAACATTAAATTAAATCCCAATGACGCTTAAAAACAATTCTAATAAATAAACTATACGACAGGAAAATTCCTGATTTATCAACAAAGAGGAGTCTTATTTTGAAGCGCCACGGCGGAAGTTCTCGAGGTCACCGCGGCGCGCCTGATGGAGGCGCTCTCTGGGTGTAGGGTCCGCCGGTCCGCGCAGCTCTGCGCCTCCCTCCCGCCCGGCTCCGACATAAAGACAGCCTTGTTTGTATGTTCAAGACGCCGTTACACCGGCAAGAAACACTGCTGCCTTTCACTTGTAACGACAAGAAGTCCGACTGACTCCAATTAATGTCCAAGTCGACACACACACAAAAAAAGATCCATCCTGATCTAAACTACTGGTGGTTCTACTGGGGAGAAGACTGTACCCACTGTGGTCTCAAGTGAATTGTGTGTTATGGTTGTGTGGTTATTTGCTTATTTCAACCGTGTAAATACGTTGTTAGAAGTAAAAGAACTAACATATTACACATTTTTCAGAATAATAGACATATTACTGGATTAGATGGTGGGATTATTATTTCAGAGGGGGGACTCCCTGCTAGGCACCAATATCGTCTTAATTCATTATCATTCGTCTGCTGATTACATTCTGTGTTCCCAATTTGAATCGGCACAGACGTATTAAGTGAATGGAAAAAGTTGTGAACACGTACCTCAAAATTGCACTCTAGAAAATGGGTCACATTTTTGTAACAACTTTGAGCTGATCAGGGCAAACTACGCTCAACAATAAATATATAAATCCTGTTATTCTCATAAATGACACAACAGTGACCCCACCTGGTGAACTCTGACACTGCATCTTGTGCACCAGAGAAATGACGCCAGTATATCAATAAAGTTATAGGTTGTCTTCTGCCTATTTAAGGCCTTTTCCACATCCGTCCTTTACTGTTAACAGCTGCATCCTTTAATCCAGGGACTGACTGTGAAATTCGGAAGTCCTCTGAGAACTCTGAACGAGGCCTCGGGGGGCCTTCACCTGGCGTCCTCTGAAGCAGCATTGGATTCTACAAAGCAGACGGGTGCTTGAGAGACCGGCCTCTGCCAAACTCTGCCTAACGCGCGTACCAAGCGAGAACAGCCTCGTCAGCGCGCACAAGGGGAAAGGAGGCAATTAGGAGGGAGGATGTGAGCGTGCACGCGTGTTGGAAACAACGTCCCGCGGGCTTACTTCTTCTTAACGAGGCAACGGGGAATTTGTTGTTTTGTTCCTAAAAACACGGGACCAATGCACAGGCTGCTTGACATTAAAGTAGAAACGTGAGATATGACAATACATCTCAGAATATATATATTTTAATAACCATTTAAATAAATACAAGGTCAAAAATACACTGGCAGCTCAAAGTAGAACTACAAGTCAAACGTTAAATATACAAAAGCTTATTTAAGACACCTCCTATAGAAAGGTTTAACTGTCTATTCCAGTCTATTCCAAAAAAAACAACTACTGTAACTGGCTTGTAGTATTCAAACTAAATGCATAACTTCCTTAACGCAAATCATTTTTCACATATGCCTGAGGTTTGTCTTAGATGCATAGAATGTTTAAAAGAAGCTTTTTGGAACCTTTTTCTCGTCAAACCCTCGTTGACGCGTTTCATTTAAAAGGACTTTAGAGTGCTCAAGAAGTAAATTATATTCTGTTCCGGATAGTTTTCTTCAACTCTCTGCCGCGACAGCCCTCGCTTCCACGCGCCCCCCACCCCCCTCGTCTTCGTTCCCTAACCCTTGAAGTTCTGGAAGATTTCGGCGGCCTCCAGCCAGGACCTGAAGCACGCCAGGCCTCGGTCCCGGATCTGTTTGCGGCCTTTGTCCGTGATGACGTCGCCGCTCTGCTTCACGATCACCAGCTTGGGCACCGCCGTGATCTTGTAGCGCTGCTTCAACTCACTGAGCGAGGAGAGAGACAAGGAGAAAAGGCTTTCATCACTCAACGAACATCTGGAAGAGTTGCTGCTCTGCTCCTCAAGTGCACATGTGGGGTACTTGTACTTTACCGTGATATTTACACTCCATGTGGGTTTCAGATGTCTACTCATGTACTTCTTTGTATCGGACACAAATGGCCACAAGATTATTTCAAATTTCATGTTTTACAAAAAAATAAAAAAAGAATGAGGATTTTCTCCATTAACACAAAGTGTGTCGATATCTCCTCTTCGATTATCTTTTTGCTCTTAGAATTTCAGCAAATATTGAGAAATGTGTGTTATAATATCAGTGTCAAAGTCCATAAGTGATGTTTTTAAGTGGCTTGTTTTATCGGACTGTCGCTAGGAAGCACACAGATGTTCTGTTTACCATTATGTATGTGACAAAAAGACAAATATTTGTTGATGAACTTATTGTTGCAGTTTTAGTCTAGTCTAGTAAATACAGTATATAGAAGGATAACTTTATGGATTACATTTATTGTGATGGTTTCAAAATTCTGTTGTGTTGCTAAGCTAAGCTTTGTGTAGTATTTTCTTATTTTCCTTATGATTGGATTTTTGGATGGGATTGGATGAACGTTTTTTCAATGTGTCATGTTTACTTGTGTTTAGCCCAAAAACTGTGTTTGCTGACTTGTTAGTGGCAAATGTGGATGCAAATAAATAAATCTTTCTTACTTTATTGAGCACACAATAAAGTAAAACTGAAATAATTAGAGGAAGTGATTGACGGTGGAATTTATTGTTTCAAAGTTTTGAGGTGCCATCAGTGCAAATGTCATTTATTTAACGTTCCTACTGTGAAAATTAATATATGAGGACTTTTGGCTGTTGGCTTAGACTAAATGAGACATTTTCTTATCTCTATATACCTAGCGTTAGGCGACAGGCGAGCAATGGATAAAGCCACAACGAACATAAACGACAAAGTTACAATCAACGAGTAACACAGAACACCACATCGCCGACATGCCATTGACTACTTGTGTTACTTTTAGCTGGTAAAACACATTGAATGAAACGGGACACGGTGTGTCAGCTAATCCCTCGCAGGGTGACCCGTTTAAGCATTTCACATAAGCCGTTTAACGCTGCGCGAGAACTATAAATAAATTAATAAATAAATAAAACGGCGAGCCGCTCACTGCTTGTACTCGTCCGTCCAGGGCAGAGCCAGCCAGTCCCCGTGCGCGTCGTGGTAATACTCCACCATGTCGTCCGTCGACTTGTCGGACGAGACGAAGACGATCTCCAGCTGCGCCGGCGGGTCGCTCTCCTCCACCAGCTCCGTGTAGAAGTCGCACAGGACGGGGGTGAAGTCCCGGCACGGCGGACACCACCCGGCGGAGAAGTAGATGCCCACCACTTTGTTCCTCAGCGCCTCGTCGGGGTCGACCAGCTCGCCGTCTTTGTTCACCAGGGTCCGCCCGGTGAACACCTCCACCATGTCGGCTATGACGCGGCTCTCGGGTCTCGCTTTTTTAGCTCATTTTCTGTCGCCGTCGCTGTCGGTATCTCGACCGTTGAGGAGAGAAGTGGAGGCGCGGTCACGTGACGTTTACCGTCCGTCACAAAGCTACTTACAGCCAATCCGGTTCCTTAATCACCCGCGGACCAATGAGGAGCCGCAGCCCGTCTTGTAGTTCATTAGCCACGTGGGTTTCTTTACCAACGCTGCTCGCATGCTAGCTTCAGCACGACACTTCACAGCACTTTCAGGCAACCCGGAGACGCGCATGCGCAGAGGAACAAAACATCCCAACTGACATCTGTTGGCTTCTTAAAAACGTTTAATGGCAGTATTAGTTACTATTATGTTACTAACAACATTTGTATTATATCTGGTTAATCTTGTGTATTTACTTGAAATAATAAAAGTAACTTCTTAAAAGGTATTTCTATTATTATTTCCTAATAGTAACAGACATACGGTTTGTAGGCTATAACCCGAACCTCATTGCTAACTGTGCATGTAAGAATGACATTTTCATGTTGGTACACAACCTTTTTAATATTGGCTTATTTGTAATGATATAACCTACAAAAAGTGTAACTTGTGTGACTATTTGTGAACGCTAACTTGACCATAAGTGCACACCTGCACCGTACCCCAACTCCTATCCTCTTTCCTTTTCCTTCTTAAGACAATAACTCACTGGCTCCTCTGGGTCCCAACCATCCTCCCCCTTCTCCTCCTCCTCTTTCTCCTTTACTCTCTCGAGTTCTTCGCCTCCTCCCTTCACATCCTCCCATTTGTAAAGCCAAACAAGGTAGAGGAGGTAGGAAACAGAGCGGAGGAGGGCGATCTAACGTGCCCTCCTCATCCTGTCTCTCCCACTTTTCCTCCTCTTTCATTTCCTCGTCCTTTGTCCTCGGTGCTTCCTCCTGACACTTTACTTTTTTACTGCAATTTACAACAAGATGAATACGTCTAAATTCTTGAATGAGTGTATCAAAGCCAGCGTTTTTTCTCACCTCTCCTCCTGAAGTGGACTGAGGTCATTTGGAAGGAGACGCGGTCAGTCTTGGTCCTCCAGCGTCTCGCTGCCCATTAGTGCACTTTGCTCCTGTGTTGAAAGACTGAAGGGGACTTTTTTTCTTTACCAGGAATTCTCCTTTCCCCAAAACTATTTCCTCCAACATGACCTCTAATTCCAATTTAAGCAGCATGCGACGGCTGGTGGAACAACTGCGGCTTGAGGCCAGCGTGGAGAGAATAAAGGTAAAGATGACTATTATTTTTTATTATGAATAAATATATTATAAATCTAAAGAATATGAGCGTTTGAGGTTTACTAGTTAGTTTGTATTGCTTTGTTTGAATGTGTTACATTTCTGCGCTTGTTGATGCAATATATATACATATATAAGTATAGGTTTTGGCTTTTATTTTTGTATTGATTCATCAACCACCAACTCGTGGTTCAGCGGATTAGTTTGGAACACTAAGTTATCAATTTAACATTTAAAAATACATTTACTCACAACTCTTTCATAGACTTGATCAGATTCAGGTCTTTGTAAAGTGTGTTTGTATTAAATAATCATGGTAATGTTTTGCAATAAGATTTTTTGTCGCACTCACTGTGACTATAATTACTTTGTTTTATTAATCGCCTACGCTGTACTTCAAATGTCCTGCAGTTGCTTGTTTTATACCTTTTAACTTTCATCTTCTGTTCAGCTGCCCTTTACACATGTCTTTTGTTTGTATTTTTAAATGCTACTTCAAATGTCCAACAGTTCTTTTATAAGGAACTCAAAAGCATCAATTCATTCATTGTTGTGACTGATCCATACGAGCGTGGCGGAACGTCATCATGCACGAATCCTTCACGTAGGAACACAACATGTCACTCCATTGGTCCCGTGATTGTCCCCCCAGGTGTCCCAGGCGGCTGCAGAGCTCCAGCAGTACTGTCTGCAGAACGCAGGCAAAGACGCCCTGCTGGTGGGCGTCCCCGCGGGCAGCAACCCCTTCAGGGAGCCTCGCTCCTGTGCTGTAGTGTGACGGTCAGTGCACCGCCCCGGTTTATCAGTGACATACTTCTTTTTTAGTATGTAAGAATTTGAAACGAGGAATAAAAAACATTTGCTCTCTTTCTTTGCTTGCTCTTTTTGTATGCAGAGGAAGTGGACACAACTGTGGCGCCTCACTCCCGGATGAAACAATCCCCTTCGTAACAACTTTTATTAGAAAGATATTATATGTTCTTCGTGTTCGGCTACGACAGTATTTACATATTAAAGTCTCTATTTATATAACCTTTGTGGACTAGTGCTTTATACGAGTGTTCTCCCCTTTGTGTAAAAGTAATCTTCTATGGACTTTACAAAGCGGATGTTTGAATCATGCCTGGGAATCTCTTGCAGCTTCCTGGAGTTCAGTCTAAGTTGGGAGCAGAGAGAAGGGAAACCGTGTCTTCCTGTTCCAGACTGCAGACATCCAGCAGAGAGCCACACTTCACTCACCCTTTGAGCTTCTATAAACTTATTTACGGGCTCAAGGCCATGATTATGAATAAAACATCACTCGATAGAGTGTGACATATAATAGACATCATGAATCATGTTCTATTTATAGATGTCTGTGTTCATTGTATTCATATTTGTAGATGAAGACAACAGCCAGCCAGTCACGAGTCTGGAGCTTTAAAAACATTAAAGTTTTAAATGTTTAAATGCTTTTTTACCAATCAATGGATTCGTCGAGGAAATGCAAAACGCATTTCTCATCTTTTCTTTCCCCTCTCATGTGCAAATTAGGTCATCGTCACGCTATGAGACAATTTTATAAACCATAGCTTCATCCCGAGTTTGATTGTAATTTAATTTGTTTGTCAGCTTATGCCATCTGCTGGTCACGTCTCCAGGACAGAAAATATCTGGCTTCATTTCTCCCAGAACAGCGCAGCCAGGAAGAAGTGTAAAGTATAATCAGCTAAATGTAGGTGTTCCATGTTTGTACTTGTACTCAATTTAGAACAACAGTCCTTGTGTTACACTACAGACTATATTAAAATACCTTTATTGCTGATTTATTGGAAGAGGATTTTAGGCATTTTCATACAATAACGTATTAATGCTTAATATTTTATAACCTAAGCATATGTTGTTTTTTTGTAAATCCAATTTTGTCAAATTAATTGCTAAAAAAGTGGAGTGGAAAGTACAATACAACTAATACTTCCTTCCAAAAGTATTAGTTGTAACCATTTGAACACAAGGGGAAATATAAATGGGCCCTAATCTGCTTTGCTGGTCTGCTGTTGATCATCAATGAAAGGGAAAGCCAGGTATGACGTGAGGAGGAAACAATCTGCACAGCTCCTACTCTCCTTTAAAGGTGTGGGCGGGGAGCAGAGAGCGGAGTTGGCTTTCAGTTCCACCCCTTTTTAAATCTACTCTCTCACACACACACACACACACACACAACGCACAAACACGCATGCACGCTGCAGTCCAGTCGCAGTCCAGACAGAGTTACTTTGGGCCGTGTGTGTGTGTGTGTGTGTGTGTGTGAGCTCTCGCCTCAAGCTTTCCTGGATGACCACGAGCCAAACTACCATCAATGAAGGACCACGACACGAATCACCACTGGGGAACTTCCACTGCTCGTCCACACCTTTTTCAAAGGTCGACAACCTGTGAGGAAGGATTGATCTGGTTTCATCTCTATCAGTCAATGACCGTGGACTTTCACGTTCCGGAGAAGCGCTTTTATCAAGTGAGGAGATGGCCCAGGTGTGCAGACTTCATGTCCTGATAGCAACAGGTGAGGTTTACGGCTCTTTCACCCTGTTCACTTTCTCTTCTTGTTGGTTGTAAACACTCGCTTGGCAAATTGACATTGACATATGACTGTTATTTTGAACGTGATAACGTTGTTCGTCCTGAGGGACGTATAGTGTTAAAATGGCTTCGTGTGAGTTTGTTTTTTATCTTATTTCCCATTGCTATCGCACCTTTTCATCATCCATGTGTAATGCCGCTTTAAATGCAGCGATCCTCCCATGAGCTATTTTTATACAGTAGATTCCAGTTAATTATTGAATACTGTGATCATTGTCAAAACACTCCTCCCCAACGTGCAATTAAGTGCAACATGACACTATCCTCATGTATGTAAAAATGTACTGAGCCGGCGGTAAAGTTTATGTATGACAAGGTCTGTTAATATATTTTAAAAGTGTGTGTGTGTGTGCGTGTGTGTGTGTGAAAAGAAGAAAGAAAAGAAGAAAAAAGTGGGCGTGAACAAAATAAATCTCCAACGCTTAAAAGTCCTGTGACGCAGTGGCCGTTGTTTAATACCTCAGATTGTGGTCATGTGTTTTTCATGTCTTCTTTATATGCAATGTTGTTCAAATGTTTGCACAGTTGTGCACGTATTTGTTTGTTGCGGTCGTGTGTGTGTGTGTGTGTGTGTGTGTGATGGGCTTTTTGTTTGTGTCTCTGGCTGCAGCTCTGGCCTTATGCAAATACTCCCTGGCAGAATGGAATGCCACCGCCGAGTCTGCCAATCGAACCGAGTCCCCCTGCCATCGCCATGGCAACAGAGACAACTGCACAGGTACATGTGGACAGGTGGCGCGGGGGAGGGGAGCAGGGCGGCGTGATGAATCGTTGCTTTGAGGTCTTTACGGTGGCCGTTTCATGGATGGTTCAACACTTGTTAAAGTGTCCTTTTATATGAGTTCCGCCGACGTCTCACCAAGACCGCAAATAAACGTGTACCGGACTATTCGTCTGAACTCCGTAACTGGATATTTTCCTTTTCAACAACGCGGCCACGGTCGGCGGACCTCGTCTCATGTTTCGGTTAACAACTGGGGCTCTGATTAATGAGAGAGCCTGAACAGCAGTATTCCTTTACAGGCTCATTTTCAAAGGTGACGCGCTGTAAAGATAGCGTGCAGCGCGAGAAGCACTATGTGTCACGCTGGGGTCAGAAGTTCAGCATTACGGCCCATCGCTGCGTTTTCTCGTTTGCAATGATTCATCAGGACTTCTCTTAGGATCATATTGCAAACGGGCTATTTATACCATCGAGCCTTGCCAAAAGTCAGGGTGTAAGCTGACAGAATGGGACACACCTACAGAAATAGCTGTAACTGCTCCTCTCATAAGTCAGGCTTTCACTGTTCACTATATTGTGCAGATGGTGGAATTGCTTTTGTACTGGAATCCCTGATCGCGACCATTTCCCGAAAACGATTTTAAACGTCCTAACTTTTCTTTCTCCAGCAGACGCAACGGATACGGGCCAGTGGAACGACCACTTCTCCAGTTGTCCCGAGGAACTAACACACTACTGCATCCACGGGGAGTGTCGTTACGTTAAAGAACAGAAGGCCCCGTCGTGCAGGTATGAGACGTCTGCCGCAGATAAGGACCATCCATAAAAGTGTGGCTGCGAAAAGAGCCTGAGAAGGAGAAATCCAGGAGAGAAGAATCAAACTAACTCGAGTACCTCCCCCCCTTGTGTCAGGTGTCAGCAGGGCTACATCGGCTCCCGCTGTGAATATCTGGATCTGGACTGGCGGATAGGAGAGAAACGTCAAATCATAATTGCCTGCCTCATCGCGGGGCTTGTTTTCCTCATTCTCGTCATTGTGTTCATCTGCTTTTGTTCACAGTAAGCTTTTGTGCTTTTTGCCAGAGAAAGAAAATTGATTCACCGTTGTGTGGAATGGAGTGAAAGGAACCGTGTGATAATGGGTTCACTCGCTGTCTTGGCCAGATCTCGGGGAGAATATCGATATTTTTTCCCCCGTGTCATTGACCTGTTCATTCACAACTGAAGCATGATTAATGAACAGCTGGTTTCTTTGCCCTCAATACAAATGTGCTCTCCATCAGTCGCAGGTGCAGGTCGTGGTGGCGTAGGCGAAGACGGAGGGAAGAAGAAGAGCCGAGGAACGGGATGGAGAAGCTCCGCATGATGGACACCGGCGAGACACCCGCCTCTCCAACGGCAGACTCTGCAGAGCCGCCGCACACACACGCCGTGTGAGAAGTGAGCAAAAGCCTAAGGATTGTTGTAGACGAGCGGGACTATGTCCTCCGTGGGACAGCTGCTCCCGTGGCAGTGGGCCCCCCGGGGTCCCTCTGTGCAGGACAGGACTGAGGCCCGGAGAAGGGACATTTGTCCACAGAGGTCGAGTTACATCAAGCTGGAGAGCCGGAGTCTGCACCCTCCTCTTAAAGTGTGGCCTTGTGTGGATGTTTGATGAAGCTTCAGAACAAAGAAAACAAAAGAACGCCGATTGTAGATGACGCTCACTGACGACGCTGGACGCTGTTGTTTCCGTTGCCGCGGAGCAACAAGAGCTGGTGGCTGCTGACTTAATCAGTTGTTGCTATGTCGGAAAAAGCCGCGAGACCCGCATCTGGCAGCCAGTAATAAACGAGTATGACAAACAATGACAGAGTAATAATAGCTGATGAGGTTACTAGTTTGCGTCGGGGACACTGACTGAAAAATGAGAGGAACGGGACCTTTTGAGGACTTCACTGTCTCATGTCAAGAGATCACTCAATGTATTGATATGTGCAATATTACATAGTCCCACTTGCTGCTGCACGCTGTTTGAGTACGCTGCATCTAGGTCATGTTGTTTCCACTGAGCTATCGAACCCCATCTCAAACATCATTATTTATCTTCTGTCTACGATGCCCGAACCGCTTCAGAATACTGTTACTCAGCAACATTAGCAATGCAAGCAGAGCCTTCAATCTACCGCAAGGTCGCAGGAGGACAAGGAGAACTTGTGCAGGAGGCTCCTTTTAACTGTATATTTTGAGCCGAGCGGCCTCGGAGCTGCAGCGGCAGAACAGCGGAGCCTGTGTGTGGAGGCTCGACCGGGAGGGGGGGGGGGGAGTGCCCCACTGCTACAAGACGCTTTCCAAACCGCCAGCCTCCCGTGGGGTTGTTTTAACCGTGTATCTGTGTGTATATCAACTGCATCTAAATGTAGAAGGTGGAGGGCAGAGCCAGTGAAGTCTCAATATAAAACACTTAGACTCTATTGCAATGAGCCCCCTGTTGTAGCGGTTCAACTTTAACGCTACAACACGTAGTCAAAGAAAAGTTACTCGAGCTCAAGTTGGGGAGCCAATACTGCTGACTCATGCTCAGTCCCACTTACACGTCTCCGGTTCCTGCCGCCACTTTTGTTCCAGCGTCAATTTTAAACTGCAGTATTTTCAAAATTGTTAAGGTGAACAAAGGAGCAAGACATGCTGAGATTAGAGGAGGATTATGCTCCCTCTCCCTCTCATCACGTGGTTCCTGTTGTTATATTGGTGCTGGAGTCAACACATTCCAGGGTGAGGGTGTGAACATAATGCAGTATCGGCACGTGGCACATTGTGACGTACTCCCTTTTGGCACGACGAAGTGATCCTCTATCTGACTTGGCCCTCGGTTCTAACACGCTTACATCTCATCCACCATGTGAAGATTCGATCGGAGGAGATTGACATTGACATCACGATGGAGGGATGGACGATGGAGCATCACAAGTGAACAGGTGGAAAACTAGTTAAGGAGATAGAGAGTCATTTAAAGGAGGAGTTTCTTGCTGAATGTTAGATGAGAGGATTGACACCACTCATGTTGACGTGCCGATCTTCATATTTACCGTACAGAATTGATGGTGAACTTAAAGCAAGAAAGCGAATATATTTCCATACAGCGATAAAACTTTTATTTATTCCTCCGGATAATGCTTTGACCTACATGCAGGTGGCACATGTCTCCTCCAGCTGAGGAATACCTTTAGTTTCTATATGAGTGTTGGTGTCTGCAGGCTGATAAGAAAAGCAGATAGCAGCCGGACTGCGATAGATGTTTGATTTGGAGACGTAATAGAAATGCAAATAAAAAACTCTTCCATAAACTCACAGTGTGTATGTGTGTATCAGATGAAATCAATATGTGTAAAAGTGTGCCGTTTTTGTAGTTTTCACGACCAACACTGGAGGTCAGGAGAACTCCAACTTCTGAAATGCTGGACGCAGACAGTAACAGTAAAGTAACATCGTGCAATGTTTCAAACGCTTAATATGTTCATGTTTGTTGTAAATTTGAATCCAACAGCTCAAAACCTTTTTGAGTGTTTACTTTAGGACACATTTAGGACATTAAAACATCTGCAATGGTAAAAATAATCGCACTGCTTGAATAATGTGCACTTTTACTGTTGACAATTACATTGTTCTTGATTATGGATTTTCACTTTTAAGAGTGAGTTGACTGGATTTATGTTTTTAGTAAATAATCTGGACCTTTTTTTCTGGTGTTAATGTCACAAATATTATTCTGACACTCACTTTTCATATAAGCTATAGAATGTTATACAAGCAAGTCCAGTTCAAACATCAGACCTCTGTGAATTACCGTTACTACAGCCAGAAGTGGCCAGATGTGGCCAGATGTGACGATCATAATGGATCCATGTAAACCGAATCAATTTTGAAGAGACATTTTGGTCATGGATGGTTTAAGGGTGGTTTGGGTAAACGCATTGTGGCTGCTGCCAGTATAATAATCACTTCATGACTCTGGCTGTCAAGAAGGAGAAATAGGAAATCATTAATGTGATAGCGAGTTGTGATTAAAACAGATATCAGATATGTTTTTCTTCTATTCTTGTGCTGCAGGAGCTTCGGAGATGTTCTGTCATGTTGTTTTCTGCAGGGGAATTGGTCAAAGTAAAAGGTACATTAAAGATGATTACACATTTTTTTTCAACGCATGATCAACATGTGTTGCGGATTTACATTTAATCTGCAACCGGCGAAAGAGGCAGAATGTGCGTCATGTTCCCGCGCACTGAATCAATGCATCATGTTTTGCATCCAAACTGAATCTGTCAATCTATTCATTTTTGAGGGAGTGAAAGGGGAAGTTTGCCCGGATAATTAAACTGTCATTGAAAAAAGATAGGGGGGAGGGGAGGGTAGGGGGGGCTGTCACGTCTTCATCTTCACTCTCTTTCGATCTTCTTCGTTTCTTTAGACTACGGCAAATATCCACCCTGAAATTCTGTGCGGGCGCAACACCAAGAGCACGCATGCGTGCGCACTGCCCGCACTACACTCCTTAAGCCGATCGCTTTTTGCAGAGCGCATGCAGCGCAATTCGGTGTGCACAGCGCCGATTAAAAGCGTCGCGTGCCACCTGTCGGGGATACGCAGCAGGTATTTGATTTCCATTCAGAGAAAGACCTGCACCTTTTTTGTTCCTCTGCAACTTTTCAGGGATGCATCAAACACCTGGAATAGTGAGGGTTGGGATCCAGGCATGCCTTTAGGAAGCCTCCTCGGGGATTCAAGTTAACATGTCAGGAGACAAGTACGAAGGCTCAGCGGGGACGGTCCACGCTGCAAACACCAGCCTCAGCTGTATCTTCAACACCACCAACAGCAGCTGTGACGGCGACTCCTTCCACCTGTCAGACTTCAACCAGACGGATGTTGCGGGAGACGGCGCCGCCGTGGTGAGGATTATAATCTCCATCATCTACTCGCTGGTGTGCGCGCTGGGTTTGGTTGGGAACGTGCTGGTCCTATACCTGATGAAGTCCAAGCAGGTGTGGAAGAAATCCTCCATCAACCTTTTCGTAACTTGCCTGGCGCTCACGGACTTCCAGTTCGTGCTGACGCTGCCGTTCTGGGCGGTGGAGAACGTGCTGGACTTCACGTGGCTTTTCGGCAAAGCGATGTGCAAGATAGTCTCCTACGTGACGGCCATGAACATGTACGCCAGCGTGTTTTTCCTCACCGCTATGAGCGTGACGCGGTACTGGTCGCTCGCCTCGGCGCTCAAGGGCAGGCGGCGGCGGCCGCGCTGCTGCCCCGCGCGCTGCATCACCGTCCTCATCTGGATCGCCGCCGTCTCCGCCGCGCTGCCGCACGCGGTCTTCTCCACCACCGTGAGCGTCTCCGGCGAGGACTTGTGCCTCGTCAAATTCCCGGAATCCGACGGAAGCGCGCACTTTTGGCTGGCGTTGTATCACTCGCAGAAAGTGCTGCTGGGGTTCGTGGTGCCGCTGGGCATCATCTCCGCCTGCTACCTGCTGCTTTTGCGCTCCATCACCTCCAAAGACATCAACACGTCGAGCGCCAAACGACGCGCCAAGGTCACCAAGTCTGTGACCATAGTGGTCTTATCCTTTTTCCTCTGCTGGCTGCCCAACCAGGCTCTGACAGTCTGGGGCATCCTCATTAAACTCAACGTGGTTCACTTCAGTTACGAGTACTACACCACGCAGGTGTACGTGTTCCCCGTGTCGGTGTGCCTGGCGCACTCCAACAGCTGCCTGAACCCGGTCCTCTACTGCCTGATGCGCCGGGAGTTCAGGAAAGCGCTGAAAAAACTCTTCTGGCGGATGACCTCGCCGACAATAAGGCCGTTCACGGCCTCCACAAAGCCGGCGATGGACGAGCAGCGGCCGGTGCCGGTCCCCGCGAGCGCACCGGAGGAGCCCGCCGTCGTCTTCTATCCTCCGGGGGCCGTTATGTTCAACGACCGGCGAGATCTGCCGCGAAACAGCCCCTAGGCCGACATCGTCTCGGGTGCCACGTGCACCACGTCGTCATGCTCCTTGATTGTTGTTTATGTTTAAAGCGCTCGGAGTTCAAGTTGTCCACTGACAGTCTTCTCGTGCGTCTTTTGTTTTTCTTCACAAAAGGAGAGACGTTCCCCTTGTACTAAGAAGACCAGCAGTTTTTTGAATGTGCCAATGCTTTTCAAATATTTATGGGAAAATGTATTAATAAAATGACACAACATGTGGGAACCGTTGCTGTCCCTTGTCCTTTTTTAGGGACTATTGTTCCTAATGGTTCCTAAATGAAGATGAGGCTGCACGCAGGGATGCACAGTTTTAAACGTGGTGTGAGTCCACCGTAATCTGATGAGGTATCGACAGGTTAGATTGATGCATATTAATTGGGCATAAGTTGTACGTATTTATATGAACATTAACTAATATGTTGTCGGATTGCTTTTTGATTGATGAGTGTGTATCTGAAAAAAACAAACGTAATGTAGGTTACAGTTATTGTGAAATACTGTAAGATACCGTTAAAACCCACTGTGATTCAACAGTAATTTGTTACCCTTCATTAAATCCCATAGCAGCCTAATCTACAGTGATGAGCAGAAGGTCAGAAGGTCAAAGACCACGTGGGTGTACTCGACCTCAGGGTCGGCTCTTTTACTCTATTATTGCTTCCAGACGGTCAGAAATCGATGCCCGGTTGAGTTGACCTTAACAGTCAGTTATTACTGCACAATACATTCTTACCCCCTGGAGAGAGGGGGGCGGGGGGGGGGGTATTAGCGCAGGATTCAATGAATTTACTCACTTCATTTAAAAAATGATTTATCTCCCTAGTTGATTTATTCCCCATGGGTGCCTCTGAAAATGTGACGTACGGTGTGTATGTGTATGTGTGTGTGTGTGAGTGTGTGTGTGTGTCTGTGTGTGTCTGACATTAATCAGACTGCAGAAATCTGGCAAACCCAAACATGAACATCCTGAGATAATCACAGTACTATTTTTCAATTAATCAGTTAACACCAAAGCGTATCATTCCCTGTTAGTACCAATATGCAAACCTGGGGTAATTATGAATAATTATCTAATTTAATTGGTACATTGGAATGATGAAACCGTGGTCACACACACACACACACACAAATCCGTTCTGCTCTCACACGAGGAGCATTCCATCTGTTTGTAAAATCCCCGCTGAGGGGAAGAAAACTGATATCAATCAAAACAGAAATTCTATAAACAATGTCTGTTCAAGAGAAGTGTTGAATTCTCCGCCGATGTTCACGGAGCTCCTTTGAGATTTTTCTTGGGTTGCACCACAATTTTTTTATTTATATTTTTCTATTTATCAGGTTGTTTAAAATTGGTTGGAGCAGGTTTTCGGTTCGATCCTCGACGCCTCCTGTCCTCATGTGCAACTATTAGTTTTTGAAGTGAAACTGTAGCGTGTTTTGTGCAGTAAGATTGAAACGCTCTGTGTAAATACCGTCTATTTACCGAATAGGAAATAGATCTGAAAAACACAGAAATAAACACCCGAAACATGGGAAATGTCGGCAGAAACAATAATTATTTTCTGTCGGGGCTTTTAGTATAAAGTGGATAACAAGAAAAATAAATGTAAAAAATGTTGACAAATGAGCTTCTTTAAGCCTGCAGATGTACAAATAATGAGGAAGGCTTAATTTTGTTTTTCACTCTGTTAAATGTTGATTGCACTACTTGTTAACCACCTTTTAAGTGTTCTGAACCCTCAACGTGCTTTTACACAAGAAATCATTCACCCATTCATAATGACAGGAGCTGTAAGTGCACTGTAAAAAACAGCCCATAGAATCTACTCTACTTGTTTGAGTAGATTTCACCATGTGTTTATAGTATAACACATACGTTTTAGATACACTAACACAAATGGTCTTAAAGTCTACACACAACACTTTATACAAGTGATTACTTAAAAAAGATTAGGTCAAATTAACTTTAGACTGTAAGCACTTAATACCTAAAGTAAAAAAATCAATAAATAGCTGACAATAATGACTCTTACTCTTTTATATGTTTCTTTCCTGTGCAAATCAATTCCTGCTCGACTCTTTTGAGGCATGTGAACACACTCTGCTTTGAATATATTTTCTTTGAAAATTGTGTTAGAAATCTCCTTCATTGACAAAGGAATATGCAACACACTATTTTAGAAACCATTTTTCTATTACAGCGATGGAAGTATCAAGGTTTTTGCCAAAAGCTGCAGCTCTTCACCACTCGTGAGTCACGACTAATAGGTCTCCTCGAGAAGATGCCTGACTTGAACGAGACACCCCCCCCCCCCTTTATTTGCCCCCTCGGGGGGAAAAACTGTCACATCCGTCAACTGGACGGAATGAAGAAGAAGAATGAAAAGGCACGTTGAATATATAACAAAAGAATCTGTATTTATTTAAAACAATACCAATAAATACTTTTGCATAAGCAGGATTAGTCCACATTTCTGATGAAGAGGGCGATGAAGACGCAGCCAAACAGGGACATGGTCGAGGCCGAGAGGACCACCACGATGACACTCCCCGCCATGTTGACCAGAGCTCCCAGTCCGGCACCGACAATGATCTGAGCCAGCTGCACCATGCAGGTGAGGGCGGCGCAGTCCACCCCGCTGCCCCGCTGCCGTTCACGGCTTCCCCCAAGCTTCAGCTGTCCCTGGGGGGGGGAGGAATAAGAGGGCAGTGTTTGATGTAATTTATTTCTGTTTTACCAAACACGCCCCGGGGCAGAAGGCAGTCAATACTTATGTCAACAAAAAGATTCTGCGCCGAGATGCATCGAGACCCCCCCTGATCTGTTATTTTAGTATCTGTACGTCTTATGATGAATAAAGCTGCATCATTGAGCAGCTTCAGGCACAACAGCCACTTTAAATTGTGTCCCCAGCTCCTCTGATTCAACGTCATGGTAGGTTGGCTGAGCATGTCAGGACACAAACAACAGATTGTTTTTTTCCCCCCCTGAAAACCCAAATATATTTATGTTTTCATTTATTTTCAAAGCCAAAAGGAAGATATTGTATTTTGTGAGACCTGTTTGAATGTTAATTGTAGAATATAATTTTCTGAAGGAGAATTGTAAGTACCCAGGACGTTTATAAGTGCATTTTCCTGGTTATTAGTAATTCTCTTCTCCATTGTGTGTAGTGTCCCAGACCGCAGCAGTGTGGAACCGGCACTTTTAAAATTGCCCTCATTGCTCATTTTAGTACATCTGCATTCATTGATTAATTGTATAAAATGAAGTATAACTTTGCGGATGTGTACAGCTTTGTTTATTGTTACCTCTTCTTCCCGCTGGTACTCCGCTATCAGGTTGAACGGGATGGTGTAGAGCGTACTGGACATGACGCCGAAAACGCTGCAGAGGATGAGCGTGGCGATGATGTCGGGGAAGAGGCCGATCAGGCTGGTGCCCAAGCCGAATACGAAGTAGCCCACGAAGTATAATCCCTTCAGGCCGATGTACGGGAGGAGGAAACGCTGCACGTCTGGAAACACACAAAAGACGGCGTGCGTTAGGTTTGCTCAAGTAGACCGGACAACATTTTGCTTGATCGTAAGTAGAATTTGACAAGGCGACTGGGGCTCGTCGGCCAGCGAGGTCGTCCTCAAATCAACGGTTCGGCGGCGCGTGACTCTCGATTATTTGGCTGGACTTTGCTTCAGTCACGTTATTTTGCTCCCTTTCACACTTAATTGTTCTTTTAATTGGCTGCAGCTACGATGGCGCACATGTGAATGAAACACGCGCTTGGAAAGCACGTTTACATCTCAGTGCGACCTGCAATCCCAAGAAGCATAAGGTGCAGTAATTGCTTCCCTGCACAACCTTGTTGAGTTGTTTTCTCTAATGATCGGTGCAGGACATGCTGGCTGCTGTGAAACAAACACACACACACCCACACACTCACACATGTTCTTAGGGCTTACAGGAGTAGAGAGCAGATGACACAGCGTTGATGCACAGTCCCCAGCAGCCCACTTCCACACCTCTCTCATAAGTGGCGTAGGCCGTGGAGTTGTGGTCCGCGTAAGGATTTCCTTTGTACACAATCTGCAAAAACCAATTGAGAAATCATTCGACAATGGAAGTGGCAAAATGCAGTCAAACGGACAAAAGCTCCACTGATATCTGTCAATCCCGGCTTTTATTTGTTCTTTTCCTTTAATGCTCAGCAGGAAGCCGCCGCCGCCGCCGCCGCTGCCGCCTACACGGATTTCACCGAAATAAAGGCTGCGGTTTGAGATGCCGTGCTGGTAGGTCGGGGTGCTAATGAGGCGTGAGTACGCGTCCTTTGATCAGCCCTCACACGGTGAAACTGTAAAAGGATTCATCTTTATTACACATGTCAACAGGAGATTACACACAACAACAGGTTACTCCTCCGTCCGCCCCCACACGCACAGAAGGATTAATATAAAACTTATTGCAGCCTGTTCTTCTTCCCCTGTAATGTTTGTGCCTCGTTTGACGATGATATAAAACCAAAATGAAAAGACTGGAGTGCTTTGTGCATCTAGAAGAAGGGAATCATTGCCGCTTAAAAGATTCATAATATTCATGATATTACTGTTATCAAATCCTCAAAATCACAGTCGAAGGAAACATTTTGATTTGTCTTTTTTTGTGTAACTAACAGCCCAAAACTCAACAATATTCACTTTACAATCTTAGAAAGAAGGAAGCACAGTGGAGGAACACACAGTGGTGGAACGAGCTACATTTTTAACATTCTGTCAGAAAAATGCAGATGAGATCCCCACCTGTCCCATGAAGTCAGTGAAGAAGAGCATGTTGCAGAGGAAGGCCGTCCATCCCAGCAGGTGACTGACGCACAGGTAGCGGTAGTGGTTCGGCATGTTGACGATAGCCTTCATCATGGACTTGAACGTCATCCTCTTCTGGGCCTGCGCACGCACACAAACACCACAGGCGTCAGCGCACGACAGCAACTAACCGGACAGGATTTTAATACAAATCTCAAAGCCCTCATTACTCTGCTGGTATTTTATGAGCGGTGCTCGAACGCCTCAGCGCTAAAGAAGACCTCTGCTGTGTGAACACCCTCATCAGAACGAATAAAGAGATTCAAGGCGAAGATCACACAGTCACATTAGGGACTGGAGAGCCCAGATGATGAAAGTCGAAAGGGGAGAGACGACGAAGGCGGTGTAACGAGTGTGAAGAAAAGCACTTCAAAGGCCTCATTTCAAGTGCGACCTGATATCACGTTGCAATCTTTTGCGTTACACATTTTACAAACACGTGACAACTAATGACAGTTAAACCTAAACCTAATGTGCTTCACCAAACAAAGGGAAGAAGGACGCTATCAGGGTGAAGATTGAGGCAAGCGCATGAAATGTTAGAGAATATCGAACAAACAGTGAGACATGTGTACCAAACTGCACGTCATCCCCACGAGGTGATTTGAATACAACCCCAAAGCATCCAAATGTGAAATATTATTTTTAAAGCATAGTTAAAACGCCCTGGCATCTAAACAGGAAGCTTCTCCTATACACAAACCACTCATTTATTAAGAGATGCATGTTAACCAATAAAAGAACAAGGCCTTTTCCTAATATAGATAGTAACACTAGGCTGGGAGACATTGACTAATGACCTCATCTTTTTATTTTCATATTCTAGTTGCATTAAGACTACACACTACTACATTAATGTATGTCCTTGGCCATGAGCACGGAGGGATCACATTTCCTTTCTTGCATCCTTTGCAGACTGCACGTCACGAACCTCCTTGTTGGGCTGCTTGGCGCTGGAGGTCACCGAGTTGGCCTCTCCCAGCGCGGAGAACGACCTGGGCCGGAGGTCTGGGAGGTCTGGAGCGGCCGCAACAGAGGCGGCCTCTTTGGCCAGCGCTCCGTAACCGTTGCCGTGGGCGCCGAGTAGGCGCAGGGCACTGGAGGTCGAGGGGTCAGGGGCATATGGGTCCTTCCCCAGGGGTTGCTCTGGAATACTGAAGAGGTGCACCGTGAGGAATATGCCCCAGGTCAAGGCTGAGAAGAAGAAGATGACTTGGTACTCGGAGCCCAGCAGCCGACCCAATACGGAGTGACCCCAGTCCATCGCGCCGACCAGGTAGCCGAAGGCGCCGCCCAGACCTGGAGATCACAGAGGCGAAGCTTAAAACAGCTGCTTCAATGTACATGCAGCACTGGACAACCTGGAAAACAAAAGAATAGCTGGTACCATTTTCAATGGTACGCACTATGACATATTGGATGGCTGCACAATTAGGAAGTGATTTGAGGTGACGTTGTGCACATATCCACATTGAGTGATCACATGACATTTGTATAAGGAGGAGATTGTCGTGCATTATTACTGCAGGAAGAAGAACCCCGGAGCGATTGAAATTTAATTTAATACGCCGCCGCTGAGATGAACCACTCGACGACTGCAGGCGGGAAGCGCTCGGAAAGGTGTGTTAAATATCACCCCTCTCTCCACTCTCACCGGCTTTCATTAACAACGCAGCCTCCTCTCCTTAATGAAAAAGGACATTTAAAGGGTGAGAGCGGCAGAATGGACGGAAAATGAATTGAACTGAATCCGCTCTACAACCCACTTTACGTGTCACCTTTTCCCCCCTGAAAGGAATCCTTCATGCTCTGGAGTGTGACGACGATGCAGGTGAGGAAGGAGCAGTTTTGTAGAGGGAAGCTTCTCTTAAATCACATGGTTACACAACAATACACACACACACACTTAATTTGAGTCATTGAATTAAAAGCAAGAATTACATTCCAAAAAAATGTAGGTCTCTTGAGATGAAAGCGATTCCTCTGCATTACAGCCCCTGGAAGGCAAAGTAAAAACCACTTTCACGCCTCACTTATATGTAAAATACCGGAACGTTGTTGTTTGTGTGCTGCATCAGTCGCTCTCCTTTCACTCCCCTTCTTCCTGTCGTCTACGAGCGTGTTCCTTCTGCCCCGTTAAATCGTGTCGGTTCACCGGGTCGGCGGAGCAGAACGGAGACGTGGCGGCGACTCAACCGTGGACAGATCCAGAGATGCAAACAGAGATGGTGAAAATGCTTCATCGTGACCCGGGCAGAATTGGTTGTTGATAGGAGAGAGGCGTGAACTCGAATTGAAAAACGCTCCACAAGCACGACGCAAATGTGCAACTTACTGCTCACAAGATCGGTGAGTCAGTTGATCACCAAAGTCACCGGGCTTCATCCCCCTAGGATGTGAACACATCACTCTGCTCACCAACAGATGGTTTACTAGTGTGGCTAAAACAATATTCTTTTATTTATATATATATATATATATCCAGCTTAATGTGCCTATGCATTTCTATGGCATTTCTAGCAAGAAGTCTGCGTTATATTTTGAAAATCTTCTATCAGAGAATGTAGAAGACCTTCCGTTTATTAGTTTCTAGTGACGTAGTTGCAAGGCAATATGAATGAATGGGCCAAAATAGGTAGTATTGTCACGTTCTGGGGAGAAAGCATGAGAATACCACGTTCCACAACGTGTCTATTACACGTTTTGCTGTGAGACTGGGTTGCAAAAAAAACCCCACTCTCCCTCCTCCTCATACCTCACATACCGGGGGCGTCGGGGGGCGTCTGAGGAGTCATGAGCCTGGCCTCTGTGTCTCTCAGCCCAGACCCATGACTGCAGCACATGACCGGCTCGGGGGCTGGATTAATGCCTGACTAGCATGCTCACACCACCCTGTGCCTCGAAGTTTTAGTGAACGTCGTAATAAAGCCGGCAATCTTCTGCCGTGTACACGCACTATTAACTGCAGCAAAAACCAAGAGGCGGCTGGCATCGGTTCGCTTCTCACGGGTGGCCGCAGGGTGTGATCCCGCCAAACTCTCTCTGAGAACGAGGTGCGCGTCTATCGAGGGGGTGACAAACGCAACCGCGGCCTTGATTTCCCCGTAGAGACAAAATAGACCGGCATAGAAATGGAGTAAATGGAAAATCTCAAACTCCAAAGGGGTCAAGACGTACAAATGCTTCAGCTGACAGCGGCCTATTCCCATTAACGTAACATTTATCTTGGTACATGACTGAACTTTGCAGACATTTGTTGAGTGGTGCAAGCGGCAAATCTATTCATCCATTGAAGGGAAATATTGTAGGCGTCACAATGTCAACATCTCAGCAGGTCCGCACCAGGAAGACGAGACAAACGTCTCGCCGAGATCTCACAGTCAGTCCGGAAACTCTTTTTCCAAAACTCACATTGAACTTAAGAAGATCTGCATTGAGGACTGAGCCCGTAATTCCCAGAGAGATTCATTATAAAATGAAGCATGCGGTTCGTTTTGGTAACACACAGAGGGATCATACTGGCAAGAACACAAAGACCAATTATTGAAAAACTTGTGTGTTTGGTCAATTACTGGCCTGCTTTTTTACTCTTGGATAAAAACGAGAGCAGTGAGAGTAAACTAAAACAAATTCAGTAATGGGGGAATAGTTTAACACAAAAACGTCTGAGACATCATCCAACATTAAACAACAACTTGCCCTTTTCTACTTTGAGGGGATCAAACAAGACACAACATCTTAATTAGTGAACTTCTGCGATGTTGGCGGAGTTATTGGCTAGTTGTTTTTACCCTTCTTTCCAGTATTCATGCTAAGCTAAACTCATCACACTCATCAAATCCAAAGTCCCATTGAAAGGTTCCTTCGGCATAGAGCTCCTCCACCCACCAGGACGAATCCTTTGCACTGTCACCCACCTGTGAGCAGAGCGTGGTAGTGCAGACCTCGCTCCTTGTCCCGGTGTGAGCACACGTCAAACAGGTAGGCCTTGATGGGCCCGTCGATGAAGTCCGCGGCAAAGTCGAACAGCACGACTCCCAACATCACCACCACGATGGCCCAGGTGCTCCTGGACGACCGCTCGCTGACCAGTGCTGCAAAGCAGGACAAAGCCACTGATGGATTTGACAAATTTGGCTTTTCTTTTCAAAATCTGGCGAGCACAGGAAGTTTGACAGAATGAAAGCCATTGGAGCTGGTAGAAGGAAAGCCGACAGGTAATTATTATACTTGAAAACCTGGTGATTATATCACACAGCCAAACATTGTTCTGTGTTCTCTGTGTGAAAAATGTAGCAAGGTTAAAAAACATGCCTGCCTTGAACATAATGGAGTGGGTTCATTTTATGATTAAGAGATAATGTGTGTGTTTAGAAAGAATGGATGTACTGTGACAGAGAGAAACATTAGACTGAACGGACCTGTCTGCAGCTATGATACAAAAAGAAAAATACGGTTTCAAATCAAACGGGAAATCCAGCCGTGGCAGATGCAGGAATGCAACTGGGCGACCTGGTTCCTGTGGCATTGAGTACGACTCTGAGAAACACGGAGAGGCGTTTTGATGAAATAAATACTTTAAAAAAGGGAGGATGATTCTAGTAAAACCCAGAGCATTCAATTAAAACTCAATCAGCAATCAGTGCATTCAACCAAGAAAACATGTATTTCAAAAGAAGCAAATTTAAATTTGCCTTTTGACTTAAACCCGTGTTGCTATTTCAAGTCTTGAAATGTCGTGTCTTGTACATGTTCCAATCATCCAATCAAAAGCAGTGATTGAGGTATTGAGGATGAGGTGTTTCCAGCTCCATCATTTCAACGTTTTCATTGCCATCTGTGAGATTTGGAGAACTTAAGTGATTATGCACTCTGCCTCCCTCTGATGCCGTTTGGTGTGGAACAATTCAATCACATTACAACTCCGCGGTGCATCTCTTCATGTGGGTGCAAATCTCATAGATTCTGTGTGACTCTCAGGAAATAGGGACGGGTTTTAAAAAAATATTCATTAGGAATCAGGAACACTTATTACCAAAATGTGTTGAGACATACAAGGAATTTGACTTGGTGGTTGGTGCATAAACATCAGACAACATCATCAGCTGTTTCCTACTTCAAACTAAAGGTGCTGTGAGGCTCTTTATTTACATATATACTTTTTTACACAGCGTTAAAAATACTGTATAGAATCCATTATTGACTTTTGGACTAAACTACTACACGGTGCCTCCAACAAGGATATTAAGACCACATAATTAACAAGTACAATCTTTCGTTTTCTTGATGGGAGTTTCAGTTTTTAGCGAAAAGATACTCTTCAGTTTGAAGCCGGAGGCTGTAAAATTCTTAGTGATTGGAAAAAGCTTTGACGGCAAAAAATAAAAGACATAAGAATGAATTCAGCGTGGGAATAATATAACGAGATCATAAAACCTCATATGTTTGCCTTGCATTGGTTGGATTTCACAAGATAAGTCACAACTGTTCTTTCAAGCATAGTGGAAGGAAATCTCGAAAATGCCACATTTGCTCAGTGTGTGAAGAGTTTCTTTGATTTAAACAATTGTTCATTAATTCCCCTGAATCAAAGCCTGCTCCTAACGCATGAACTCATTCTCTAATATGATATGCCTATATATATATATATATATATATATATATATATATATCTTTCTCTCAGGACCGCAGGACCGTCGCTCACCTGAGATGACGGCATCCCCGTTGAGGAACAGGGTGATTCCCACCAGCATCAGGAGGCCCAGGGCCAAGATGTAAGGCCTCCGCCTGCCCCACGGCGAGCGGCAGTAGTCGCTGGCCGACCCGATGACGGGCTGCAGCAGGAAGCCCAGGATGGGGCTGATCAGCCACACCAGGCTGTACAGGCTGCGGGGCAGGCCCACGCTCAGCAGCACGGGCGTGACGAACGCCGCCTCCACGGCGTAGCAGAACTCCCTCCCGAACATGACCGTCCCGTGGAGGATGAGGCGTCCCCGCGAGCGCCTGGGGGGCTCCGCGGCCCCGAACGCGGCGCCGTCCCCGCCGTCCTCGTAGTTCTCCTTGGAGGCGGCGAGGTCCGTCGGGTACAAAGAAGGGCTGACGTGTCGGCCGGCATCCGACAGCCGGCAGGCCTGGGGCCTCGCCGACTGGTCCTCCGACAGAAGGGTCATGGTGGCGAAGAAGAGACTTCAGGGGGGAAAGAGACACAGAGTTCGGTGGTATCGCTTTCACTCCACTCCGCCGGGTGATGGACGACGGGGGCAAACGGCCAGTTCTTGCACCCCGAGCTCAGCTTGAGCTGATCCTGCTCTCTACTGCATGGCGGAGCGACGAGTGGCAGAGCCTGGGCTTCACGTTCGTGTGAAGGTCCGACCGCAGCAGAGTGGCCCCCGTTGAACCACACAGCTGGAGGGGAGGAGGGGAAGAAGTGGGCGTATTTTGGGGGGGATTAGAGAATGTTTCGAGTTCTCTAAAGACCTGAGGCAGTTCATGTGAGTTGGTGTGTGAGGTATTACGTGAAGTGTGGCAATGTGTGCTAAAGAAGGTCCTTTATGACAAGAATTGGCATTTGCAAGTGAAATATGAAGAAATTCTTCCCCGTCCAAGCCGCTAGTTATCAAAGACCAATTTGGTGTTCTTCAGTTGTTTGGCCCACACGAATAAGACTCAAACATCTACACCACACATAAAATGCACAAACAGTTTGTCATGTAGCACCGATTTAAACCCTCGCGGTGACCTATTTCTCTCTCAGCGGTGCTGAAGGATCATATTTCTGCGCCAGTATTCTTGTTGAAACCACAGCATTAATCTTACAGTATAAATCAGGGCTGAGCAGCGTGACAGGACAGCCTGCGGAGAGGTGCCGGTTAACACTGATCCAACTCGCAGTGTCTGATCGGCTGCAGACCATCCAAACACAGGTGAGCGAGAGGAATCCGCACGAGGCAGAAACGATGCGAAGGCGGATGCAGAAAACACATTTAAACAGAGGATGTACTTGAATACTGCAGGATTGCTGGTATTAAATGATGTTAAGGTGTGTTGCACCGGCAACTTATCCCGTACAGAAGAAGTGTTTTCTGCCACTGAAAAGACCAAATGAATGTCTAACAACGGTATTAATCGGTGCCATAGACCTCCATTGTTGTGCAAAACGTTTTGCTCCTGTTTGAGTAATACTTTGTATCTCTTTTTATTTTTATTGTAATCTGGGGCCATGTTTATATAGATTCATAGTTCAAAGATTTGCTCTCACTGGTGGAAGAAAATTCTCAGAATTGCTCCAGGGTGGAAATATTCCCAGAATTATTCCTTCATGACGTTCAAAGTCGGTTATTCACAAAGCAGATTCTTACCTCGAAGGCTCAAGAGTTTCTGAAGCAGGAGACGAAATAGCGAAAGACGAAGAGGCCGGAGAAACGTTCTCCGAAATTATTGCAATTATTGCCAGCCTGATCCTTTAAGTAACATTGATTAATTTGACAGCATAATATTGTTTTTTTTTTGCAAAAAAGGAAGAAAGAAAAACAGCCACAGGCAACGAAGCCACTAATTGGAGCATGTTTCACATGATTAACAGCAGAGGACACATCCATCTATCTCTCCGCGGGGGGTCGGGTGGTGGGAGCGCAGAATCACGCCTTAATGAAGTGCTGTTGTTTTGGGAGAAAGAAATGCAGTAATCGGAAAACAATAAGCAGACAATTTCTTGCCGAGAGTCAGATGAGATGATCAACACCCAGGAGGGGTAGCACACCTCTCATCTACCTCTATTATTTAAGAAAGCAGTTAAAGATATTTCCACAGAGGGACACATTTCAAAAGATGCGCTTCAGGGAAGCTGAACCAGTCTGTTTTGTTTTGTTGTGTTGAAAAAAACAGAAGCACTGAAAGTAAATCGCGAAGGCACAGGGAATTGCCTTCTAAATTAGGGTGCATGTGACTGTTCTAAAATAATTGTATGAGAAATGCTCTTAAATATTAGAAAGCACGTCATCGAATTTCGATTAAAACGTCAGCTTCCGAGGCAGGAGCTGCTTGCTGGGACCGTTAAAGGTTACTTCCACATCGCTGCTGCTCCAACTCAAAGCCTGAATGGCAACTTGACATTCTCCCTGTTCAAATTAAGTAGTGATTCAAGCCGTGCCTCCATTCATCCTTCACAAAATCCTTTCGACTTTGGGGATCACGTGACTTTTCCTTTAAGCGTATATTAACCTCCTGTGATGAGGTTAACATTAGTGTTTTTGACTTGAAAAGTTGTCGGTTACATTTATTGCTGTGAGACTTCATGGTCCTCTGAGGGGAGTATTGATTTTGTCAAATTCTTCTACATGTGAATAATTAAAAAAAGATTGATGCTAATTGGCAAATGTTAACAAGTTCCAATTATTGGGGAAGACCTCTCATCAAAATCAGTCTGTAAAAGACTGTGAAAAAGAGGAAAAGGGATAATTTGGGGTTTTAAGAGGCCGTCTTTGAATTGCACTGTAATTAGAAAGGTGTCCTGCCCAGATGATCATACGTTTAGCCTCCTCCAGAGCACTTGTACTGATGGAAGAGCACCATCAAATCCCAGGGGCTATACGGCAGCACCTGAAGCGCATCAAAGGATCATCCATGAGATGCATGAGGGCAGCTGCTGCCACTGGAGTGAGAAAGATGAGTGCAAAAAGAAATATCTTTCAAGCAAATACGGAGTGATTTAAAATGAGAGTAGTTCCGTATTTTCTCCATACGTGATAGAAAATCAAATATCTTTCTCTTTAGGCGCGACGGTCTGATACGATTAGACATTTGGTGACATTTCTTTCACTATTTTGGCAAAACACAGGTTTAATTGTCCAAAACAATTCTGCACAGAATCCACGTGAATCAAAGTGCGTTTGAAGCCTATGGTCTCCTGTCATATGCTCACAGATTCCCTGTGTTTGCTTTGGTTCATTGGGAGTCAGATGGTTGGAGTCACACCACAGAAATTCCTCACACACTTCCACGTCATAAGGGGTTAAACCACAAAAATCGCACTCGACACCGGTGTAAAATCATCAAACGGGACATTTATCAACTAATACTTGCAAGGAGGTGACAAGAGTTGACAACAGTTCATCCATCAATCCCTTTTTTCATAGCAGGTGATAAACCAGCAGGGCCTCTGTGCGACACCAAGGGCTGCTCATAACTCCTGGATGTGGGCTATAATGTTCTACCCCTCGGGACATACATGTTACCCCATGAGTTACCACAAGATCATCTGGACGCATGAACATCTGGGCTCAGCAGACGTGACGCGCACCCGTTTAACACCCGAGTACAGACTCTCCGTTGTCCGATAGAACTACTCACTATGACACGACACCATCGCAGTGTTTCCCAACGTGACGCTGCGTTCATGACGTCAGAGTTGGAACTGTGATGAGGGGAAAAGCTCTGAAAAGATCTGCCCCCCCACGTCAGAGAGACGATGGCCTGTGAGAGGTTATTGTTTTGAGAGTATGCGCAGAAGGATCAGTGGTTTAGTTAATAATTCTAGAACAAAAACCACACAGTACATTGTGTGACCACATAAAACAAAACAAAAAAAACACACGATGGAGACGTGAAACGGACTTATCGGAAGCCACCGTCGTGTTTGAGTTTAAAATAGAAAACTAGAGGAAAATCACTCTAAAGGTTTTGACCAACCGCCTACAAAAGAAGTAATTATCAACTTTCTCTCTTAGCTCTGGAGGTGTGTAATTATGTAGTTAATTATAGACATACACAGGAAAGGAAAAGGGAGGTGTTCTGTCCTTTCCCTTTTCTGTGCGTTGAACAGGTAGGTGAGGCCGAGAGTTACAACTACTTTATTTAAGATTAATCTTCTCCATTAATTGATGCTTTGTGAACAACAACAACAACAACGTTATATATTGTATTTTTTTTCTTGCCATGAGTGCAAAACGATATTTCACCATAAACTAAAACCAAGCCTCATCTTAAATACGGGAGCTGAATAGGTAATGATTTACTTTTCTCCAATTCAAAGTCTTCAGAAAGCTGCCTCTGCAGGTGGTGTTTTTTTTGTTGATGATAGACTCACTCAGGAAATGCACTCGCTGTGTTTATTAAGGCTTAGTGGAAACACACAATGAGCACTGCTGAGAACGGGTAGACGTAAAAAAGCTTTAAGGGGGGGTGAAAGAAATTGCATAAAAGGGCATCAGCTCCATGTAGTGCACACCGGCACACTGATGGAGCCGATCCATCGCGTCGTCCTGCCCAGTGAAGAGGAAGAGGCCCCCCCGAAGCATCCGAGACGGCGCATTTGCAGCTTTTTGTGTGTGTAACTTGTGTAATCATGGACATTACTTAGTCGTTGGTTGCAGCCCACTTTCTCAATAAGAGATAAAGCGAAAGCTCTACAAGGAAAACACAAAGTTACTGTGGAAAAGTCTCCCTAAAAACTGTTGAGTAATTTCTCCTTCACATCGCACGCTCAGAGTGGGGAAACGCTCACATTTCAAACATTTGCACTTTATTCTGATTATTTTACAAAATGCTTGCACATCCTCTCGTGATGGCTTTAGTATTTCAATAATCTTAATTTAAGTAAAGGTGTTCTGATTACTGACTTTGCACACATGAAAAGCATTTGTAAAATATAAACACAGTCCATTTGCTGCTCATTCTGTGTCCTCCACTGAGTGCCTGAGTGCTTAATCACTTAAAAGCAATTATTGAAACTGCTGGAAGCATCGGCGGGCTGCTGTGACGTGACGGAACGAAGAGCGCAACAGGAAGCCCAAATTAATGAATTACGTTATGCTGTTGATAAATGTTATAATAAAGAATTCCACACAAAAACATCACTTTAGGCGCTCAATGGTCGCCCTTAATAGGACTGCAATAAACATAAGCTGGGGTACAATAAATGTAATGCGATGATGCATATCTTAAATTGCCTTAAGCGCCCTGTGCCTCATTTGAAATTTTACATATTGAACATTTTTATTTACATACTTTCTTCTCTTGGCAGATATGAAATATTTTACACAAAACAGCCACACGCAGTTCAGGCAATAAACCTCCAGAAGAGTTAAACAGCTGGCGATTGGTTCCATCTATGAACGCAAACTCATGTTGGAACATAATCAATCGAATCAAATCACAGATACACATTTCGCTCCCTACAACTTTGCTTTGACGGCATCACACTCTACGACCCCCGCCGCGAGCATCCGCTGCACGTCTGCTGACGAGAAGCCAAACTCGCTGAGGACCTCGGCGGTGTGCTCTCCGACGCCCGGGTCGGAGGCGAGGCAAGGCTGCGCGGGAGTCCGAGAGAGGACCGGCGCCGGCCGGGGGCTCTCCCCCCCGCCGCCGTCCTTCACGAAGGAAGCTCTCTCCCGGTTGTGCGGGTGCGAGCTCGCCTCGGCGAGAGGCAGCACGGGCGTGACACACGCGTCCGTCCCGTCGAAGACCCTCGACCAGTCCGCCTGAGTCTTTGAGGCAAAGCGCGCCGTGAAGATGCGACTCAGCTCCGGCCAATCGTCGACGCTCATCTGAGGAGGCAACGCCCCAGCGTCCAGCTCCAGACCTAAGGAGAGGAGAGGGGGGGGGGGGGGGATTATTCTATTATTTTTCATTATTTTTCATCTGGAGCGTTTTAGCCACATCAGCAGAGAACTGATCTGGTTTCAGTACCTGACCAGCGGATGGATTCTCCAGCGCGGTGAGTGAAGGTTACTGATTAGTTACTGATTTCTGCAACGTCGACTTGTTTTGGTCGTGGTTTGTATGAAGTTACCAGCCCTGCTGACCTCAAAGGGAACAATCCGTTTTGAAAAAGTGACCTTGATGAAGTGCCACTCGAAATGATTGCGAAAAAAGGACTTTTACAGGATACACGTTGTTCCAGAAATCAGTGTTGCATTTTTTTGTCCTCAAGGCCTGATTGTCCCAACTTCGTTCGTGACTAGTGGCCCAAGGACCTGCTGCTTTCACATTTCCAGAGATTAGTGTTGGGGGGGGGGGGGGGGGGGGGGGGGGGTATTTCACTCCACACTGCCCTTTCCCATGTCTTGGTTTCGCCTGAGGTTCAGCCGTTGCTGATGTCACGGCACACGTGGGACACACGTGGGGCCGACGCTACGCAGAGGCTCATTTCATCTACAATGAACGGACGCGTCTTTGCGCGATACGAACCCTTCAGTAGCTGCGTGTAGAACTGCGGTTCTATGGCCCCCACGGCCACGTACTTCCCGTCCGCCGTCTCGTAGGTATCGTAGAAGGGCGCTCCGCCGTCCAACATGTTTTGTCCTCTCGGACGGTCCCATAAACCGATGCTACGAGACTTCCAGGCAAACGAACCCATATATGCGGCTCCTTCTACCTGAGGATGGAGAGATACGGGAAGAGACATAAAGAAATAAAATAACTAGGACATTTTGTGCCCTATTTCATGCATAACTACACATATGTCCATTTTAAGAGAAAGACTCCGCACCAAAGGGATGCATGCTTCTGTTGCTGACACGCTACCAGCTATACCCTTTAAGATTTCAAATATCTTAAAGGGTATAGCTCTTTCAGAGTGTAGCTGAGGCTGATTTAAAGGGAGAATTAGCAGAATATCGCTCTAGCATTCACAAGAAGAAAATGCACAAAGCAACTGCCGCGCTATTGAAATCATTTTCAAGGAGACTGCACAAAAGGAATAAAAATTCACAAAAATTCTACTGACATTTACAAACCACCTCACCTGGAGTCTGCATGTAAGTACAAGTTATTACCGCTGAAGGGATGGAATTAGCCACATAAAAAGAGGTCTCATGGACACCAGTGCCACTAACGCTGATTGCAATCAATGCAGTCACTGCGGGTTCTAATGATCCATGCACTACCTCTCTTAAGTAATTGTATACAGGCAAACAATAATGGCCTAATTAACCAAGGGGATTTTCATACGTGACGCAGTAACACCATTTATCCGCAGCTTAACTCTTCTACCAATTTTCTGGAAATCCATGCGTGGTTGTAAAGCAGAGGGGAGCTATTTGATGTGGTTGATTGAGATTGCTGAATGAATCGGTGTGATATTATGTTGTAAGCAGACCTTTTAATGTAACGGTTTGGCTTGATTGGTGCCGCTAAATCACGCGAGTTTGAGGGAAGAATAAGACGCAAAGTCAGACGCATTTGCTTGGCACCAACTCCTCACCGTACAGATGGTGTACACAGGACAAAATGGGAAAAAATAAAAATGTATGACTAATATCAAAAAAGTTTTCTAATAAGTCATTAAGACCTTTGAGAAATGGTTGAGCAGCAAATAAGCTGTAAACATTAAAGAAATAAGCAGCAAGTTATTATTGGCAGTCGTGTGGGCGGCTTCTCTGCAGGAGGCCTCGAATTAACTGTTCTGCAATGAGCAAGGGAGCGAAAGTCAACTTGTGAGTTGAACAATAACAATACCAACATCAAGGTCGTTTTTGGAATTTATCTGAAATGGGTTGCATGAAATAAAATGTAGGATCCATTGACTTACTCTCCCGACATTTCAGCCATAGAATTCTTAATAAAACCCGTCCCTCCCCCATCATGAGAGACCTACAGTGCCAAATGTTTTTTGTGTAATTCCAGACACTAAAATCTAGTTATTACTGATCATCAAGTGTACCACCTGATTCTCCATCACACCAAAGACCCAAACCATAAACAGCTGTAAACTGGATTAGGGGGAGAACATTTGCATGAGATGCTGAAGTTAAAATTAAATTTGAATCTTAATGGAAATAACAGAGCATGCCCTCAGTCCTGTACTTTAGCAGTCAGCCACTTTCACGAGGATATATGAAGTAGCAATATTTCAAATATCTTAAAAATCCCCTCCTCAAGGGGTTCATTAGAGCTTGACAGCCGTCCTGCGTCCTCGCAGCGAGTGGCTTTTGGGCACAGCGGGATTTCAGACACTTTGATGTGCTTTTCAAACAGCTTCACCGAGGGCTGTCCTTAGGATCACTTATCCCAATAAAAGTTAAGCATGACTCAAAGGTCTGCCACCACGTGGCGCATCGTCAGCCTCGGCCCCGCCTCCGATAAGCGTGACCTACTCGCCGACGGCGTTCTGCGGCGCATCTACGGTACGAGTTACCTGGAGTCGGACTGCGCGCTCACCATGCTGGCGTCAATGATCTGTCCTTTTCCGGACTTTGTCCTCTCCAGCAGAGCCAGGACGATCCCCAGAGCGCAGCTGAGACCACCTCCTGCAAAGTCTGCTATCAGATTCAACGGAGCGTAGGGCTTCTCCCCACTGCGACCCAGCCGGGATAAGAGGCCTGCGACGGGGAGGAGGAGACAAAAGCTTCACACAAGATGTCCTGGACAAGTGCACCTACGTCATAAGCAGCGTGTGCATGTTTGCATTGGCTTGTCTTAGGAGGTATTTATTTGGTGGTATAATATTTCCTGCAGGAGTAGTTAAAAGTCATACTAAGGGTCATCCAAAAACATCTGGTTGGGAAAGAATGTGTGAATAACATCTGTTGAGTTAGTCATGTGTAACATTGATGTCTTTGTTTTGGATGATACACACACACCACGCTGTACTGACAGCAAATTTAGGCAACCTTGGTTGTGTGGGCTTAAAAGGTTTTATTGGCGCAGTGAAGAGGTTGACTTTACGCACAAAGCAGCAGCACTTAAGTAATTACGGACCGAAACTCCCTTTTCTATACAACGTTTCCATGGTCGCGAAAAGACGACACGTCTGCACAAAGAGAGACACAACCACCTTTCTCACAAAGACAGATCTGTCGCGCGATCCTCTGACGTCTTTATGAACACGCAGCCGATGCAACCCGCAACGCGTCGAAGCATTCTTGTGGAAGACGAGTGAAATCAACAGTCGTGCGTTTTGACCTGAGAGGGCGACGTAGTTGATGTCGTGCCCCGCGGCGTTGGCGTACGAGCCGCTCTGCCCGTACCCCGTCAGCCGAGCGTAGATCAGCCGGGGATTCTCCTCCAACAGCTCCCGCGGGCCGAGCCCCAGCTTCTCCATCACGCCTGGTGGGGAAACAACAGAAAGCGGCGTCAGGGCCGGGCCACGTTGCGGCACACCCGCTTGAGGGGGTTGCGTTTCTGCAGCCGGGGTCCGACCTTTGCGGTAGGGCTCCAGGACGACGTCGGACTGGACACAGAGCTTTCTGAGCAAGGTCACGCCCTCGGACGTCTTCAGGTTGATGGCCACGGAGCGCTTGCCCCGCCCTTGAGTGTCTAAAGACATGCCGACCTTGGTCCGGTCCACGCGGATCACCTTGGCTCCAAAGTCGGCCAGGATCATGCCGCAGAACGGCGCTGGGGCCAGGCCCGCCAGCTCAATGACCCTCACGCCGGCCAGAGCCATGAGGAAGCTACGGGGGAAAGATTTATTGGCCAAAGTCAATCCAATTCTGTGACCTCCCGAGGTGTTGTACAAGTTATCGGTGTCACTCATGTCTGGCAAAAACCTTTACAGATCACATGTGGCTGCAACAGCGACGCATCGAGCTGTACCGGAGCCCGAGGGGGGATCTCAAAATGATTTGTTTTGTCTGAACAGACGGAATCTTTAAAAAAACAACTCTGTTTCATAGCAGCGGAGACAAAAACAAACTTTGTTCCACTGGATTTGAGCATATTTGCATCGTTAATGTTTTAATTTTATTAGACCATTTGTATATTTTGTCACAGTTGGTCAATTGATCTGTGATCTGCAACTATTTTGATCAATCAGAAAGTTACCTGAATGTGGAACAACACGTCTCATTATTAATAGATGGTTCCTCGATCAACTGATTACTCAATAACAACAAATAATGGAGAGCTACAGCTGTGTAATAAAGGTACAAAGACTCCTTTGAGGTGCAACAATATCAGAGTACTATCACACCCACTTTGCTCCCTCGCGAGTTCAATGATCGTTAGACTTCTCTGTAATTGAGTCAAAGTACAAATGATCGATTTTTTCACTTCGGACAGCTAAGAGCACAGAGTACTCACTTACGTACTTTAACTAGTTACTCCAAAATAAAAAAAAAACGTATAGATCATAAGTGCCAGCCAAGTTTTGCCCACAGTTGCCCACAGTTTTAACGAAAAGGAGGTTTACCATCACTTTGCAAACGCAGCTGCAGCATTTAATTGTCATTATAAAAATGTAACGTCGGTTGAACAATGTCAAAATGTGACTGCGGGTCAGCCTACCTTCGCTTTGAAGTCGGGTGCGGGGTCACACTGCGGACAGCGAGTGTTACGGGCGACAAGCTGCGCAACAGCGGACAGAAAACGCTAATAAATCGTATGTGACGCGGCAGATATCGATTAAGCAGTAGCTTCAGGGTCCTGCTTTTGCGGAGAGGTACCTTTCAACAGGGCGGTTGTGTTGGGCCGCCGGTGCACGCCGGCTTTATGACCCAGCGAACCTTGGATTACAAACTGCTTCCTCTTCCGGGTGACGTCAGGGGGCGGGCCTTAGTGTCATGGCAGGTTGTGGGATAGATAGATAGATATAGAAATAGATATTTTATTGATCCCTCAAGAGGGAAATTTTGGTAAATTTTGGTATCACAAAATGAATCTCTTGGAAATTAAGTTCTGACATTTCACGAAGATGCAAATCAAATTGAAAATAGATAAATAAAAAGCTCTATCCATCATATACACTCGTGTGTAGAGAGACAGCAGTTATGTGAGGCTTGTACAACTACAGACACACAAGATCTTTCGCCCCCATATTCCCGCAGCCACGTCCTTATTATAACTGTAGATCTAGATCGGAGAAAAAAGGATCCAGTGTGCATATTAGCCAGAAAAGCTCGGGTGTTGCATTGGCGTTCCTCCATTAAAAGCGTCTCCCCGCTGTGAGCTAGTTAGATGAAAAGACAGTTTTATGTGATCAGAATTTAATTTGGCTTATAAGCTCCAAATGGCCTGAGACCAACAACATGACTAAATGCTGTCTAAATACAACATTTAAATGTCATCCATGTGCATGCGACATCAACAGCAATGTCATAAACAAGAAATATAAAGTCTACATAGATTTTCTGTTTCTTGGTAAAGGAGAGGAACATTATTTCACACTGATCAAAGCAAGCAGAAATTATTTTTAGTCTATTCACATTTCTAAATGGGAAATGTATCATCCAGTAATATCAAATAGATCAAGAAAATGAGTTCCTATTTGTACATGGGAACACTTACAATGTGAGAATGCTAATCTAATTTGTCAAAGAAATCATGCAGTGTCTGTACACTGAGGATAAAATTATCACATTTCATTTGGAAGACCTATTTTGATAAAATGAAACGCAGGATAAAACTTTTCTAAATGGAACGGCTTTGACCTTGAAACTTTTTTCTATTTCATGCAAACAGTATTGACCACAGCAGCATCATGAAGCGATGAACAGTTATATTATAATAGGAATATTGAGGAATCCTGCTGGTAAGAAGTGTGGGTGGATGGTATTATTTTATTGTATTAACTTTGGGTGCCTCAGTCTGAAAGAAAAGAGCTTGAAATTGTGTGTACTGCCCCTTAAAGTGCTGCTAATGCTGCAGGAATTAGAGACCATTACTTCTCTGTGAGTCAAGGAAATTTACCTGCCTTCTGTCGTGATTGACTTTAGTGCATTAAAACACTATTCTCCCTTAACGGCATGCTCAGTTGTGTTGTTTGTAATAATTTCTTCACATATACAGATTTTCTTGATTATCCACTCTTCTGTGTTGCACGACACGATACTCTTTTGTGTTAATCAAGCCGCTATTGCCCCATCCCACATCAAAAGCAGAACCTTTAACACTTATCTTATGCTATATAAGTACAATTTGGTTGAGTTATTGCTCTGTTTACTGGCTGCTGCTCTAGTGTCAGTGTTGTGACGTATGGAAACTGCAAATGTTTCTGTTCATCAAATGCATGACAGGTTGATGAGTCGTTTTTATACACCGGGGACTGATGATGAGGCTAACCGATGAGTTTTATATTGAAGTGCATATCATATTGGATGGAACTTTCATTTATTTTCTTCCATTACGAAAAAAATGGGCTGAAGACAAATTGCATATTTCCTTCCCCTCTACTCAAAATAAATATGTGCCACTACCTCCAAATACTTTGCTAAAGTGGATGCTCCCCTGAAAGTCAACTAAATCCTGCAGATGCATTATCTCTCAGGAGACATCCAACCGTGCAAAAGCTCTCACTCAAAGCATGCAGACCGTAGCTCCCAATGAGCAAAACAACAGTATTTTCCTCTTTGATTCCCCGAGAGGCCGATGAATCGGGTACCACTTTGTCTTCCGTGCAGCGGCAAAGTCACACAGTGACAACACTGCAGCACAGTTTCTGGAAGGTACAGGTGTGCTTTTTTTTAATCATTGAATCAGCTTAAATCAAGGGAAACAAGTAGAATTGGAGGTATAGAAGAGGATACTGCTTTGGTTAGCAAGTAATTGTGTAATCATTCCTCCTATGTGTTCATAAGTTGATCACTTGCTGATTAGAAGCCTTTATGTGCACAGCTTCAAATACTTAGAATGAGATCTTTTGTCTCCAAGTGTTTCCTTTTTCCATATTCAGAGATTAAAATGATCTGAATGCGACATTGAGAGCAGAGCACATTCTGTACTTGCACATGTAACATGTATCTGGATGTGGTTCTTTATTAATAGTGAAAGGACATCAGGGGGTTTCATCTAAAACTGGTTAAAGAATGTGCACTCTGTAAAGCTTCTGTAATTACAGGCCAGCGGATTCCGGTTTCCCCTCAACGGTTACATGTGAGTCAATGGCTTCCACCTCACACTTCATAAAATACTAAACCCTTTAGCACTGAAAACCTAATTTGCATTCACTTTTTACAAAACAGAAGAAGTGATTAATTACAGAAGAGGAAGCAAAAGTAACGCATCCTTTGCCGGGGGGCCACAAGTGTCCCTTATCAACAAGGTTTATTGGGCAGTCGTACCCGGAGCCAAAGAGCCACAGAGACCCGGAAAGCTCTGCGTGGATATCGCATGTTGACCGGTTTCGGCTAGACAAATTAAATTATTTTACACCAACATTAGAACTGGAATTATTACCTGACCTGGTAAAGCTCATGTTTAATTTTCTCACTCACCGAGCAAAACAAGATGAATATTGTGACAGTTGGGTTGTGAGCAGCTCATTTTTTCCCCCCGAGGCGGACTGAGATTAAACCAGCCGGGTTACAGAATTTAGAATTCCAACAAAATGCTGAGAGCAGAGAGCAAGAAAGAATTGTCACGCAACTACCGCTGTCATATTTGATGTACAACCAAGTGCACTGTTTTAAATGTCTTCCAAGGGAGACTGTCAAAAATGTCTTCCGTTAAAAATGATCTCTGCTCGCCACTACGGCAGTGCGCTTTTCATACCAATTCAAAGTGGACGGGCAAATCCAGAAACCGTTGTAGAAATGTGCTCCAAGTTGGACAACTGGTGGATGACGAGCTAAAAGGCGCTGCTGCCGTCCTTTGACAATAGGAACGCAACAAACAGTGTCTACAAAAACCCCGAACATCTCAACATCAGGTCAAAACTGTTGTGGTTTTGTGCTTTCTGGTAAAAGATTACATGTATTATCACCTCAAGGAGTGCAGACAAACACCGAAGCTCACTGAAGAGTGTGGTGTGACGTTTGAAACGTCGTGATTGTCATCAAAGTTCCTTGCAGCAAGAAAAAGAGAGGTAACCTTCTCAACTTTTATCAGGCAGCTCAGTCTTACAGTTTGAAACACCTTCACATTTTTTCCTTATGCTAGACTGTGATTTTATGTTGAAATACTTACATACAAATATAATAAATGTGTTATACGATACACCTAAATGAAAGCCGCTGCTGATAATGACATTATTCTCCTTTTTGACCATTAGTGGGCGTCACTTTATCAGTTTATGAGTCACCTCTGAGTGAATCTGTTACAGCAAAAGAAAAGTCGTGTGTTAGTTCGTTGTAGCCTGGTGTTTCTACATGAATTGAATATTTGAGTTCTATATTAATGGCATATCTGATTTTACACCACTGTTTCTGGGAATTGGGCTTCCCTAAAATGTCCTTTAAGCCCAGCTTAACCTACATCATCTCTCTTTGAGTCTCTTTTGTATTTTCACAGTGGACTTTTCTTGCTTGTAAGATTTATGCAGCTTTCTTGAGAAGCGTCCAAATAACTTCCCAGCTCGTCCTTCTTAGTCAGGGTCCAAACGCATTGCTCAGACACGTTCCAAATACATCAGATGCAGGTGAGACATCGGTAACAAATCATCAACAGCAACAAAACGCGTCCATATATCAGTCGCGCAAACACATCACAGACCCGGCAACACAAAACCGGCATGTCCCCGCAAATCATTTTCAATTGTCCAGCAACGCGGGGAACATTTGTTTTGAGCTGTGAACATCTGTCCACGACCATCCGCCAGGAGCTCGTCCAGCCTATGTTTGCTGCTTAAGCCGCGTCCAGATGTTGAGCTGACCCCTGGCTCGATTTAGCAGGGTGAAGCTTTCTTGAATGTTGGCCCCACAGCGTGGAAGCCCTGAGGTTGCTCGTCTAACATTTGCTGGGGAAAAAAAAGGAAAATAAGTTCATACATATTCATGTACTGTATAAAGTACATATCATTCATATTTCAATGTAATGTATTTTGTTTCGTTTTTTTTAATCGCGTGCAAAGGCAAAAAACGCTCGTGATGAACATGCTTATCATTTGGCGCTGAAAAGCCCCCCCTCCTCCCCACCGCCCTTCCTCCTTGATTGCGGAGCCTGGCCGTAAACAGAGCAAAGATAGAGACGGTCCAACTGTAATTTCACTCAAAGTTCACACTGGTGAATAATAATATCCTTATTGACATTAGAGGGTTGTGCAGACAATGAAAAAATGTGCTGAAGTGCAAGAATGCAAACGTTCCATTCAATGTTGCGCTTTCGGCAGTCAAAGAAAACGTGTGAAGCGTTATTATAATATGTCAGATGGCAAAATATGAGTTAATTATGCCATCTGTATATGTATATGGCCTCAGCAAAACATCCTGGATGTGTTCTAAAAAGTCTACGGAATAATGTACACAATGCGTGCCAGATTTCTAACATGATATTTAATATTTGATGGTAATATTCATTCAAAAATCAAGAATAAGTTACACATTTATGCAGACGTACACATTGACCAACACCTTTTCATTACAAATAATATCAGTTAGGTAACATTATCATCCAATCAAAATACAATATATGTAAAACATATAATAAGTGATTATTAATATAATAATATAGTGGTAATTTGTTATTGTAGTGAAAGTCAATCTGACAGGCCGTACACGCAGCATCGTTAATTATATTGTTGTTGTTCTGATGTCTATTTTTAGTAGTTCTATCACATCCGCAGATGATAACGGCGATACACTTTAGGTATTGTTTGGAGCAAACCAAAGACAATTGGTGCACGTAAAGAAAGAACAGGGCCGGGAACAATACTTAATTGGAAACACAGACAGCGTGTAACAATGCAGACAGCTGTTTCCATTAACCTCTCAGGCCAAGTAGAGACAAAGGTCGCCTCAACCAATACAGTCATTGAATAAAACCCCACCAACTCCTCCGAGCTGAATTAAACCCCCACTATGAGCACGAGAGCCAGAGACACATGAAAACACACCTTTATTCATTAGTTTCCCCAAAGTGTCTTTCTTTAATAAGCCTCTCCATCAAAAGGTCACGTAGTAGACACTGGGGTCGGCATCGGTGTCCTTTGTTTGCGCTGGGTGCGGTGTTCTGTCCTCCCAATGTTTCCACTCCGGCGTCCTCGAACGTTGGGAACATTGGGAAGTGAGATAAACACGCTGTGGACGCCGTGCATCCTGCGCAGTGGTGACCAGCGGTGGCAAAGTTGAACTGCCGGAACGGCAGCAGATTGCCGTGTTGGCGTTGTGTTGGTGCTGGAGGCCCCCGTTCCTTCCACGTCACTCGGCCTGTCAGATTGTTGGACAGTACCTCGGAAAATTACGCTCGAGAGGGTTAGCGTAAGAGAAATATACCATGTTGAACTAAATTGTGAGAAATCCTCACTCACGGCCCCCCCCACCCCCCGCCCCCCTCTTTACGAGCCAATTCCTTTACATCTCACATCTTCCTTGGGGGCTGTATTTCCCTCCCCCGTTCCTGGCTGATAATGACAGGAATTGGATGGATTTTTTCTGAAAGAAGGGGGATCCGTCTTGTTTTGTCAGGCTGCGGAAGTTCTCCCACGATTGAAACACAAGTAGGAGACCTCCGTGAAAAGGGAGCAAATTCAACAACATCCCGACACAATTTTCTCTTTTCAATATTCCTTTAATCGCCCCATCAGTTGGACCCATCGCTTGCATGGTGAAATGTCCGAACAACAGCGGAGAGTTTGCGCAAAAACATTTAGCAAAGCTGCAGTGTTGAACCCCTGATGGAAATAAAGCAACGAGCCAAACATTGTCCACACAACGGCCAATTAATGTAACAAAGTACGGAGTCACAAGGGAGAAATGCGCCTGCGTATGATCGGTGACTGGAGACGGGTTGGCTGTACTCTGTTATCTAGCGGTGTTGCAATGGCAATTTGACTTTATGCCTAAATCTTCTACATAAAAATATTCTGCATTTGATACCTTCAGTACATGTTTTGGGAACATCCTTCTCAAATAAAGGTTAATACATTCAGAGTTGGCAGAAAAAAGTAATCCGTCAAAATGATCAATCGCTTTCAAAACTGAATCTGGCTGAAAGTGGAATTTAGAGGTCAAAACACTTGAAGACAGAACAAACCAACGTCCTCTTTCTTCAAAGGTCACGAAAGCCACGACCTGAGACACGTCGGCCGAACCGTTCCCCTCACGCGTCTTAGAGGAAGTGGGCGAAATCCTCACTCTGCTGCTACACTAAAGCAGGATTTTGAAACGTCAGTAGAGGGCAAAAGCTACTGTGCCGGGGTTTATAATTTCCCAATTTGGGTGCAGCAACGGCGCCGTGGTGTTTCTTCATGGTTTGCTAACGGACACATGCAAAAAAAGAAAAAAAAGCAACTGCTCGGAGGAACTGACACAGGAAGGAGATATCAGAAGATGTCACTTCGCTCGCTGCCCTTTGCTGTAAACGATGACAGCCTGTGCAGAAGTCGATAGCAGCTGGAAGCCTGAGTCCACAATTTATAAAATAAATATTTGGCAGATTAAGTAATGAGTTGGCGCAACTTCCAGGCAGCGTTTACTCTTTTCTTTTTTGCACAAGCTTCCGCACACAAACAAATGACCCGCCATGCCCGATCAGTAACTTTAACCACCTTGAATCGAACACAACGTTCTGTCTTTCCTCTGAGGTTAACCTGTGAATCTGTCATTGTTTCCCCAAACAAAGGAGTTGCCTCCTATTGAAATGACTCCACCATGATTACATTTTCCTGTTATGTTCAAGAAGAGCTTGATGTTTATTTATAGCTGTTTCTAGGACTTTGGTGAGTCCCTATAGAATGTAAGCTACAGGGGGAACGGTGCGACACAATGGACACAATTCCTCTTGTTCCTCGATGTTGTTTCAGAATATTATGTCTGCGTTGGTTCACCAGCTGCAGCATTTGCATCCTCTGAGCTGCTTTGGCTACGAGACCAAACGCATGGAAGCAGTTCTGATAATGCTTATACAGAGTCATGTGACCTTAAAGTTAAGTGAGTGAGTGAAGGCTTCGGGGGGGCCCTCGACTGGTCCTTAGAAACTGCTCAAAAGAGAGCTTACTGTTACTGTAATGTGCCCAGTAAATGTTTCTGCCAGATCAATAGAGGCCACATCAAACATCGCCTTTGTGTGGCGTGTTCAGCGCAACAGTAGTGTCTATTTCTGCAATACATTAAAAGAAAAGAATCTTGTTTTAATTCAGTACAGAGTGAATATGGGACTTATTTTCGAATCGATGGTTAATGAGTGAGGAAGGATCCCAGTACGTCGGAGGTGACGGCACCGTGTCCTCTCGCTTTCATACATTCTGTCCACCAACAAACGCAGTTTGCAGTTCCAAAGTGGTGCAAGGAGGACGTCAGTGTGAGACGGTTATAGACACGGCTGTGGCTCGGCACTCGTGATTCACTGTTTCGACCCCTGATACTACAACTACTTCTTCAAACTTAAAGCAAAAGATAAGACGGAATGTCCTTAGTTGACAGAAGTGAGAACCAAAATGAGATTGAAACTGGTTGAGAAAATTCTGCCCATTTCAATGAAAATAATGAAATCACATATTTATCCTTCAATAGTGTAAGTTGTTAACATTTAGATTTTATGCAACCTTTGACTTAATAAAAAGGTCAGGGTCAGGTCAACTGTGAAAGTCAAAGCATGAGTGTTATAACTGCGTTATATGAGTTTTATAGGCTATGCCAACTTTACTTTACATGAGCGCTGCGGGGGAGTAGTGGGGTAGGGCGGTTGGGGGGTAGGGGGGGTAGGGGTACTAGGGGGTGGAGGAGGAGGAGGGGTGGGGGTCCCCGTGACGACCAATCAGCGCTCTCCTCGCACGGAGGGAGTGAGATGGTTCACAGCCAGCTACAAATACTGCGTGCCACAGAGTTACTCACTGAATGCGCCTCTTGGGTCGCCACGTCGGGGCAGTGTCACAGCACCTCGTGGGGGGGTCAAACTGAAGCGGGCTTCATTATTAACTTTGAAGTGCACAGATTTCCCCTCAGCTCCTCGGTCACCCGGAAAAAAACCCCCAGAGGACCAGCGAAACATCTCCGCCACCGTTACTAAGTGTCTGCAGAGCCAAAAGGAGAGACGCGCACGCGCTTCGGCTCCTGCGGCCGTCGGGCACTCTCTTTGCGCGAGGTGTGCACGTCAACTCGTCAGCCGGCATCAACGACCTCCATCAACTCCCATCACCCCGTGAGAGGCGACGCGCGCGCGCAGCCCTCTGCGTTTTCGCCGCCAACCTGCGAAACATGACGCGGAGATCGTGCGCGATCTACGCGGCGGGGATCGCCTGCGCCTCCCTGCTGGTCGTCGGGATCGGTTTAGTCGTGGCTCAAGTGTTCCGCACGTTTATGCACAACCGCCTCAAAAAGGTAAACACAAACTTTCCCTCCTTCTGCACGTGTTGTTGCAGTGACAAAAAGTAAAGAGTCCGTGGAAGTTGATGGGAGATCCTCGCTGCGTTGCAAACCCTCCTGGGGGGTTAAAGTTCACGTGCCTTTATCTTTAGACATTACGGATTAATGCGGTCACAACGGGCATTCGTTGTGATTTCAAATGTGCAAACTTTGAATACTATGTGACCAAACTTTGGTGCATGCTTTGCTGTTTTTTAAATTGTATTTTTCATTATGACATCAGGTGTGTTATATATGCAACGGTTGCTGGAGCGCATGTTGTTTTTCACAGTGATGGAGCGACTCCAATGAGCATGCTCACACTCACTGAGGCGGAGGAGCGTTATTAAGGGTTTATTAACCTCCACTCTGCAATCAGCACTTGCAGCTTGGATTGCTACACGCCCCCCCACACCCTTCCCCTCACCCCCCTCCTCCCCTCCCACCCCTCCTCTATACATTCCGCCTTGAATACTGGACACGATGACACGAGATGGTTCAAAGGCAAATTCCACAGCTAAGAATAAGTAAGGGCTGAGTTGGTATGGCTTGTGTTTGTTATTGGTCGGTATTTATGTCACAGACCTGCTGCTGAGAGAGGACGATATAAATGTAAACAGCTTCTCAAAGGCCGTGACTGCAAACGACTTTTTTTCTGACCATCTGTTCTGAAGATATTATCGTTTGAAAATTGACTTTAAAACGGTTTAGTTCATTGCTGTTGCTCAACATTCATTTCTTGAGTGATCGGTTCAGCGCTGTCAACTAGTTGTCAATTAGTTGTAGGACTTTTTCTTAATACTGTAAAACTATCTTTTTTTTTATGTATCCGTTCTTTGATTTTTTTTTTTGGTCCATTCAATTTCAGTAAATAATCAGAAATGCAAAATACTGTTTTTATTTCTGCTTAGTCAAAGTTGTGTTGTTCAGTCGCTGCTGATAAGAAGTGTTTGCTACTTCAGATTGTTAACAGATTCTGAGGATAAGAAACATAAAACATTGACATTTTAGTCCGTGGGAGGAAGGGTGGTGGGTGTATCTGTTTCATTATCATTTAAACTAAGTAAACATCTGTACCAATGACCTTCACAGCTCTGCAGTTTAAGGACTTCTTAGATCTTCAATCCCTGAGGCTGACAAGTCAACACACAAATACAAACACTTTTATTATCACGCACTAAATACAAACGTCAGTCAGTTGATTGCATCATCTGCAGGATTTAAACCGTTCAGCTCATTTCTCTCAACACACGCTTGGTCTGCTGCACTGTCGGGATGTGCAGGGTGACATTTGGTGCATTTTGGTTCAATTTGGCACATGTGGAACGTTCAATATTCGTACACTTTGAATAAAAAAGCAAAAGCGGCCGTTCAGCTCCAGCGGGGGCCGAGTGGAGCATGGCGTCCGCGGGAGGGGCTCTTTTCACACACCTCATTGACTGCAGTTCATTTCAGACAGTTTTGAGCGTTGGTTCCCACAAGGTTCACTTTGCTAGGATAACAGTGTGGACATGAGCCCAAACTCACTGTTATCAAACGCCACGCCTTAATCCTTATTTTCATATCCAACCTGCCGCTGCACAACGGTATCAGGTGACCTTTTCCCGAGAGGCTTAGTGTTGACTTTGGAGGTCATTGGATGTATACAGTACAATATTTAAACATACATTTTATTTGACTTTTAATGGCGTCTGAAGCAGGAAGTGGAGAAAAGATCCTGTTAGTTAATCAGTGGCCAGAGATAAGATTGTACCGGGCTGGTGTTGGTCACAGATGTGCTCACATTTTAAAGTCAACAGATGAATTGAAGTGTCATTTCACAATTTAAACAAGCTTATGCGGCAATTCATTTCATTTCAATCAATTTTGAGCCACCAATGGATGAATAAATAGACAAACTTGACTTCCCATCAGTGGGAGAATTTCATATAACAGATAATATAATATAATATCACTTTATGTTGTATGAAGAAGTCTGTTGTTTATCTATGTTATGGTATATCTATGTGATGATACCTGCTGGCTTTAGACCCAGACTGACCACAGTTAGTAACACGCGCTCTCATGGAGACATTCATCCGCTACCTCGGCGCTATGAGTTTTGTCAGCTGCGTCCAGTTGCCTCCTTTCCCCGAATTGCACCAGCGTGGAGGATCGCTTACCGCGCATACCCCCCGAGCTTCAGACTCTCTGCGTGCGCTGAGCCTCTTTCACGCTGCTCGTTTTATTGGGAAACCGACGCGCTTGGCAGTCCTTCAGCTTCCATTTGAGTCAACCCGGAGGTCAGCATGCGATGACCTGCTGATGGGGTAATGGTGGCCGATAGGTCGTCTGGCATTAGGCCGCTCGTAGCGCCTGGAAACCCCTCGTTTCTTAGTCTGCTGGCTTCTCGCTGGGTTTTTACCTTTGACACAGTTTCTTTTTTTTTTTTAATACTGATTTTGGAAGCGTTCCACATAACATACAGATGATTTGGGTCTCTACCCACAGTCATGTGCTCAAGGGTTAGTGTTTCCATGGCCAGTGGTTGTGAAGATATGTGACTTTGGACCGAGGCCCCACAAAGTTTACAAATAACAAAGTCTAAAGCTGTTCCAGTTGGAGGAAAAGTCAAAGGATCACCTTCCCACAATCTCCACCAAATCCCATTTCCACGCCGTGCTTTTCAAAGCCGTCCGTAGAGCGCAAACAAGTGTTCTTTCCGACATACAAATCTATTGAGAAAACACATCTTTAGTTAATTTAAAATCGTAAATTAGTAGTTAGCTTTACTTTTCCTTTGCAAACCAGAACCCCGGTTGATGGACCCTCAGGGTTCTGGTCACTTTAAAGCAGGGTGGGCCTTGCTGCAATAAGACTTTGATGGGATCAGCAGGGCTGGACTCCAGTTCAGCTGGTAGAGCCTCGTCGGGTGCCGAGACGACGTTCAGAGTATGCAAACCGCGTGCACCGCGCTCCTCGCCGCGCTCCTCGCCGCGTCCGCTGTTATTCGCCGCCGTGAATTTGCCTGCCTCGACATCAAAGCGCCATCTGTATGCGTATTTGTGTATTCACCTGCTACATGTGTTTTCAAAAAGGGAGCGGTGTAAGTAGTACTACTGAGATGAGAGGGTCTCTGTTCCTGTTTTCCGCGCTGTACTCCGTGCAGCACGCTGGGAGAGTTACCATAACGATTGTTTGAAGCATGAAAGGAGGACATGGAATGAGCCCCGCTCCCCTCCCTCAATCTAAAGGGACGGCTTTATTGTGCTTGACTACTCAGCTAAACTTTTGTCTTGGAACAAGTAGATGGGACCCCAAAAGAGAAGGGAGGGAGGGGGGGGGGCCGTGCTCCCCTGAAATAACGGGACCCGTCGGTGGGCTTTTCTCATTCTGAAGCACAGCTTTTCACTTTTAACAAACAAATCTGACACAATTCGCCCCAGAGAGAGAGAGAGAGAGAGTGAGATTCCCTCTTCCCTCTTCTCTCACTCCTTGCGTCTTCCAGTTCCTCAAAAGGTTCCTACAGTGAAGCAGGTTGCCCTTTTTCTCAGGCGATGGATATCTGCTGGGGGGGGGGAAAGGATCGAGTGCACCGTGAGAAGAAACAGGATGCTGAACGTGTTTTTGTGTCCTGCCCCCCCTCCATGGCCACGTAGGGCCCAGCGCTGAGGAATGCGGCTAAGATCATTAAGGGCGCAACAATCGGGGCATCCAGTTCTCGGCATCACATGACGTGCCCCCCGGCCCCCCCCCCCTCCATGAGTGCCCGTTGTCATGGGCAACCGCTGACAATGGAGAGCCGAGGCGGGTCTCCCTCAAAACCATTCATGTGTGTTGTTGCCTGACGCTAAGACAGCAGCTGCCCCCCCACCCCCCACACCACCCCCACCCCGCCAAGGATGTTTTTGCTCTCGGGGGGTTTGTTTTTACTACGGACCGAAAGGTACTGGAAAGTCTGAATTCAAAACATGTGTTTTGAGACGGCAGAAACCTTTGCACATCTCGCATCAAATGCATCATCGGCCGAAAAACGCTTCTGCTTGCAAAATGAAAAAGGAAATGGGGGCGGTGGGTGTTTTTGCATTACTTTGAAACAGAAAAGGTTTTCACGTAGTTAATTAGTTCACTTTTTTTGTCCCAACAGGAGATTGTTTTGGTCGAGGGAAGCCGCGTGTTTGAGTCATGGAAGAGCCCCCCCCCTCCGGTCTACATGGAGTATTTCTTCTTCAATATGACCAATGTGGATGCGTTCCTCGCGGGGGCCAAGCCTCAGGTCACGCAGGTCGGACCCTACACGTACAGGTAGGCTGCCAGAACACAAACCAGCGGGTCAAACCTGCCACTGAAATTCTATTCTGTTCTCACCTCAATGTTGAGTTGCATTTAAAAGGACGTTGTTTTTGGCCGCGGTAAGCACATTGTGCCGAGGGCCACATTAAATCACTTCCAGCAAAACTTCCTGGAAAGCGGCACCAGCGATATGTTTTAACCCAACATTCTGTTGAGTATTAAAATATAAACAAGCACGCTTACGCTAGAATGAAATTACACTTGAACTATAAATGCATAGTAATAATGGGTGATGGCCGCTTAAATGCCGGAGTGCACGAACAACACCAGCGCACAAACATGTTGCAAAAAATATGCACGCACTATTTGGGTCAAATGCAGTTCAACAGGAACCACCTGTTGCCCATTTTAACAATAACAAGTCCATACATACGAACAACATAGGCGCGTTGATCCGAGAGCCTAGAGGGATGAACATCCCGGTGCTCCTACGAGGGCCTCGGAAAGAGCCCCCTCCAACAGCTGTCTGACCAATCCAAAATGCTCTTAGAGACTATAATACCAGCGCACTTTGTATTAGGCGCCTTTTTTCATGTCGTTGTTAAACTTCCTGAAATAGGTCCGTGCACGTATGACTGCAGGACACAATACTCCTTGGGTTAATTAAAGTATCCGCTTTGACAGCTGTAGTTAGTTTTGTCCGTCGCAACAATTCTCTGGTATTGCTCAGCCGAAAACAAAGAATCCGTCTTGCTAACCAGCTTAAGAGGCTCAGCCCTGCAGCACAACGTTTTAATAATCATGTGATATCTGCAGGGTGACTACAGGGGGAACACAAGCTTTTTTACTCTCCAATACAGACCAAGACCCCGACATATGAAATTGATTATTGGCTTTGAGGGGTTCATGTTTTCTGCTGTCTTCAAATCTGGACCGCATCAGCTTTTTTAACCTTCAATTGTTGTTAATATACAATAAAAAAAAAGCGTAAAGTAAGTGTAAAAAAATAAAATCCAGCCAGGTTCATTTCAATGGCTGTGACCCCATCCTGCTAAAGGTCAGTCTGAGGTATCTACAGTATGTTGTTTCACGTCCTTTTCAGTCCTGATTGGAAACTTTAGGTAGATTTTGATTTTGAATCACTTGTAAAATAAATATTGAGGTCCACTGGTGAATTAACAAAAAAAAAACACTACAGTGCTTTCCAAGACCCCCGAGCCTTTTATTGTCAGGGTTACTAAATGTTAGAACGTTGTATTGAAAAAAAAAAAAGTTGTGTGTTGAGATCCATGCAATGCTTTTTGAGTCATTAACTGTTGTGAGAAGCCAATGTGTCCCTGGAGCAAGTCCAGAAAGCTTAATTCCCGTTTGTTTGTTTGTTTTTGCACAGGGAGTACAGGTATAAGGACAATGTGAGCATGTTGGACAATAACACGATGGTGTCCGCATACAACTTCAAGAAATTTGTGTTTTTGAGAGAGAAGTCTGTGGGTGACCCGGCTGTGGATAACATCACTACGGTCAACATCCCGGCCTGGGTGAGTCACGAGCTAAAGGTCGTAGACATGAACACGAAAGAGGGGGAAAGTTGAGTGTGTGTGTGTGTGTGTAATCTATAACTGACTTCTACACTGTATTTATTGCTTCCTCAATCTTCCTCATCCTGCTCTCTTTTTGATTACTCACCCACATGTCATATCCAGGCTGTAATGAACAAGGTGAAAGGGAGCTTCTTTAGGGCCTCCATGGCGTCCATGATGATGACAAGCGCCGGCTCGGGTTTCTTTGCCACTCACACGGTGGATGAATGGCTGTGGGGCTACGAAGATCGCTTGCTGGCCCGCGTCGCTGCCAGTAGTCCGGACGTGGACAAGGTCTTTGGTCTGATGTACAAGGCACGTACATGGCCACAAATAATCAAAGCGGATGCACCTCAGATTATGTTCATTGCCGATGAAAACAGCAAGATCTATTGTTCCCCTTTTGATGAATGACATTTTCCCTGGAATCCTGCCAGCTCTCAAAACTGTTTCATCAATTAAACATGAACGCGTTTGTTTGACTGAAACCTTTGGATCTATTTAGAAAAACGGAAGTCACTCCGGGGAATTTGTGTACCACACTGGGAAGCAGAATTCTATGGAGTACGGCCGCGTCGAAACATGGAAAGGCGAAAGGTAGCGCTGTCGCACACTCCCACAAACGCACGCTCCCTCCCGGTCTTCCTCCGCTGTGACTTGAGACTCGTATCTGCTGCTTTTTGCGAAATAATATGCGAGCCTTTGTTCGGGCTGTTTCCTTCATGGCAGAGCTCAGGACAGGATATCAGGGCGCCCTGAAAGATTTAATGCCTTTCTGGCGACCTCTCTTATCCCGTTATGTTCCCTCAGTACGCAGCCTCTAATTACATAAACTGTACTTTCCGACGGGGATTTTAAGATAACCACGTGTTTGTTCATCAAAACATGTTTTTGTTAAGCATGCTATTAAGATGGAGATAATAGTGGTGTTAAATACATGTTGTTTGATTCTGTCTATGTCGATAAGAACATTAATCTGGGCACAAGTCATTGGGCATCCTGTCTTCAAAATATTTACATTCACTTTGCAAGCAGCACAAATTCCACTGAGTGCTTTAAGATCCCCTTTTGTAATTGCATTGTGAAAATGTGATGCTCATGTGTCGTTTTTCAGCAAGCTGACCTTCTGGACGTCTAACCAAAGCAACAGCATCAACGGATCAGATGGAAGTGCCTTCCATCCCTTTCTGGACAAGAATGAGCGCATTTACATATTTACTCCCGACCTCTGCAGGTACGGTGCAGCATCTCCGTTTGAGAAAGTTATAAAAACACAGGAAATCTGCCCCCGGCCTAACCTGGTATTACCAATTCAGCAGTTATCCATCTTAACTCATATCTGGTATGGGCACAACAAGCACAGTACGGCCGTTTCTGAGAGGGCTTTTTTAAAAAAGGCTAACATGGTAGTTTTCAGGAAGCACGTTGTGGAAAGGTTACGATGGGAGGAAGGTTGGTTTGCAGGTAGGGTCATTAAGGAAGGGGAAGGTTAATCGGGAGCACGAGGATGAAAACTCCTTAAAGCAATTAAGGGTTGTTTGTATCAAAATGGTGATGATGGTGATGACGATGGAATGATGTTCAGGGAAATAGCATCGGTTTCTGTTCTTGACCAGCTGGGAAATGAGCTTTATAAATCTGGCCAATTATTTTGTCCTTCTTCTCAGAAATGTCTGCGAGACATGTTCAGCATTACTTCTTTGGAACGACACATATTTCTGGAGCATTTCAGAAGAATTTCATGCTTTTGAAACCGCCTCACGCAGTGACTGACTGAGGAACACAGTTCTAATGCCAGAACTTCAGGGAAAAACCGCGATCTTTTAAATAACCCGTCGCTTTAGTCATCCTTCCTTTTAATGAGCGTTGAAGAGCATAATCCGTTGAAGAGCAAAAAATAAAAAAAGCCGCTCCTAAATGTTTTCACTTTCACCTACTTCCTCATTGCCTGTTGGCTTCATCGCGTGTTCATCTCGCACACAAGAAGTTCTCAGCTTTTAGTCCCTGTAAGCGGAGTTCAACACCCCTTTGTGTGAAAACATGCATTTGGGTAAACGGAATCTGTGACTGATCTGATCTGAACGATTTTCAAAAAAAGTCCCCCGTGTGATCTGAGGGGGTCGAGATCCCGTTTGGTTCCGTAACTCACAGCCTCGCTGGAAAAAAAACCACGGGACTGTGATGAACGGGGGACGTTGTTTAAACACCAGCGTGGCGTTTGGAGGACAACTGTACTGTGGTATTTCATGTAACAAAAAAAAGAAAGTTGGCCCGCACACATCGAAGAGAGTTAGATATAAAAGGCCATTATCTCCGCTGCATTTATCTGAAGTGAATTCACGCCGTAGCGGCCTCTCATGACCAGCCTTGTAAGGCAGAAGCTTTCACTGTGAGGAAGCACGTACGGCTCTTTACTTGGCTTCTCTCGCAGAGGTCAAGGGAAAGGTCTCTGCAGTATTGTTGCACGGTTGGTGGGCTGAGCGGTAAAGGCCAGCTGGCAGACACTGTATGGAAGCCTTTGTTCTCCATGAGAATTGTCGGGATTCCCTTGACACATAGCACGAGGACGACGTGCTCAAATAAGCGCTAATCTCTCAGCGGCTGTAAAGACACGACAAATCCATGAAAATAACGGAAAATGTACAATTTTTGAGGTGAAAGAAAGAGAGCGATAGCATTTCTTTTATGATGTCAACGTATTTCTAGTCTTAATTGAGAATGCTGATACGCAACAAATTGGTTCTCGGCAATAAAATGAAGTGACAATACGCTGGTGAACAGAGGCGAAGAAATGAAATGATGACAAAGAAACCTGCGGCTCCTTTTGCCCTCCAGGTCGATCCACATGGAGTTCGAGAAAGAAGTGGAGGTGAAAGGAATCCCGGCGTACCGCTTCACGCCGCCGCGCTCCGTGTTTGCCAGCAAAGAGGAGAACCCAGCCAACGAGGGCTTCTGCGTCAGCCCCAAAGAGTGCCTGGGCACCGGCCTGCTCAAAGTCAGTCCCTGTCGCAAAGGTGAGTGTCGGCGCCTCTATTCCCCGCCGTTACGCTCTGGCCTCATGTAGAAAACGCATACCTTCATATCGAAGAGGTCAGATCTTGTTCTTTAGGCTTTCCACACCAGCCAGACGGTCCAAGTTCTCCTTCATACCCTCTAAGTGACCCATGTGACACGGCCCTCTCAACACTTCAGGCGCCATCTGACCATGACTGGCCCAGTAGCTGGGAGGGGGAGGGGGGGGCTGCTTAGCCCCGTCACCTGATGCTGGCCTTGAGGAGGTTTAGTGCCACAGAACATTTGGAAAAAATGTTGTTAGAACATTATCATTCCCTGTGAAAGAACAGGAGACAGGAGGAGTGTCTTGATGTGGTTAATGTGTTTTATATTAATAACTCACCGTATTTTTAGTTCCTGCTGCAAGGATTTATTACTCTGTGTTCCATTCAGTCACGCCATGCGGATACTTGTAACTTATTTTGGAGAGGCATTTAACAAAAGGGAACGTCTTGTCATTCTTGTGTTCAAGTTTCAAGATCATTGCTGGGAGGGAATACATTTAATAGCGGGTTGATTTGACGGGATATTTGCACGCTGTCGACCAAGAAGAAACAGGCACTGAGTTGTTTGCAGTTTCTTCTCCCATGACCTACTTGGCTGCTGTTCACATAAATGTTAATCATGCGTAATACCCAATTAAAAAAAAAACAAGGCGCTGGGAGAGAGAAGGTTAAGCTCAGGTGTTAAGGAACGAACCCGGCGATTAAGAGGCACTCATAAGTGTACCCATGCAAACATGTGTACGTGTGTGTCTGTGTGTGCGTTAAACGACCTTGTGGGTTGTGACGGGAACGCCCTCTCAGGTGACAGCGGCCGTGTGATGTTTTTGGCAAACGTACGTTGCCAAACACAAGTGCAGGAAAACCGTCACCTCTGTCCTACTTCTTCAGCACCTCGCGCTGTGCAACCATTTGACTTTGTTGTTGCTGGCGAGACGGCGACTTTGTCCGACGCTGCGCAGGTGGAACCTCACCGCTAATGATCTCCACGAGTGCACATTTCCTCATCCGTGACCGAGGCCGTGTTGTACGAGCGGCGAGGGGTGGGGGGGGGGGTCTCTGTTTACAATATGAGGAAGGAACAAAGTAACACGAGTCTGCAGCTGGATTTTAGATGCAGCCCTAACTTTGTTCTATTAACGGGTTATTAATATTCCATTAGTGTTCCTATTGTTTGTTTTCTTAGTAAAATTGATTCTGAGGAACATGCTGCCTTTCCTGAGGCGGAGGTCAGATTATATCTCATTACCTTCCCCTGAGGACGCATTTACGAATGTTCGTGACATTTGATAAGATTGTTGTTTTGTTTTCTAAACGCCTTCTTCGATTGTTGATTGTTTGATTTTGTTTCAGGAATCATAAGAGGCTTCGATCTTTATCAAATGTTCTCACCTGACATTAGATAACATCTCTGCACAAATCGGTGTATTTATTAGAAGAATAGTGATAAATACACATGTAATATCATGAATGAATTGGCCATATTAATGTGTAAAATCTTGTTATAGACACGTTAAAAAGTTGCATTTAATCGTTATTAAAGAAGAAGCCACATATTCCCAGAAGATGATTCACATTGTTTGTCAAATTTCACATTTTCCACCTAATAACAATAATAATAATAATAATAATACCACAGCAACAGGAGAGCGAAAGGAGACTCATTTGTTTCAGAGTAGAGAGACTTATTGTGGTGATTGTGGCTTGAACCTGGATCCTCTCCTCACCCAGGGGCCCCGGTGGTCGCGTCCTTCCCACATTTCTACCTGGCCGACAAAAAATACGTGGCCGCCATCGGGGGGATGTCCCCGAAAAGAGAGCATCACCAAACTTACCTGGACCTGAACCCGGTGAGCACACAGGCTCGTCAGCCTCACGACCAGAAAAGGAAAAAAGACGGGAGCAAAACATTTCCCTCAACTACTGGAACGCTGTGCTCCAACTCCGCCACCTAGTGGTACAGAAAAGGAACCGCAGCTTGGTTCCTCCAACCAAAACCACGTCATAGATGTCATGTTGTTGTCTGTTCTGGTGACGAAACCATCCACTTAACATTATTAACACTAGATTTGTTTTTTCTTGCAGACCACGGGGGTGATTGTTCGTGCAAACAAGAGAGCTCAGATAAACATGTTGATCGAAAGACTCTCTGGTTTCCCGTGAGCATCCGAACGCTATTCCATAGTACCGATGTGTGTGTGTGTGTGTGTGTCTGTGCCGAATGTAATCGCTTCACTCTCTTTCCATTTGGTTCACAACAGGAAAACTAAAGTCCTGAATGAGACGATCTTTCCCATCATGTTTATCAACGAGGTAAGAAACACTGAGAGGTGCTGACACTTACGTTGCGGGTCGTGGATCATCGCTCAATTGTAATATTAGAAACAAAGCGATGTGTGTTTTTTTCACTCCGAAATGGAAATAAAGCCTCTTTGTTGAATCAGGGCGAAACCTCTGGGAGTGGAATATTCTGGATGCTGAAACCAGCCACCAGTAATAAATAAATAAAAAGTTCCCGGGCCATAATGTACCTTTCGCGTTGCCGTGTGATACGCAGAGCGTGGTGATTGACGACGCCTCCGCGGCGAGGGTCCACAAGCTGCTGCTGATCGTCACCGTGGTGTCCAACTTCCCGCTCTTCATCGTGGGCCTGGGCGGCATTATGCTGCTGGTCTTCATCGTCCTCCTCTTCCGAGCCCGCAAACAAAAGGTACGACGGACGCTCCGCGCCTGTTTTCATTCCAACTGCTCACAATTCGCTTGCCTTGTCTCAATGAGTAACGTTGTCCATCTTTGCGTGACACTCTGTGCACTTTGCTTGTGTGTCTTTGTGCAGAACGAAGTTAAGCGCACTGTGTTTACCAAGCCTCTATATGCTGTAAGTCTTGCCGTCGCTTCGTGTGATATTCCATGTTGTGTCCGCTCCATTCAATCTCTATTTTTTATTGTTTGTTTTCGACACATTAACATAATTCAGGAATAAAATGTCTAAGTAATTCAGAATGTATACTTGCAATGTGAGGTGACGGGTTCAGCATGTTTACCTGTACACGATAAATTGAGATTAGCTTTTTAAATGTTTTTTTTGCATCTCCATCCCCCCCCACTAGACCTCCAACGAAGAGGGCACTTCTTACTCTCCAGTCAGTGACAAGGAGAAGGAAGATCCTCAAAACGGCACCTACATCTCTTTGACCCCGAAAGGTGACCCCGAGGCTTGAGGAGGGGTGGGGGAGGGGGGGGGGGCTCCGTTCAACCATCACAACTTCACACGGGGATTCGGGTTTTCAGGAGAGGGGTGGGAAATGATAAATACCTCCTTTATGAATGGAAATCTTCGGCGGTGGAGGAATTGAGGAGGGAAAACTTTTTTTTTTTTTTTCTAATCTCAAAGTCTATGTGGTCCATTTGAGTCACGGGGGACTACCTGACGTCAAGCTCGCAGTACGTTCTGAATTACGAGAAAAGGTTTGACATTTGTTTGTGAAACACTGTGCGTGAAGGGCTACTTATTGTTGTGGAATAAATTATATTTTAGGGCTTGGGCCTCGCCTCATTCTCTCATACTTCCCAGTAGAGAAGTCCATTAACTGTGAGTTTTTTTTAAAGGTATGATACACCACTCTCAGGGGGGCCTCTGCTTTAATACTACGAACCACTGTTAAAGAAAAAGGAGCAAAGCGAAACAAACGTCAAGCCTTCTCTTTGTGAAGACGTTTCAGTCGATTCAGTATTACTTACGTGTCATTTGCGTTTGATCCTAAACTAAATGGCTCGTTGTGGTTTTCTACTGGTGCACTGTGCTTAGAGGAACATCTGTGGACATACACGTCAGAGTATATTTGTGTACATACACAGTGCAAGCTGTTTACATTCCTCTCAGTGTGTGACGGGAATGAATTTAAGACAAAACACTGAATGTTTGAAACTTTTGTAAAAGTCCTATTGATCTGTTGTAAATGTCAATGTAGAGATGTTTGAATGCAAAGTTAGAGCGTCACACGTGTCCCCTAGTGACACCGTTATTGGCCTTTTAAAGCAAAGTGCCGTATGACTTTTTCATACAGTACTGAATCTGTATGTTGACAGTATTCTACCCTGTATAACTGCTTGTATTAACTCATCACCATATCAAAATGTAATTCAGCGTATTATCATTTAAAGGTGGGCTTATATGAGCCCGCGGTAACGTTGTTAGCGCTAAAATAGAACCGACATACCTTTTTTTTTGAACATTTGTGAAGGATTCCCTTAAAAAATGAAGGTCAAATGTGAAGAATTACTGAAGTTATTCCTTTATAGGAATCATGTTTCTGCAATTATTTCTTTTTTTTCCATATTTTGTGAACATAATGCCATGTCACACCAACAAATCTACTCTCATGTGCATCTTTTACTTCTAAATACCAAACAAAAGTCAACATTAAACCATGGCCGTTTAATAGTTGCTTCTTAGGGTCAAACTTTGTCACTCGAGGCTGGTTAAATTATCCGATTTCAGGTCCATTTAATGTAACGCCGTGAATGCTGCAGAATGACTTGCTTGTATCTGTGTTGAGCCCAGCTTGTGTTACTGCTCTTATTCCTAGTTGCAACAGTTTAAGGATGAATGACTTACATGCACTGTAGTAATCAGCAAGCAATATATCACACAATAGTGGGGAAGCTTAATTTTGAGATTCCTCATTTGATTTGACTATTTGTATACTTTAATGAGTCTAGCACAGAAAACCCAATGAAAATTGAAGAAATTCACGTAGAGTGCACAATGTAGCTTCATTTAAAATGGGTCAATTAATGAATAAAGATGCAAAAAAATACAGTATCATGCAATACTGGAATTGTGGTTAAAGAATTATGATTTTTGTTTTGTTTTGTTGGTAAAACCAAAACACAAACAGCACCATATGGATTGAACACCGGGTTACTTTGTGTCATACTTTGATCACAGATTGTACTTTCTGAAATCATTGTTACTGCTATAGCCATGTATTCTTTAGTTGCCCATAGCTTTGAAACAGACTGTTAATACCATTTTTACTGCATACACAAAAATAAAATTAGTTTCAGAAAATGCGTCTTTACATCACTTTTACCTTGACATTGTGTCATTTATTGTAGAAATTTTTAACTCTCGAATTCATCTTCGCCAGTGGGTAAAAATATGCACGGCATAAACAACCGAGCGAAGGAAAGAACCGGGGGGGTGCGCGCTCTTAACTGCGTTGCTCCCTAACGTCACTCATGTTGTGATGCAACCGAAGGCTGAGTCTGGATGTATGGATAAGGAAACTAAAAAAAAGTAACTCTATCTTGCCACCTTGCCAGGGTGCCAAGACCTGATAAAGGAGGAGGAGTTGGACATAGAGCAATGCAAATAACAGCCTTATGATTGATATTCCAACATTTAACGATTTTAGTTTACTGTAGAAAGACCTTAAAATAGGGTTTATAATCAAAAAACCTTCACCAAAGTTGAATAACAATAGAGAAATGAATAGTTATGTATGCGTTACCATGCTAAGACTTTTCTGGTCTGGCCCACTTGAGATCAAAGTAGGTAGTAGTAGTAGTTTGTGGCCCCTTAACTAAAATTAATTTGAAGTTCAAATTTTACTGGCATTGTATGAATTGTTACAGGATTAAATTCAAAAAGCGGGGTAGTCCACGCCACTTAAACTCCAGGAAAACCATATATCAGAAAATAAAGACATATTGGGCTCTTGAAGAGATCTATTATTTGTCCGTTGCTTTTAAGACACATGTGTATTTCACTTTCACAAGATTTCGTCAATAATATATAATTATAATTTCACCCTAAAATGAGCCGCCATTGTATTTGCTTTTACCATTGGAATGAATGAGCGCCTCTTTTTGACTGGGCCCATCATTAGTAACCATCCCGCATGCCGACTGCAGGTGGCGCTGCTGCGCCGTTACGTCGGATGATCACAGCTGAGCCTCAAGAAGAAGAAGAAGAAGAAGAACCGCCTGCGTCTGAAAACATCCAACATGGCGTTCAGTTTTGGCGGAGCCACGAGTAACCCAGCTGCAAGTAAGGACATTTTAATTGGGTTTAGGATTATGTAAATGACAATAAAACAATGCAAATTTCACATTGTCCAGATAGTGTTACTTTTGTGTGTGTACATTAGCAACTGATGCTCTCCGAGCTCACTTCAAGTTAGCCGTCATGACGATTGAATCAACTGGCCCACTTAATGCGAAATGCTTTCTAACGTTATAACTATAATATTGTGTGATTACACCTTAATGTCAGAGTTGGCTTCAGTGAAACATCACTCATGTGTCTGTCAACGTAAAAGTTACAGTAACGTCACCGTAACGGTTAACGTTAACTTCTTGTTAACTATCGCAACAGCATTTGGCTAACATTAGCTGTCTTGGCTAACGACTAACGTGAGCGTTAACTCTCACACGTTTACCTCATCCATGCGGCCCTTTTTTTCTTTGTTGACGAATGATTTGGTCGCAGCCTGCTAAATCTATTCTAGCTGTGCCTTAACGTTGCTGTCGGGCCACCCAACACTCACCGCACTCTCTTATGTTCATGTGAAGGCACGTCCGGGTTTTCTTTCGGTTCATTTGGTGCCAAACCCACCGCATCAACGGCAGCATTTGGCTTCGGCCCCGCAGCCACCACCACCACCACGGCCGCATCCGGATTCGGCAGTAAGTCCAGAGATGTGACCCTCATCGCAGGTGGGGTAGAGTGGGGGGGGCCTCGCCCTCGCCCTCTACCCCACCTATGAGCCACAGGGATCCCACCCGCCTCCACTGGGCTGTTGGTCGCCGATATTGCGGCAGATTTAACAGTTCCCATTGGTTTGTCTCAGGTCAAAAATGAGAGCTTGGAGCTAGAGCTAATGGTGGTCCCCACATCCTAACGGGGGTTCGGGCTTATTTAGGTTGAGGATAACACGAAAAGAACGATGGGGAAGCGAGCAGTGGCATACGTTATTAATAATTCGTCAATAATTGTAATATTTCCCATCATTATTTTGCTCACTAATTTGTAAATCTGTTGTTAATTCTCTGTACACATAACATCTACCATACTTCCGATCCCTCCTGTGTTGCTCCCCTTAAGGTTTCTACTTTTCCTCCTCCCTCACATTGTTTTTCGTCTAGATATTTGAGCGTCACGAAAGCTTCACCAACTTGTTTTGGTAACAGAATAACTTCAACTAAAATCGAATGTGTGCAAACTTTCTAAAAATCATTATTGTGTCTCCCGTACGGTTTTATAGGAAATGTGTGTAAATGTATGTGTTGCACATCATTTGTGCAAACTAGAATCTGTTGTGGACTCATTTGGCACCATGAGGCGTGAATGAAAACACAGAAAATGATACTTGCATGTATTATTGGTATTCAATTTCAAAAGACAGTAGTCTGGTATATATTGTCAGATAAAGAGTACCTTTTATTAAAATTAAGTATTTAAACTGTGATATGTGTTGTTGTAATCAAATCTGGATGCCAGTTTAACTGTCTGCCTTTTTCTTGTGTCTGCTTTTTCATTGTAGCTCTCACAGCCCCTGGTTTCGGGGCAGCCGCCACTACTGCTGCCGCACCGGCCACAGGATTTAGTTTTGGCTCCACCAACACTGGTAAGATGCACATTTTTGCAACTTAATTAACCCATTCAAGCCTGACCTTTTTTCATTTAACTCCTCTGTGTCATTCTCTCTTTCTCGCTGCCTGCCTCCGTTGGCTGCAGGATTTGGGGGGCTGGGAGCTGGAAGCACCACGGCTGGTGGGTTTAGTTTTGGGGGGCTTGGTTTAAATGCCAACCCAGCAGCAGTCAGCTTTAATGTGGGGTGCTTTGGTACAGCAACCACCACGGGCACTGTTTTCAATTTTGGTAATAGCCTGGCTAGCACAGGTAGTTGACCTTTGTGATTGATTAATCAGTACAGCCTGTGTCTGTAAACACCCATTTTCCCATCTATGTGGTGCAGTGATATTATTTTTTGTCATGTTGCGTCGTCTCATAAAGTTTGCATTTATTTTCATTTGCATGATTCATTGTTGGATTATGTGTTCGTCCAATTTGATTCATGTGAACTTTTACCTTCTGACCGATGTTAAGATGGAACTCAAATTCAGTTTTTTTTTTATTAAAGTAGAAGCTCAGTCATGATTTTTGTCTTTTACAATTAGTCAGCAATTTCTTTCTTGTATTGATCTTACTTTTTTAACCCCTTATTTCATTTGGCATGATTTGCTTTGTTTTCCAGGCACGTTTGGTGGCTTTGGGACAACAACAACAACTGCTGCTGCACCAGGGTCCACATTTAGCTTTGCTGGTCCCGCCAACACTGCAGGTCAGTCGTGTTGCTCATATTAAATACCACCATTTATGTGTGTAGGCCAACACATTTGTTTTTCTATGTTTTTATAAAGAGTATGTTCCCCAGTTTTGTCCAACTGGGGCAACTGTTATCAAAGACAGGTTGTAGAAAAATGAATCCGTTTTCAAACAAATATCTTTACTACACGGTAATGCAAGGGATTTTTTTTTTTACAAATATAAACTATACTGAGTCCCGCAGGAAGATTAATGTACATTAAGGTAATTATTAAGTATTAGAATGTCTTAGACGAAAGTTAGAAATGGTAATAAACCAAAAAAGGTTGACTAGTAAACTGATATTAATTGGTTTGGTTTAAGTTTTCTAAACTCCCCCGGTTTGTGTTTGCATGGCAACAAAGGCTGTAAAATACTCTTTACACTGGAATCAGTATCATTAATGTCCATTTGTTCTTACTGTGTTGGCTCAACCTTCTGCTTTAGGCGGCCTGTTTGGTAACACGCAGAACAAAGGTTTTGGGTTCTCCTCTGGGCTTGGCGCTGGGACCGCTGCAGGGACAACGGGATTTGGAACTGGATTAGGAACAACTGGCCTCGGTGGGTTTGGAGGCTTTAATATCCAGCCAGCTCAGCAGCAGCCAGGTGAGAGCCTTCCACTCTTCCCAGATAACAGCTGAAGTGTTTCCATGTGACGATAAGGAATAATGATCCAAAGAAGACAGTTAAGATAGAACGTTAGGTCTGATATTTATTTTTAAAATAGTAAATGATAAAATAATTGATTAATTAGTAAATGAAGTATTCCCTTGAAACGCCATGTTTGAATTGCCTCGTATGTCCAGCAGTATCGAGATTTTGGAGGGTTTTCTTGCACAGAAAGCTGACACACAACAGCCACATCTCCTGTCCCCATGTGCTGTGCACCTCTTAACACTGCAGAGGGCAACAAGTAGACAGTTGCAGGTTTCAGCTCTAACATCATCCGTCCAACACTGTGCATCTGAAGCTCAAATATACGACCTGTGCAATTCGTGTATACATAAAAAATGTGACTTTCATTTAAATATAAGATAACAGTCATTAGGACAGTAGTTTTTCCTGTCTCATAAAGAACAGGACAATCTAACAATATATCCTTTCCTCTCTCCACACCTGCTAGGGGGCTTGTTTGGCCAGCAGGCCCAGCTACAGGCTCAGCCCACCCTACTTTACCAGCAGGTCACTGCTCTTTCAGCTCCCACCTTGTTGGGAGATGAGCGTGACTCCATTTTAGCCAAGTGGAACCAGTTGCAGGCCTACTGGGGCACTGGGAAGGGCTACTACAGCAACAACAACCAACCCGTGGACTTCAGCCAAGAGAACCCTTTCTGCAGGTTCAAGGTAATGGTGCATAGTTGGTTTGAGGGCTTGGATGTGCTCTAGGCTTCCTTTTTTGAATATGAACATCAAATTATAGTCCTTTATGTTTTTGTTGTATTCACCAGGCGGTGGGCTACAGCTGCGTCCCAGTGAGTAAGGATGAGGATGGTTTAGTGGTCTTGCTTTTTAATAGAAAGGAAGCTGATGTGCGAGCTCAGCAGCAGCCACTGGTGGAGTCCCTCCACAAGGTCCTGGGAAACAACCAGACCCTCACTGTCAATGTGGACGGTGTCAAAGCTCTGCCAAATGACCAGTAAGTCATCAGTACTGCTACACCTATGGCTCCCTAATTAGTTTCAGAAGAGATTGTGCAGAAATTGGAATAGATATTTGATTGATTGCGAATCTCTCAGGACCGAGGTGATTGTTTACGTGGTGGAGCGTTCTCCCAATGGCACCTCCAAGCGCATCCCGGCCACCACACTGTTCAGCTATCTGGAGCAGGCCAACGTCAAAGTCCAGCTCACGCAGATTGGAGTGGTCATGTCCGTGGCACGCACAGAGCTGTCTCCGGCTCAACTCAAGCAGCTGCTTCAAAACGCGCCTGCAGGTAAGCGAGTGCATGCGCGTTTTGTGCCGTCCTCAGCTGAACTCCAGATTGTTTTTAGTTGGGTTTTTTGTGCGTGTGATTTACTTCTGAGACTGTTGTCTTTTTTCACACAGGTGTGGACCCCATTATTTGGGAGCAGGCTAAGGTGGACAACCCTGACCCAGAGAAGTATGTTGCTGAAGAACATCTGTCTGACTCCAAATATATTGCCATAGGAATCATGTGGTGGGGAGTGGGAACAGTTAGAGACTGGTGGATGTTTGAGTTTTTCACATTTTGGCTAGCATCACTTCTTGTACCTACTAAATAATATAACCTCAACCAGTTTAGACTATAATGCCATAAGCCATGTTTTACAAGTGGAACGTAATATATGTAGAAAAGTTGAGTTTTACACCATTTATTTCCTTTATGACAAAAAATTCGCTCTGATGGATTCCAGATCAGTGCCCTTCAAGGCACATTTTCTGCTAGCGTTTTGTGGTTTACGACATGAATAATGCATCTTAACTTAATGTGGTCAGGCATTTAATAGTTTTACCTCATGTGCTTCTCCAGGTTAATACCAGTGCCCATGGTGAGTTTTAAGGAGCTTTTTCGTAGGCTGCAAATCCAGGATCAGATGAACAAACAGCACCAGACCAGAGTGGACGTAAGTAAAAAACACCCACTGATGCAGCCGGTCTTTTTTTCGCCAAAAGACATGGGCAGTGTGCCTTCTGATTACCAACAAAGGAATTTGAAACAAATGTTGTGGTGTCAAGGTCGGAGTCCACAGATGTCCTATTCATGATAGCAGGTTGTTTACAGCTGACATTACTATTACAAATACAGCTGCAAGTGTCGAGCTGAGCGTAAATAAGGGGGGGAATACTATATTTAGACTATACAAGCATTTTTCTCCGTGGTTTATATTTGAGGATATTAACCCTTTGTAAATTGGGTCTATCAAAAGCAATGAGCTAATATTACAACCAAATACAACACCAAACGTGTGTGAAATGATAAATCAATTGTTCTATCGTATTATGTTGCTCAGAAAAATACCAAAAAGCCGTAACTTGAAGAAGAATAATCTTAATCTGCGGAGGATTGCTTAACATGATAAAAAGTTCCCTCCCTCTTCTTCTCACTCCCGTTCACACACGCTTGTTGACATGCAGATTATATCCAGTGACATCAGTGACCTCCAGAAGAACCAGGCGACCACGGTGGCCAAAATAGCCCAGTACAAGAGGAAGCTGATGGATCTCTCTCACAGGGTGCTGCAGGTCAGCTGCCTCGCCGGTCTGCCTTTGTTCTGTGATACGGTGTTTTGGGTTGAAATGACCCGTGAAGAATCCCATCTCCACATTTTATAGCGTTTGAATGAATGCCCTGGCACTGTCCGTGTCTTTCCCTGCTTTATCGTTGCTACCCCGGTATTGCTCACCTTTTTATCTCCTCCTACATCCCTGTTTTCCTGGCAGGTGCTAATCAAACAGGAAATTCAGAGGAAAAGTGGGTATGCTATCCAAGTGGACGAGGAGCACCTGAGGGTGCAGCTGGACACCATTCACTCTGAACTAAATGCCCCCACACAGTTCAAGGCGAGTCTGTCTAAACTTTATTGAGTTTATTTTGGGAATAAGAAGCCGCTCAGTGAAATGACTCGGAGCACTGTTGTTACGGCGAGGATGCTGTTACAGGCGAGATTCTTTTTCTTTTGCTACTCTTTGCAGTACTTTGATATGTAACCTTCCAGTCAGAGACATCCCTTTTAATTTGTTACTAGTATTTAATTACTCAAAAACAATCATGAGTAAATTTATCTGTGTTCTCAATTATGAATCATGAAATATATGCAGTCTTTAAAAATGACATCTGTTCACATTGAGCTGCATCAAGAACAGTAATCTGAATATATTTGTGATGTTTTTTTCCTTCCAGGGTCGTTTGAATGAATTAATGTCCCAAATCCGGATGCAGAATCACTTTGGAGCTGCGAGATCAGAAGAGCGCTATAGTGTTGATGCAGACCTACTCAGGGAAATCAAACAAGTGAGTCGCTACATTCGCATAATGCATCTCATTTTAACATCCGGGGCCTTTATTTCTTGTGCCAGTTCTCTGAACCAGTCTTTGTCAAAGACAGACCTTTTTATTAGGGTCACAGAATTTCTTCCATTGCATTTCCCGCAGTCTTTAATATCTGCAGGACGCCTTTAAGCCACACGGGGGAGACTATGAATGTTCGTACTGTTGTGATAATTGTAGCCAATTTAGGACATTTAAACTAATATGAAATTCTATCGTTCATTTTACTGAAGAGGGGAAGAACAACATCTTGTTAACTCTGGTTAAATGCTTACACGGAAAAGGGAAGTTTGGGAATTTACTTTTCTAAACCACAGCAATTCTTGGAAAATATTTGTAAAGATTTTGTACAATAACTCGCACAACTTCCTCTCCTGTCACTTCCAGCACTTGAAACAGCAGCAGGACGGTTTAAGTCATTTGATCAGCGTCATCAAAGACGACTTGGAAGACATCAAACTCATAGAGCACGGGCTGAGTGACAGTGGACACATGAAAGGAGGCATCCTGAGCTGAGTCTCCCCAACAAACACACACGTATATTAGGCTCTGACTCACAATTCTCAATCCTCACATAAAAGGGTCGGCTTGTCCTTTTTCACGTCATGATATTGGATTCATCCTGAAATAGTCGTGAACACCATTTTGTTATTTTTAACACGACTTTGCCTCACTACCAGCAAAATAATGACCGCTTAATCTGCGCTTTCTGGACTGACACGAAGAGCTTAACATAAAGACCAACGGCGTCTAATAATAGCTGGCTTCATCTTTTGTTAAAGCAGATTATGGAAATGAGACCGTGGTCGTGGCTGACGAGTAAACAAACCATAGGATTGAGTGTGTGCTGTCTTTGAAAACATTGTAAATGCATCTCTGTATTTCTTTTTTATGATGTCAGATGTCAATAAACTTCATTTAAATTTAAACCGTAGTGTAAAGGTATTCAATTATTAATTTTTTTTGTGTATGTTTGCTCTGTTTTTTTTCTGTCTAAACTACAGAACTTTCTTGACCGTCTACCTGCATCCTGTTTTTCATTTAAAGATTTTTGGTACTAACGGGACGTCTCTCGTCACCGGTGTTTACCTTTTTTAGACAAGCCCTTTCCAACATCTCATCAAAGTAGGGCTTCAGTTGATAGGATTCATGTCCTGGATTCGGACTGATTGGCAGTTGAACTGATTAAGCAGCTTCCAAAAAGATTATATCCCCTCGTGTAGCAGAGTCACTGATATCCCGAGGCTCTGAATAAAGGAGTTCTTTAAATCAAAGTAGAAGAAATGAGCACTGGAGGTAGTGACTAGTGAAGAAGCCACTGTGGTAGACCATATAATTAATACCTCTTATCCTATGGGAGAGTTCTACATTGCTTGGAGATATTTAGAACTGTCACATTTATGCATTGATAAATTGGGGATATTATGTGAGGGCAGATCATGTGAGGGGTAGAAAACATCTTGCTAGATCTGCACGGCTTTACTGGGTGACGTTTTTTGGCCTCGGACATGTATTCAAGGAAACGAGTCCGGCCCAAACTGCCCTTGTTGCCCCCCGTGCAGCAGGTCAGCAGCTCCTCGTCCAGGCCCTCCGCTGTGTGCGGAGACGTCCACCAGCCGGAAAGCCTCCATGAACTCATTGATGTCGATGCTCCCGTCCTTGTTGAAGTCGATGCTCCGGGCCAAGTCCGCGATGGCCCTGTCGCTGATCTCCGTCTTCAGATGAGAGCTCAGGAGTTTCCAAGTCTGCCGAAACTCCTCGAAAGAAATCAAACCTAGAAAGAAGCGGAGGAGGGACGGTGCGGTTACACCGACATCCACGCAGTTGTGTTGACTAATAAATGATGACCTCATATCCTAACAGTCGCTACTGACCTGAGTTATCTGTGTCAATGATTCGGAAGATGGTTTCCAGGTTGGAGTGGTTTTTGTACATAGTCTCCAGGATGCTGTTATCTGAGATCTAAAAGAGACGGATCAATCAAGATTTTACAACTGTGCGTGTGTGTCTGTGTGTGTGTGTCTCACGAGGCTGACCTCCAGCTTGGGCTCGGTGATGGAGAGCTCCCTTATCCATTGCTGGTAGTCCACCATGCCGTGCGGAGTGCTGCTGACGAGCTGAGAGCGCAGCACCCTCCAGGGCAGACCCAGATTTAGGACCCTCTCCGTGGCTCCGGCCCAGTGCGTCAGAGAGATGAGCCCTGATACGCAGACAGAGGCGTAATCTGTGACACGCTCACCCACTGTGTAAAGTGAGAGTCGCCATGTTAATCGCTGCCGCTCAGTACCTTTGTTGTTGGGATCGAACTCCCGGAAGGCACCGATGAGGTCGGACTTGTGTGCGAACAGCTGTTCCCTCAGAGCTCGCAGAGCTGATCTCTCGGTCCACCCGACACTGATGAAGAAGAGGTGGAGGGAAAGTATTCTTTAAATCTGTGCTCAAATGTACTGGGGACATGCATTTGATTTTTTTCCCTGTTGTTTTTGAATTGAGGGGCAGACTTGTGTCTGTACCTTTGTCTCAGGGTGAGCTCTCTGCAGGTCTTGCTGGCCTGATATTGAATGAAGTGAGGAACCAGATCGGGTCCCATCCTGATGTAGGCTCCTCTGTTGCTGCCCACCTCGTAGTAGTTGGACGCTGAGAATATGGTCAGCACCTGAATGCAGCACAAACCGCTATCTTATATTTTTTCTCCCGCTGTAAGCTTCAAGTTGCCTAAAATATTTTCCGCGGTCGGTATTCCAGCTTAAACTCTGTGCGCACCCTGCGGTTGTGGCAGAACTCATAGCCGTCCTGTTTGCACTCATGGGAGCGGATGAGCAGCTGGAGGTCGTGTCTTCCCAGCACTTCCTCGGTGACGTCGGGCCCCCAGTAGCAGCCTCCGCCTCGCACCTCATTGGGAATGCAGCCATTTTGGGGCATCGGGTCACTCCACAACACATCCACTATCTGCGTGGAGCAAAGTCAGGAAACATTAAAATTGTGATGCATTATGTGGCAGAATCGCATGTGCATGTTCTTCCTGTAAATTACTTGTTTCCACTCATCCACATCTTTCCCTTTCGTGTCTCCGGACTCAAAGTCTGAGTCGGACCTCTTCATTTGTCCGTAGGTCTGGTCAAACCCGGCCAGCCTGCGCCTCCTTTTCAGCTCCTCCTCCACCGACCAGTTGGGTTGACCGCTGGCGGGCTCGTTGTGGAGGGAACGGCGCGGCAGTGTGTGTACGGGGGCCTTCGGCGAGCCTTGGTAAGTCAGAGAACACAGCCGACGCCGGCCTTCCGCTGGTGCCCCGGCCTCCCTGCTGCCGCTGTTCAACGTATGAGCCTCGGGAGGCCTCAGAGCCGACACGTACTGCACACATTCGTACATGCACAGCTGAAATTGACTGTGATCCTGGGTGTGCAACTTCCCCAAATAGCCAGATTCTATTGACCTTGGGCGTCTCTCTTACTTTGTGCCTGTCCACTCGGGCGATCACGCCAAGGTCTGTTGCGTCAGAGATCCCACCGTGCACAATCAGCACCTTGTCGTCAATCACTGTGGCCAGAGGCAGCCAGCTGAAGATCTTCTGGAGGAGCTTCAGGATCGTTTTGCCGTGCACCTGCAGACCCAGTCAAATTGTGGTGACTTACACGCTTAACTTACACACCAGATGGTGAATCGTGTGGACTCTGGCGGCCCCCTGGCTTGTCTAGTACCACTCTGAGATTCACAGTTGTGATGCCTGCCTGCCCATGGCACCCAGTAAGCCCACTTGTATGTGCGGAATTTGACACACTTTAAATCCATCAGTAACAATAATACAATAATGTCATATGTAACAATAAAACGGAACGCATTTGCATCATGTTTTATACCTCAATTACTTTGTTGATAGTACTGAACTAATATTTTGAATGCATAACAAAGTATTTCATTCAAATTGTAGTAACTTTTCTTAAGTATAGGAATGGAAAAGTTCTCTCTCTCTGAATTTAAATTTGTCTGAAAGCACGATAATAATTAGGTTGAAGCAAAATGCGCGAGGTAAACATACCCTATACTTGCCCAGAACTTCTTTAGTGAAACCATATCTGGAAAAAACACACAGGAAACAACTATATTAGTGTGAACATCATATGTAGGTTAAACAATTATAACAACACAAAACATAAATACTAAGTAGCAAAAGCAACTAGATTAAGCTCAAGGGGAGAAAACACAATGTTCGGCCTAGCTTACCTCAGGTTAACGATGTGGTCCTCGTGGTTCCCTCTGTTTAGATGGACGTCGTTGGGATAAACCAGCAGGAAGCCAAACAGGATGAGCAGGATTTCTAAGGAGTTTTTACCGCGATCCACAAAGTCTCCATTGAAGACATACGGCTTCTCGGAGGACGGCAAACCATTCTGGATGGATTGAGTCGTTAATCGAAATGAACATAGAGCTGTCTGACAATACCATCTTCATGTTGTGAATACCTTATAGAATATTAACAGCAGGTCCTCTAGGTGCCCGTGTAAATCTCCTGCAAAGGGACACATAGTGTATTAAAATGGTAAAGGCAATACAGAAGAATGTGAGACAAGAAAACGTGGGCCAAAAACTCCAGGAAATGCTCGCTGTTGCGTACCGCATATGGTGATCGGCTTGGCGCGGCAGGCAGAGACGTGACTGATGTTTGGAAGAATTCGTAGAAGCCTCCAGGTTTCTCCAAGAAGCTGCAGAACATATCGAGCGTGGAGCTGCTACTGGGTAAAGCACAAGTATGAATAAACGGACCGCCGAGGACAGAAGGCCACCGTGATGTCCTTACATCTGCTTTGAGTGTCTCCCTGGTGTGCACTTGACGGGCCTCTGCACTTACTTGTTTGTGCTTGAAGGCCTCCACCAGCTTCGACACCCCACTGAAGGTCATGGGGAAGGTCAGATGGGGGCCGGTGCAGCTGGCGCTTACTTCAATGCTCTTGTAGCAGAAATGTCTCTCCCACTCTGTGTCTCTACAGATTTCATTCTTTCGAAAGATGTGAGATATTAGATTTCCTATGTGAAAGGGAGGGAGGAACAGCGGATCAGTGTGAATGAAACATTCACATTGGTGAAGTTAACAGGGGTTGAGAGTCGCTCTTACTTTCACTGCTGGCTGGGGTGAAGTGGTCCATCAGGAATCCAAAAAAATTGTAGAGCTGAACAGGAGGGAGAAAAGAATTATTAGTCAATGGACACTGTGATATAGAAAAGACAAATGAATTTGAATATGTCAATAAGTCTTAGCTTTGAGTTAAATGCAAGCAATCACGTTGGTGTTTCGGATCATTTTCACCATGTTCACTTGAAATTTTAACACATTTTAACACGTTCTCATTGCAAGTGACAACTGAGGCTGATGAGAATGTGATTCGTATGTGTGGTCATGAACAAACGTAACCTACAAAAATACATCTTCTTTTTTCAAGACTGAATGACAAGTTAAAGGAACACAAAATGTATTGCGGCTCATCCTCTGGGTACCACGAATGCCTCTTTCAAACTCTCTCTTTATTCATAACTGTGCAAGCGCACCTTGATCTGGTCTTGCTCTCCTGCATATTCGATAGACTGGAAGATATTCCACGTGCACCTGCGTCTCATCTCCAGACGGGCGACATACTGGCGGTACCAGCGCTGGATCAACAGAGCCGCTCTGATCGCTGGAGATCAGGAGAGGAGACACGCGTGACCTTTTTTTTTGTCTTTTTGTCACTGCACTCGGTCAGATGGAGGCTGGATGACTTACCAGTGGCAGCTTCACAGAGCGCATGTCAATTGATAGGAGAAAGTTAGCAAACACGGCCAAGTGAGACTTTCTGAACAGATACTGTAAAGTATGAAGGTGTGTAGGAATAAAACACAAATATTTACCCGGAACTGAGATGGTTACTAAAAATGAATGATAGCAATGACACTGACGTTAAATTATTGCAATAATGAAAAAAGAGAACGTTTGGATGTAAAACGTCAATAATAAACAAGAATGATTTGGATAACGGCCCCACCTCTGTCACCTTTCTTCAGCTGTAGCTCAGACTTTCCCATTCCACATCCCATGACCCTTTACGGTTAACACAGTCGACACAAAGACACTTTCATGAGTGAGTATGACAAATCAGACCGTGTGTTTTGCAAACATTTGTGTTATTGGCCTTCAGCATAAATTTAATAATTTGGAGAAAAAATTCCCATTAGTCATAATTACCTTTTATAACACAATGGTGAAAATATGGATAGAATAACCACTTACCACTTCATTTTATTAAGGCTCCTATTAAAAGTAGGTGTTAGCGAACGTAATTAAAATACTAAAGAATCAACAGCTAAATATGAACAAAAGAACCTTACCTGGCCTCGTTCCCTTTATGTCATCACTTCCTGTCACCTCTTCTGCGCCTTTAAGGAAACCTTCTCGTTTTGTTTCTACAAACCAGAGAGTCACACGGTTCAAATTTAAGAAGAAAAGAAAAGCATAAATTAATCATTCCTCGTTGTTAAGACTGTTCCATTTACCGAGCTCAGCTCGCAGCGTTCTCATTGACTGTCGCCTCGGTGCAGCCACACACTCTCATCCATCACAAACACACACTGGCCGAAGGTTTGTGAGTAGTGGAGCCTTTGGACAAGCCCTGTGATCACTGAAACAAAACACGATGCAAGTGGATAAGGATTAAACTTTACTACAGCTGGCATCTACGCTGAGTAAACGGATAAAGGCTCTGATAAAGGGCAGCCTTTGAAAGGAGGTTGGGTAGATCTGTGTCATCGTTGTGACTCATATGATTATCATCTGCATTAACAGTCAACTGACAGTCAACTATTCTCTGCAAACGCAGACCTATTTCTTAATGAACTATGTTCTGTTGAGTGATAAATTGATCAGGACACTGGGAAAAAATATTATATTTCATTATTATATGTCAAAAAATGTCATGGAAAAAAAAGTTTTAAAAATATGTAAAAAAAAGTCAGAAAAAAGTCCAAATATGTTAGGTCGATAAAAGTACTTTTTTTTTTTTTTTAAAACATGGTCAAAAAATGTTTTGGAAAAAAGTCGACACATGTTAGGTCGGAAAAAGTAATGAAAAAAAGTAAAAAAATATTAGGTTGAAAAATGTTATGGAAAAAAAGTCAAAAATGATTCGGTCAAAAAATGCTTTCTGCTATATTCTTGTTACCAGTAGGTGGTGCTATGAATAAAATTAAATATTTGCTTGTAGACGTAGGCCCGGAGTCTCCTCAAACATGAACATTTTGAATAGATCTGACCATGTAGAATCTGGTTACATCAGTTTATTTGTTTATGGCGAAGCATCAAAATTCGCAGTTTCACCAGCATCATCAATTTCCGACAAAATGTAAGAGGACTGGGGTAACTTTATATTTTCACTGCTACAGTGTCAAGATCATAACAACGGAATGAGAAGCTAATCAGATGCAGCTAGATGTAACCCAATATTGGAGCTAATCAATAGGGGGCGCTAGCGAGCCAATTTGTACTTCCATCTTGACAAAAACATGCATGCCTGCCAAATTTCACAACCATCAGTATCGCCAGCACCTCGTTTTTGCAAAGAAAGATGCATAAAGAACAAAAATAATAATAAACAGTAGAAGAACAATATGTCATCCAATCCGAATATGTCAGTGCTCAGACGCTAATTAGCTGTTACAAATCAGAATTTGAATTAAGTCTGAATGTGTTGTAAAATGAGCTAACCTTTAGATTAGATTACAATGTTACAAAATGTGCTCCACCCATGTGCATTCATGCATTTTTTAATATGTCTCTAGCCTTATATCGCATGTGAATTCCTGTTAATGTAGCGTCTCAATATAATGAATAATGAAATCCTGCAACATTTTTGAAAAAATGTCTCCTATGTGTTGAAATAAATCTCAGGAGTTCCCTTTGTATTGTATGCTTCTGGAACATCTTGCATCCTCCACAGTCCTTCATCTGTTTATAAAGGCTCTTTGTGGTCCCGGCCAGGAGCAGCTGTCGATGGTGTGACTCCCAGCGGCACTACAACAAGGAAGTGGTGGGAGACGTCTGATACTCAAGGACTCTGCTCATTCATGCATGGTAGTAGGATGAGCTGCATTATCCCACAGTGACCTCAGGTACCTGTGTGTGTCTGTGTGTGAGTATCTTTGTGTGTGTCGGTGTGTGCACATACATACATGTATACATGCATATTTAGTGCAAAACAAATTGTAACATTTAAGGAAAAAAGCGTGTGAAGATGTGTTTTTATTCTGTACTGAAGATGAAGTCCACATAAGAAAATATTTTTTCTGTGATATTGCAGTCTGTTATACTGTGCACACCATTTTTGTTTGAGAACGCTAGCCATTTTTAAATCTATTTAGGCTTTTTTAATAGTTTTTGTAGCCAATGCTTATTAACATAATTATTTAATTGTTGGTTTTGTTTTTAAATGGGATTCGTTCACTGCATATGGCTAGATGGGTATAGCGTAGCAATTAGCACTGAAATTCTGCTGCCTTATGAACGTTTTCCAGCACTGAAAAGTTGAGCTGAAACGTCAACCTGAGGAGATTTCAAGAACTGAAATATTCACTGTTTTGTCGAGGCCTGTACAACATATTTGTGTTAAAGTTCCAAGATAGATTGTTACCAAACGCACAAAGTGGTTTAGGGTTAAGAAGGATTTGACAGATCCAGACAAGGTCATGACGAGTCGTATCTGAATAAATAATGCAATACTATCAGCTCTTTATAGGTATTTATCCCTTATCCAGACTATAATATTTAAAATCTAGTAGTCGACCCCTATTATAAATAGAAGCAAAACCGCACTTTGAAATCACTACTATTGCACCATTGCAAACCAAATGATTGCATTCACGTTGAGAACAAAAGTATCGTCTGCAGAATGCACTTTAAATGTTAAAGCTAAAAATAGAAAAGAAAACAGAAAACTGATTGATATCCTTGGAACACGCATGCCTGCAACGAGAGCCAAGTTTATAAGAAAGCTCATGCAGAGAATTCCTGCGGCACTGATTTTGAATTATGATTTAATAAAAACTGCAGCAGATTGGATCTACGCGGAACGGTTGGCTGTGACCCAGTTCAGGCCTCACAGAGGCTACAAACTCTGAGGAGAGGTTGGCCAAAGACTTGAAGTCACCACTCCTTGCACGCCTCTGACCCTTGCTGGCCCACAAGCCGGTCAAATCTAAAATAGGTTGAGATGAACCTGAAGTGTTTCTATTTATTTATTAAGATATTCAGCTCTGTGTGAATGTCATCAAAAAACTATTAAAGGCCAGAAGAAGCTCAAGCAGAACTTACTCACAGTTTTCACTTTGGTGAAATCTAGTTTTTTAGCATTGCGTTCACAATTAGCATAATATTCTGTGTTTTTCAGCCGCACCTCATGTGTGTCATGCATATACTGTTAGAATGCCCCCTTTAAATATCAGCTCAGAAATAAACATAAGTCAATGTGCACCACCTTCTATGTCGACAAAGCTGAACATTATGAGCTTTGTAATGATTTATTTGTATAGGTGAGCCTAATACACTGGTCACTAAGGCTTCATGATGTCATGAGTGGAATTCGTATAGCAATAAATTCTGTAAACATTTCGAAGTAATCGATCGTTCGATTGATCCAACTGTAATCCTACGAGCGACATCTGGTAACGTGGCATGAGTGTGTGACATCCTCGTTTCTTTGATGCCTCCCTCGCACGTCTCCTTGCCCGCCTGCTTGTCTTGGATCTATTAGTCTCCCTTTCTTTCTCTCCTGGCTCATCCTCCTCGCTCTCTTTCACACACGACGGCGGACAAGACAACAATGTTAAATATCCCAAGGTCACGCTGGGGTACGGCAAGATAAAAACCCAGGTTCCCAGGCCCCGACAAACAATAGCTAGTGGAGCATCCCCGTCTGGTCACTCCTATCTCCTCCTCCAACCAGAAGCACAGGACCAGCCACCGCCTCAAACCTGCCGCCGGTCCGACTCCGTAAGCAGTTGACCTATAGATTGACCATCCAGCTCACGCACCATGTCCTTTGCGTTTTTTGTCACGGCGATGCTTCTGGGCTCTTCAGTGGCGATCGCGTTTGTCTTGCAGCCATCCAGTGAAGAGCCTTCGACCTCTGCTGTTTCCCGTCACAGGTCAGAATCAGACTTTGTTTTGGACGATCTTCTGCTTTTGTTAGCAGCGACGTGTCTTTGTAAGCGTAGGACACCTGCAAGCGCTTTCCTCAAAACGTGTCCAAATGATTGCAAAACATGGCACAGAGGTTATGCTCAGCATCAGTGCACACATCACGAGATGTATTCGTTCTTAGGCCTTTTTAACATGATTTATGGGGATATTTTAGATTCTGGGAAGGATTCAGTGTTAGATTCTTTCCAGAGATGTTCCACATTGTTCTGTTTAAGGTTCAGCAGCGTAATTAATTTCTATTCAACACAACATTTCTCTCTTTTAGCTAAACGCCTGTAACGTTTTTTCAAAGTTCCCTGAGTGTATTGAGACAGCATGTTGATTGAGCATGTTGATCTGCAGCTACAGGCCAATGTACTTTTGGGGTCTTGATTCTAATAGTTAACTATTTTTGGTGAAATGTTGAAAATGTTCTTCTTTTTTTTCCCCTGTCTATGTGTCCTCATATTTTTTTTAATAGTATGCACTATTGTGTAAATAACCTTTGAGGCATGTGATGTTCAGTTGCCAGGGTGGGTCATCGCAGTCCATCAGGACGGCCCTCCTGGGACTCCTCAACTTGCAGGCTGAGCCGGCGTTGCCTGCTGGTGGGCTGGATGGTATCAGGGAGCAATGGAGGACCACGTTCAGCACCGTCGCTGGCAGCGCCAAGGACACAGCAAGTAAGTGGAACCCAAAATACAAAGAAACTACTGTTGAGCCCACATTGTTTCCTGTCTGTTTAACTTTATCCAGGGGGGAAAATAAGTGTCTTTTTTTTTTCGATGTCCTTCCAGCTCCAGTGGCTTCTGGCAACTCTGTGTCGACTACTGTTTGCAACAGTACGAGCCTGGAGTGCTGCTCCATGGCCTCCGAGATCTTCGTGAAAGGTACGCAACAATGTCGGAGCTTGCATATTGACATGAAGAAGCATTGCGACGTACTGTGAGGTCTGTTCTTGCGTTTGGTAGATCTGGGATGGGACAACTGGGTTCTCCACCCCGCCAGCCTGACCATTGTTCAGTGTGTACTCTGCGACCCGGAAGGGAGCCCCGAGCAATGTCCACCGAGCCACGCCAATGTCCAGGAGGCCGACCCACAGGTACAATTCCCGAAGCTTCTCCCTGTCTTACAACTTGAGTAACGAGTACTTTGTACTTAGTTACTTTCCCCCACTGTGTCTTGGAACTATAAACAGCACATTGCGTGCGTTCGGGAGGGGAAACAGCTGCCAATAGATAAGCCTGTTCTCTCCTTCTGCCAACACAAATTGACCAAATACAAGCTAAGACACAAAGTCGGTCAATCGGAGATGAATGCAGTCGCAGATCCGTGTGCGAGTTCTAGCATCACATTTTGAAGTTTCGTTTTTCACTTTTTGTTTATCTCATTGGCATTGGATACAAAATATTAGCTTATATATGACCCCTTATTTTTTTGTGCACAGTAATCAACCTCCACCGCAGCATAACCTCCAGATGTTGTTTTTTTTCAAACTGCTCTCTCGGTTCCTCTTCAGGCGCCGCGCTGTGTGCCCATCGCCCAGGAAATGGTGCCTGTTGTGTACCTGGACGAACTCAGCACCCTCGTCATTTCCTCCGTGCAGCTGACCCGCAGCTGCGGCTGTGATCCTGTCGGCCTCTAGCCGAGTGAAGTTTGTTTTCACAGTTCTCAGTATGTGAGCCACCTGGCAAACAAGCAAACACGCAAAATATATTAAAAACATGTGGGTTATACATCACATGCAGACCTATCTTCTCTCCCTTGACTTATCTTAGACTCTTACAGTGTGTACGCGGCACGGAGCGTGGGAACCAAAGCAAAGTTTCTCCAAGAACTCGGTTTTGCATTCCTGTTTCTCCGTTCGAGCTAGGATGTGTCATCTGTTCAGCAGCAAAAAAGTGATCAAATAGAAATTGAACGGTATGACTGATGATGCTTTCTAAATGACATGTTACTCATGTGAAATTACAATCTGAGTTTGCAGGCTATTAGATTTGGACGTTTTTTATAGACTTCTGTAGATGAATAGTATTAGAATAATCTCTCTTGCACCAAGAGCTGTAAGTGAAGTGCATCTGAAACCCATCTTGTACTACAGAGCGCTATTTAAAGCTACTAACTGTTACTGAGTGTTCCCTTTCAAAAATGTGAGACTTTGCAGAGCCAAATCCCTGCACAGGCAGGATGTCTCCTCTTTCATGCGTGAAACAGCTATTTCCTCTTATGGGCAAGAAATCAATTCAATCCCAAAAGTCTGACTGAGTTCAAATGAAAAAAAAAGGTTTTCCTGATGTGTAAATTAGGTATTTGCTTGCCATTTTGAAGGTTACGCCTTTTTTGCAGGGAGAGTAACGAGAGAAGATTGTGTCATCAAGTTGAACTCACTCCACCTACAACTTAAATCACAACATCTGTGCTTTGCTTTTCCATAAACAGGCATTGGCCCTCCTCTCTTTTCATGTTTTAACTGGTAGAAGAGATGAAGTCAATAATGCTGCTCTGCAAACTTCCAAAAACTTTAACTGCACGACTAAAGGAGAAAAAGAAAGAAAGTCATAGTACTAGTACACTTAAAGTATCACGTTTGTGTTTTGCTGTGATGTGTTACTTTGTCCACAATAATGACTGAATTGAAGCCTGGCTGACAATAAACTAAAATTTACATAACATGTGCATTTATATGCCTTTGTAACTGCTTAGTTCTTATAGGTCTGTTTGACCATTTTTCATGATTAGTTTGAGTTTCTCATTTTGTTGTATGACTTTGCAAAGTTACCTCACCCTTCTGTTTTTCACGATTTTTTTCACAAATAGACTACTACTTGTCAGAGGGATATATCACCCCAACTCAATCAATACGTAACAATAAAATGTTTTAATGTGCTTATGACGTTGTTAATCGCTATTTGAATAAAGCTGATTGAAAGACACGATTTTCTTGCTCTCAGTTTTTTTTTTCCTGGCAACATTTATCTTATACTATGATACTATGATTGTGGAATATTCCTTTGTGAAAGGACTTTTCTTGTGCCACCTTTTGGGGATTTCGTGGCTGCCGGACATGTCGATTCTTGAAGGAGAAAATAGCAGAGGAAGAAATGTTGGCACAGCGTTCCAGGAAATTGGACGCCAGTCAGGGGACGAGCAACACGTTGCGCACTTCTAAGCAGACTCTGAGCAGTGTTTGTTCTCGGGACTTTTATAAATCTTTTCTTTGCTGCAGGGGATCCTTAACTCATGCTTGCCAAGTTGTGGGAGGAATACATCGAGCCCGGACTACGGTTTACTAACTGCTCTACAAGAGGACGGCGAGATCTGGGCCAACATCTGGGCTCAACGCTGTCAGCCATTTGATGTTTTTTTTGATACTGGACAGAATGTCAAGCTATTTCAATGTGTGGGTGTCCTTTGGCATTCTGTACCCCCTTCTGCTGGCTGTAGGGGCAGTGGAATGCTCGGAGAAGGAAACGTTGCTCGAACCAAGGTCGGAGGTGTCGGATGTGAACCTGACTAACTGTTTGTTGGAGTGCACTGGGATGACCTACGTCAAGAAATTGCAACTTCAGGACAATCATAATATAAAGCTTCAAGACTCCACGGAAGGTAAGGAGCCTTTTCAACTCTAGGACAGTGCACTCTCTGTTTAAAAAAAAGAAAGAAGTACTTGTACTGAATGTTAAGAATAGATCAGTAACATTCTCCTCCGTTATAATTCCACGTTGCTCGTGACATCTGCTGTGTGTGGGCCTTAATACAAATAATTCATCTTTCTAGGAGGCTTTGGGGAACACTGTTGGTCCACGGAGCTCAAGTGCACCATTGGAGAGAGGTTTGAGGTGGCCTACGTGGTGTTGCCCGTGGACGTGTCCGCAGTCGGACCCGAGCAGCTAGAAGTCAGAGCCACCGTCCCCACTGCCGCCACACTGCTCGCGCACGACAACCCCACCACAATTGCGGACAACTGTGGCCTCAGATACGACGTCACGGCGCACTTCAGCGCAGGGCGGGCCGGGACGTCGTTCTGCGTGCAGGTTGTCGCCCGGGAGGACGTTCCGGGGGAGAGAGCTCTTAGATGTCCTCCCTTTCTTGTCACCTTGTGGCAGAGAGAACCAGATCAGCACAACCAAGAAGACCAGTAGAGTCTCAGCGACGGGAGAAATACTCAGACCTTTCACTGGAGTGGAAGTGAACCGTTGTGAACAAGTAAAAGTCCTCCAAATGTTACATAACTAAAATGAATCAAAGGCAGGATGGGTAATCTTAAGAAACTTTCAAGCCTATTCTTTATTTAAAAAATGAATGTGGCTCGTAGCGTGTACCCAAAGCTGCTAAATTTAGTGAAGGTCGTCCAAAACCCCTCACCCTAAATTAACCTTACGAATGTAAACAACAAACATGACCAGCGCTAGTCTTCAAGCCCGTCAACATAGCAGCTCGTGCAGGACGAGTAATGAGTCACGTGTTCTAAATATGTTCAGGCAGGCAGACAGGCAACAGGGTTATTATTACTCCACAGTACCTTACGGTAAAAGTTCTCAATGCTTCCTACAGTCCCGGTTATATTGTTATATATGATATACTTTTATTTTATAATGAATACTGTATTAATGTGTAAGCAGCGTATTGCTGCTGAATTTGTTTGATTTTAAACTATTTTATTGGTTGACACTATTTCTTTTCATTATGGATTATTTTCAGTTAACAGATGGATTGTTAAAAAATATTAACTTAAATTCCTCAGAGCCCAAAGCGACACCTTCAATTGTGAAAACTTTCAAAAGATTTTACAAAAAATATATGCAGATTATTCAATTTATTTTTATTAAAAAAGTATTAAACACTATCATGAAAATGCTTTTCTAGTCTGGAACAAACCAGGAAGGTCTGGAACAGGTCTGGGAGATCTGCATCATATTGTATAACCTCCAGATGTTTTTTATTGAAATATCTTAGTTTATAAGGTGATAGGTAACTATAAATGTCAAATGATTGTAGTTGAGTAATAAGCACACTATTTTAGTGTAAGTAAGTGTAAGTTAAGTGAAAGTACCTCAAATATATGGCTATGTACAGTTGTGACAGTAAATGTATTTAGTATACATTCCGTTAAAAGCTAATCAACCCTGAACATCAGCGGTTTGCTTGTTTAACATAATAAGTTGTTACCATTTTTTAGAACCTTGCTTTTTATTTTTTTACCTCTACTAATCTTGCACTTGTCTTCTGGAGTTAAAGTTCTTCTGCGTGATAGATTCCAATTCAAAGAAGACATTTTCATTAACTTCATTCCATATTTGCAATCGTCATTTGATTACATTGGATCTGTGTTGACATTGATTCTCTATGAATATTGATACTTCTCTTTATGGATTAATGTACCAAGTAAAGTGCTTGCAGAAAATTGTGAAAATATTACTGTATGTGTTTCCTTTCTTTGCAGACTGAGTTATCTCCTGGTTTCGTGTTAGATTTTTTAGAACCAGCATAAAAGATCTGGTTTTAGTTGTGAAGGTATATGATGACTTAACGAGTCACTTAACGATTAAGAATTAAGCTTTGTTAAGCGTTAAGAGGCATTTAGTGAAATACAGATTTACCTTTTTTGGCCAAGCATGTGTGCACAAATAAGGAATTTAACTTAAGTATTTGGTTTTTTAGCTCTCTCAATCAGAGCAGAAATAGAAAGAACAGCTTTAGTGTGGAAAGGGGGGAAAAAAGCTGGTTATATGAGGGTTAAGAATAGTTAGGACTGTCTATTCACACACACACAGCTAAGAAAAAATAGATTTAATATAGAAAAAATACAGACTAGATGATTGTGTACAGTGTGTACCTGAAAATATGCCTATATACTGCACATTGTGTAGGATTTATATTGAGAGCCACAGATGTTATGATATGTAAATACTCAAAACAAATTGTGCATTATCAACTGTAAAATTACAATATACAACGTCAGTACTGGATGTTCCATTGTTAGATGATTATTGATGGTGTATGACTGATGTGTTTATCAGAGTAATGGCAAAAAGATGCACGACATCATCAGTGCACTGCTGGTTTCAAAGACGATGAAAAGCTCTCTGTTAAATGAAGGATGTCGATGTGAGATGTGAAAGGCTGCATGTGTTGATGGCATCATTAAAAACAATTATCGTTTTTTCAGTCACCTCTTTATTGCGCTTATGGTTTTGAATATTGAGAAATATTCAATGATATTATTCTGTAGAACAGTATGACTTTTGCTAACCCAATTCCTTTTACAATCAAAGGAAAATACTATTCAACAAATGAGTTTGTGCTAGTTATGATGGGATCTTTAAGGTATTTGTCCCTACACACACCTGTATTATTTCAGTATTTGCTGCTTCAGTTGATAAAATGTACATAAAGTTATCAAAAAATCTAATTCCACTGTGCATTGGTTGTCTCTTCTACTGACAAGAAACAATGTAGTGCCACCTACTGTTTATCATTTAAGCTTGCAAAGGCATCAGGCTGCACAACATCCTGCCTCTGGGTGGTAGCCTTGTCACATGGTTGTTTAATATGTTGGTGCGTGTCATGCAAAGAGGAAACGGAAAAAGTGGTAACAGTTGAGAAACCACTAAGATATTTTCTTGTGTCATTGACCAATCAGTGCCCACAATCATCACCTGAAATGTACTAAATGTAATACACAGATTTTGGCAGCTTCGTTGGCAGTGAATCATGTAACAGCCCTGGCTGCAACATGTCGAAGTGTCCTTGAGCAAAACCCCTAATTTCTCCGTGGGCAAAAAATAAATAAATGTAAAAGCCATGGGTTAAAAATGTAAGTTGCTTTGGATAAAAGCGTCAGCTAAATGACCTGTAATGTAAAGCCTGTTAGCTCATTCAGCAGTCCCGAGTCTCCGGTTAGGTCTAAATGAAGTAAGATGATGTCGGTGTGCTCTGCGGGCAGACAGCCAGAAGCATAACATAACTACCCAGGGTGGGTGTCCAATAACAGGCCTTTCTGTACAGCCTGTACTTCAGGCCTGCATTGGATCACACACGTGCCGGCACCCGTTAAACTCCCCATTAAAACTTGTTAAACTCTAGGAGACAATAAAACCACTGCCAGTATTGTGTGTCATCAAATCTAACTCATGCACCAAAACTAGCACCAAGATGACACGGTGAGTCAGGCTAGGATTTTTTTGCTGTGCAAAACACATGCAAACTCTTGAGTTCTTTCTTTTTGGCTGTAAACAAGGTAAGGATCAATCATTTAAAATGGGGAGACTTTTTATTTCTGAAATAAATTATGATTATTGTGTTTACTTGGTCTAATTTATGGTTTCAATTCTTACAAGTAAAAGTATTTTGTGCTGATGCCATTAACACATTTGTCACACACACACACACACACACACACACACACACACACACACACACACACACACACACACACACACACACACACACACACACAACTATCTATTTATATGCGTGTGTGCATCATATCATAACACATCATTCCTGTTTAAATTTGTTTCATAATTCGATGTCATATAGGTTAAGAGCAGATGATTACCTAATAGTAAATATGAGTTCTTTAGTAGTAGTGACATCCTGGACTAAACCAATTATTAAAAAGAAAATACTGCATACTGTGCTTCTCATCTCTGCTACTCTAATGCATGACACCAATTGTTTTCAATCATGAATTATCAGCTTTTAATGTATTGCCCGTATAGCTTCATCTACCTCCCAGGAAACGTTTTCCTTTGCTGTCAACGATCACCTGAAGTAAAGACAATCCTTCTAAAACACAGAGCAGTGTCCTCATTCAGCACGCTGTTGTGCAAACACATCTAATGACAGATGACTGTACCATGTCCGTCACGAAGGGGTCACAGAGTTTGGGCAGAGTTTGGGAAAACTGTCGTTATGAGAAATAAGCAGTGCACAATACAGCTCTTAAAGGACTCCGTTGTTGTATTCACGTCGTCTTTATTCGCAAAATATCAACTCGACTGCTCTAGAGGATTGATTTTCACAAGCTTGTAGTGCGTTGAGTGTTTAAAGCCGAGCTTGGTCCCCGGACGGCTGAATAGAGTAGAACAATCCAGTAGGCAGAGAGAGAGAGAGAGAGACACAGAGAGAGAGAGAGAGAGAGAGAGAGACTCAGGACAACCCAAAACACGGACGCTTAGCAGACAACTATCAAACAACGACGGCCTGACAGCCATTTAATCAACTATTTAGCCCTCGGTTTTATTTAAAAAATGTGACCGGGTGAGAAGGACGGCTTGCTCGCGACTGTCAGAAACACATGACAACTTCGGCGGTCGTGAGAGGCGCGCCATGGCATCTCAGCCGAGGTAAGGCAGCTAGCTGCTAGCAGCCGTCGCGCTAGCCCCGCAGCCCGACGGGGTAAACGCCGTTAATTAGCTCCAGGCGGTTAGCCGGCTCAACGGTCGGGCGCTCGCGACAAGTTAAACGGGTCGACTTGAAACTCCGTTAAAGTCATCAGAAAAGAGGGGTGGGTGGGGGAAAAAAGGCGAACCCGTCCGTTGTCCCGGTTCGTTAACGTCGCACCGACAATTTTTAGCTTCTGTAAGCAGTTCGAGGTGGAATCAGCTGGAAAGAGGGAGGCTGGCGTGTGGTTTTCACCAGCTGGTTGAAGGGGCTGCTTGTTTTATACAATCTTGTTTTATGCGGATTAACGTTAGCTAACTGTTAGATGCTCGGTTAGCAAACATTACCGGGACGTTGTATTTGTGTGTGTTTGCAAATCCTCATCAGTTGTGTTTTTGACGCAACTTGGATTTCGCGTTTAACAAGTTGGACAACAATGGGGAAAACTGGGCTGTGTCCTCGCCGTGCTGATCTAATGGTACCGTGCAAATAATCCCAAAACTTTTAGAATTAATCCGCAGGCAAAGACTCAGTAACGTTATAAGAAGACTGGGATGCATATAGAACACTGTGTACATTATGCACAAAGTTTGGATTCCTTGTTCAGATGTGTGTTTTCAGTTTTGGAAAGTAGGGCATCATCAGCAGATGTGTCATAACTATCAAAAAGACTGATGACCAAAGTGGACATTGCTCACAGACATTCTTTATTAGACTGCCTGTCAGTTGTGTGGACCTTTTAGTATAACTAAAAAACAAGTTGGGGATGTTATGTTAAAATATAAATGTAAAATAGTGCTGTAGAAAAGTCTATCACATGTTTTAAAAAGTCGGCCATCAAATATCTCTTTATCCAAATGTCAGTCAAAAGAAATAAATACAGAGAGTGATGACATTCACAGATTTTAGAAGCTTCAAGCTGAAAAAGCTGGATACAAATTGATAATGTTTGGTCATTTGAAATGACAGTAAACAATATTATAAATGAATATATATGCTTCCTCATAACTCTTATTTATCCATCTAGATTGATTTTGGTGTGATTTGACAATTTTTGGAGATAGCAGATGTGTCTGCCTCTCAAATTTTAAGGGGACTATATGACAAGATCCTTATGAGTCTCAAAGTGCCCAAAATAGTACCAAAAAAAATCCCCAAAATGTGGCTTGCCATAAATCATGAGTCCATGTTGTGAGTTTTGCGTGAAAGCATGCTTGCAGGGGTCTGATTCCTACTATTGTGTTATTCACTTGTGTCTAACGTTAAACACGATAGCGTGATTGACTGGAGTCATGTTGAAGTGTGGTTGAGTTTTGTATTTTCTATCTTTCTTTTGTGGAGTATTCTGTCATGTGCACAATTTTGTCTTCAAGTTTCTATTCATTTGTTAAATTCCATCCACGTCGGTGGAAGGCTCTAAACACAATTTACAGGATACAGAAAATCATTTGTTCTAAAAAACGGATTAAATCACACCAAACGGCCAAAATGGTTGATATTTGTCCAAACGAGGTTAATATTTAGCTTTGGCTGTTTAATTATTTGTGTATGTCAGTAATTTATATTTGATAATATCTAGACCGTTTATGTTTCAGCCTCATCCATAATTCAATCCCTGCTATTACTAACGAGTTGTTTATAATTCTTTCTGTAAGTTGTGTACTTGTTACACCTTTCATGTTTGTTTGTGAGACCAGTGTGTAATTTAATACTTGAGCTGCAGTGTGGGGTTTTACCCCTGGGTAGTACTGCGGCTGGGCAGTAACACCCTGTGCTGTACCTGTAGTTTGGCCAGTGTCTCTGCTCCATTAATGAGTTAGAGCTCATCTGTTTGGCTTGCTCTCAAATCTGTGGCGCTCCACCTGTTGCCATGGAAGCATCCCATTGGGCTGGCTGTCAGTGAGGACGATCAACACTGTATTTTGAGAAGAAATGTGGATAATCAGTTCAGTTCACTTCGGTGTGTTTTAAAATGTCAAGTGGGGCCTGATCCCAATGGGGCCTGCTACTGTTACACTTCCACAAGACAATTTTACTATAGTATAAGAGCTATTTTTGTCATTGGCATCATATCCGGACTGTTAATATCCATGTCTGCAAGGGCTTCATGTAATCTTTAGAGACTAGAGAGAACAGATGTGAATGTTGTGTGAATCCTCATGGCGTCTGTGAGTCTAATTACACTTGTCTGTTGAAAAGATGGGCACCGTCTTCTCCCATTAGACCCGGCTGCTCAGCCCCTTGGGTAGGGAAGTCTGTCATAAGATGCCATTAATTGGCAGTCTCTACATTTTCTGGTGTTTCTTTAGCCCAAACGGATCTTATCATTCAGGAACAATCACATTCATTTTGTCTGGGGTGTATTAGAATATACATGTCACACGCAAATCGAACTGCGCTGTATGCAAATACAGGTTGTATTGAGAAATGGAGCATGTCACCAATTTGACTTTTAATATTTAAGGCACCTACTGCATCTGTTAAGATGGCAACTAGTGTAGTATGTGTTACAGTGTGACTGGTTCACTCTTAACTGCAAAGCTGACCTAAGATCTGTCTTGTAATGGTCTACAGTATATACAGTGAAGAAAGGAACCGTCTTCGCCTCCGTGCGTGGGAACAGAGGAACCAAGAGACAAGCCAAGCCCCAGAACTCGCCTCTGAGAATGTGCCACTCTTTGGGGTACCATACAAGGTAAGGAGCCACATATCATGAGTTAAATGCTCTATTGATGCCACACGAGTAAAATAAATAGTACATTTACTAGAAATTACAGAAAGTGTTTTCTACAATTAAATGTTTGTTCTTTTTGCAGACAAATAAAGGGGATGAGCTCTCCAATCGAATCCAGAGGATGCTTGGGAGTTATGAAGATGTGAATAATCCATATCCCTTCGCTATTGAGCCTTTACCCATTCCTTCTTGTGTATCCTTCTCACAATCGGATCAGGGTCCACCAAACCCTGATAAACCAACCAAGCCTCCATTCCATAATCAAGTCCATTACATGTCTGCCCAAACTCAGAAAGCCCCATCTGGTAACGGATGCTCCTCTCAGCCCTTGAGGACGTCCGCTGCCTCTTCTTCTCCGAACCACTGCGGACATTCATCCTCTTTCAATCAGCTCAGCCTATCAGCACATCAACAAAAGAGGAGTGAGGTGCTCTCAGATCTCCGCGAGTGTGCCAGCCTTTCCCATGCAATCTCTCCCCAGTCTCCCGATGCTAAGCCGCTACCCGTCCCGCATTCCAGTGACAACGACGGCGAGGACACGAAGGAAATGGATGCTTCCACTTTTAATCTGAAACAGTCCCCCAGCGACGTGTCTGTGCTCCAAGCGAACAAGGGTGCTGCCCTACCTTCACAGACCTTCCCTTCACTCCTGTTGTCCAAGCAGCCCAGCGTAGTCATGACCCAGAAGCCAACGGCGTACGTGCGGCCCATGGATGGTCAGGACCAGGTGGTCAGCGAGTCCCCTGAGCTGAAGTCTTCACCAGAGCCTTATGTACCTCTGTCTGAGTTAATTAACAAATCGGATCTGTGCAGAACAAAGATACTGTCACCATTTTTGGAGGTGAGTATACTTCATTTGTACACTTAGTCTTTGCGGTCTGTATGTACACACACACACACACACACACACCTGGCATAATGTGTTTATCAGTGAGCTTTAAAGGTCCTGGTAGGTGAATTTCGTCATCACTTGTCAGAGCCCTTTTCTGGTCTTTATGCTACACGAAAAAAACTGTCAACATCTTGGGAAACACACTTTTACACCACAATTGCTTTCCTGCTATTAAATTAATAGCAATGGTTATACTAACAGACTGGAAACCGGGAGTGTGTCTACGGCCGAAACCCCCAGCAGTCAAGAAACCGGGATGATCCGGTTTTAACTGGATCTGAATGCAGTAATTTGTTGGACGCTAGAGCACTGTCAAAAATATATATCTAGGATCTAAAAGAGAGTGATGTAAATTGTAAAACAATTAATATATCCTGCCCTTAAGATGTAGAGGTCATGCGCTATAAACAACTGAATCTGATCTGTTTGACGCTATCTGGGACTTTGAGGGAGGAGATCGGACTACCAAAACCCTACTTATTAATACCGTGCACACTATACTTGAGGGTCGTGTTCCTGCCTCCAGAAAGATATTCAGTGAAACCTCTAGTTCTGATATTCTTCTTGACTTTTCAGGTGTTTTTAAAAAGGTCTTAGACTTGCTTTGTTTAAGTGCCCTCCTGTTACGATGGCAGGAGAAACACTACTATGCAAATTTCTGGGAAGCTACTTATTGCCCCATTTCTCACCAACCCTCAGTTCCACATCTGCAACAAGCCATTGAATGCAACATTTGTGGATCTGCAATATGGTCTGAAATGTCACTCTAGTATCCAAACCGTTTACAAGTAGAATACGCGAAGAAGAATTTACAATGTGTTCCTAACACTGGTCCATCAAAGGGGTTGTGGGTCAGAGAGCAGACGCGCTTTTCCACACACAGCAAAGGCCGTTAATCAGGCCTTTAGATTACAGTTGATCTGGTGCGACAAAAGTCTACATGTTTTAGAAAGTAGTGACACTACCTGCCTCGTGAGGGTCCTGAAGGTCTAAAACGTGACATTTCATGAAGCAGATAAACAAACACAACATTAGAGAAACACAATGTCGTCTCAGAAGTTGGACGTTTTAAATTTATATTCGGAAAATTTTTCACACTGTAGACAATGCCATGCACTTTTAGTATTTCCTGTTAATTACAACACTGCTCAGCAGCATACCGTTTTCAGCGTATATTTTCGAGTGCATAGCAGGTTATCCGTGGCAAGCATTGGTGGTTTGTTTGTTTTAGTTGGGCCGAGTGTGTGTGTGTGTGTGTGTGTGTACATGTGACCTCAGCTAACCCTCTGATAACTTCACCCCTGGGCTCAGCAGCAGAACAATAAATGAGCTTTGTCACCAACTTGCATAACTGCTGTGGGGGCCCTTTCGCTCGAGCCTTATCTCAAACACTGTCCATTCAGAAGGAATGAGTGAAAGACTGAAATGCAACCCGTTTACCCATTGGGTCACATTCAGGCCCTCATTGCTGCCTTAAACAGGGTATTGCATCACCATCTAGGGATTAAGACTTCAGTTGGTGGTGATGTGGTATAGGACGCTATTATATATACATATATATGTGGATGGATGTTGGTAATATTTTGTCGTACCCCATAAAGTAGAGGGTAATATGTCCATTCATAGCGTGCAGGACCTTTTTTCTTCTTCTTTTTTTTGGAGTTCCTGTAACACAAAGCTCAAAGTGAGCTTTATCTTATTGGTGTTGTGTGGCAGATCTAAAATGCATCAAACAAACAATAAAGCCACAAATTCTACAATGTTCATATTTTTAGTACGTATGCATTTTTAGTCATTGTTTAATGGAAAGACATATGTTAAAAGAACAATTAATTACAATTTAATTTTTTATTCTTTTTTTTACATTTATTTTAATGCATCATTAAAGGAAGTCTGCCGCAAAATATGGTAACTTTTCATTGGACATTGTTTCTCAAAGAAAACGCCTCCATACAATCCTTCATAAGAACTAATTAACTAGCTAAGCAGCACATGCTGTGCATTCCATGTGAGGCGGTCTGTGCTGCTCTCTGCTGGACAAACCTCGTATGCAATTCACACATTCACTTTTTTGTGCTCTTACAAATCTTTTTGGAAACCTATAATTATTCATTGTCTTTCTACAGGAAAAGTCAGATGAAGTTCTATGTGTCAAGGACATCTTACGGGTAAGTCCAGATGTTCACATTCTCATTTTTTATCTTTTTGTCATCAAAATAATTGGAGTATATCAAGGAATTATATACATGCTATATACATGTTACACTTTAAAACATCTAAACATAAACTTGTAAATTATATAATGTCTATCATGAAACTATCATGTGCTGTCACTAAATCCATAGTTGAAAGCGGAACACCTGAATGCATTGTTTTTAGTTTATTATATGGAGTGAGATTTGGGCTGAGTATGTAGGTTCCTAGCACATCACACTGTATTTAATCCCCTCCACAGGAAATGAGCCACTCGTGGCCCCCTCTCCTGATCACTCTACATACTCCCAGCACAGACGAACCCTCCAAATCCCTGCTTCAAGTCAAGGTAAGATTTAACATCTCACATGAAGCCAACTGAGGAACCCTTGTGATGCACAAAAAAGTAGCGCCTCCGTTTGACGGAAGGCAGTCTAGGTCCTTTAAATTAAGTTGTACCCTCTTGAGTGCAGAAATCTGTCTCTGGTTTACCCACATTCAGGGTTTATTTCTGTGCTGTGTTGGGTGGATAATCAGCTTCCACCTACACAGGAAATGGGCTCATGGCTGAACTGGGAGCATTGATTTCATCCAGCATCAAATAAAACCCTTTTGAGTTTTCTGCCACCACTCTCAGGCCAATTGTTTCATCGCCTCACAACTGCTCTAGGACGACGATTAGATCAAATATTTATTGATTACTACAGAATGAATCAGTTTAGTGCAAATGTACAAATCCAAACCAAATAAATGTGTGACCCAGATAAAAGCTTTGTTGTGTTTTGCATCTCCACAGGAAGAAGAGCAAGTCTCTTCATGTCCAGTACAAAGTGAGTAATGAAGGAATAAAGTACAATCCAGATTTATTGACTGCTTTGTTATCCCATCTGTCCTTTTACATTTAAGTGCTTCTAGCTTTGGACAATTGGCATTATTGTTGTTGGTCAGAACAGCTGGAAATCAAACCTGGTTTCCTCTTTTTACAAACGTTTCAATTTTATATTTAAAGATATTTCCTTGGTCTCTTTAGGGTCGCTTTAGACTGCAGGTTTGTTTATTAATGATTGTTCTTTATATAGTTAAGTTGTAGTTAGTCAGAACAGTAGTTCAAACATTGCAGAGCACGACCCACATTTGTGTAACTACTTTCTTATTACAACTATATGAACATAGTTTCATTTTCATTTTTTTTCAATCAGAAACCTGTGAGTCCTCTCCTGCAGATTCATCCCAGCTCGTCCAGCAGGGCTCCCCAGCGTAAGTGACTTTTATTTTGCACCTAGCAGATCTAAGTATCCTTTCAAACAAATAACAAATATTTTCATTTGGATCAAGCTATTTTTTTTTTTTTTTCAATGAATTGTTTGTGTGTAGATAATCGTTTACCAAAGCCAAATATATTTACACTGATATCATAAATCACAAGTAAATCTGCACATTTCCAATAGAAGCAGTTGAAACTGAAACCACAGCCTGATCATTACAACTACTACACTTCTATGTGATGTTATTGTGGTGTTTTGTGTGTGTGTGTACTGTAGTTCATTTGAAGCTGCACATTCCAGAGGTGTCGAGTTCAGCTCAAGCGATTCAGAAAGTAGCTCAAGGTCGGAGTCGGAGAGCGAAGGCACCATCGAGGAGCCTCCTCAACTCCCTGTGAGCATCTCCAACGTCAAAACAGAGGTTCGTAATCCTATTCAATGGAGGACACATTAACATGCATTCTGTCAACTGTTGATCCTACTAACTTTCTAAAATCACAATGTGTGTTTTTTAGCCGGATGCTCCAGCAGTGGCCCCGGTCGACTGGCAGTTGGGGAACTGGATTCGATCCAGCGCCAAGAGTCAAAGCGGAGCGCCTGCCTCTGAGAGCCCTGCTCACAGCCGGCCGCCGCCCTCTCAAAGTTCACAGCTCCCAGTCAGCGCAGAGGTCGTCGACCCAAACAGGGAGTCCAAACCTCAGCTTTCAACCCAGCAGAGAGAGTTTGCTGATCGGCTCGTAAGGCTCCAGCAGCACAGCAAAAGCTCTCAGGACAACTATAACCATCAAAGTAGCCAACGTTTCAATAGCTGTAGCAGTTCTAGGAAACCTTCATTCAACAAGAACTCCTCTATACCTGAGGCGGCAGCTTGCCCAGATCGCAGTGCGGCGCCTCTTGTTGTGAAGTGTGAGGAAGTTGTCGCCACACAAGACAAAGACACCTGTTTCACAGATAGACCCAAGGTCAAAACGAAAACAGGACGTAGCAAGAAAAGCAAGGATAACAGTGACGCTAAAAGAGACGGGAAACGGACTTCTAAACACGTGTTGCTCGACAAGCGGAAGGCTGGAGAGGAGCCTGAAGGTGCAGTGGGCCTGTGTGGCCATTGTCCATCATGTGGTGTGCAATATCCGATCCCCTGCTCCTGCCCCCCCCAAAGTCGTGCTCGGCCTGACCAGCTGTTGCCGGCCCGACTACTTAAAATCAGTGGTAGCAAAGACCCTGAGAGCGTCTGCAAAAGGGGGACCAAGACTCCTCTCAAAACAACCCGCAAGAGCTCTGATAAGACCGGACAGACAGCCAAGAGTTCCCGGGATTCCCACAGGCCGTCTAGATCCCTGCTGGTGAAGATTGACCTAAGACTGCTCTCAAGGGTCCCGCCGACCCCGAGCAACCACCTGGAGACACCCAGCATTGCAAAGAGATCAGTACGGGTCATAGAGCAAGATGGAGGCGCCAGGGATGCTTCTGCCTCACACAAACTCGCCAAAACCAGCACAAAGAGCAGCTCTCAAAATGTGAGCATCAGACGCCGCCTCGAGTTTCCATGTACATTATTTGTTTATTATAATGTGTTGTTTGTTGTCTTGTAGGTCGAAGTAGACAATGCATCTCTTCCAAGGAAGAAACAGAGGCTGGAAAACAAGAATACCTCATCAACTAATGCTCCTCTCAAACCGGAGTAGGTCCCTTAAATTAGAGGCATCTGGGATAACCTCGACATTATCAAATTGAAATTTTCTTTTTCCCTTTTGAAAGTGTGTCAGATCTCAAATAGCGTCCCAATGTTGTCATTTGCAGGCGTTCCTGCCATCCAAAAGATGCCTCCGACCGAAAGAAGGCAAAGAAAGCCCCCGTTCCTCTCCTGCAGCCGCTGACACACAAGAGTCCTGCGAAAGGCCCAAAGATGCACAAACGCAGTTCTGGTGAAACTCCGCAGACCAGTAAGGAGGCTGTGAAGAGCAAAGACCTGGACACGAAGCACAAGAAGAGCAGAGGAAAGCACACAGAACCCCCACATTGTGTAAAGGTGACTTGATACAAGCCCCTCATGTGTGTTTGTGCATTCCTTCTTTTCTTTTTTTTTCTCACCTGCTTTTAGTGATTGTAATCAGTGAAAAAGAGCATACTAATTAACTATTACATGAAAAGAGACACCATTGACATTTTGATCAAAAGTCTATATTGCAATTTTAGCAGAAGTCCCCCAAGCGCAACGTCTGCATCCCGTCCTCTTCTTCACAGCCCACCGGGAAAGCTCTGAGCAGCCGGCCCCTGTTCAGATCGGACCAGAGGTAAAATCCTATCATCCTGGCACTTCGATTGTTCCAACATGTATCTGCTATGTCCCCAAAAAGGCTGTCTGTGCCCGGACCCTTTGGAATTGTGTCAAAAGTTGTGACATCTTAACCGCAGTGTTGTTGTTCTGAATTGTTGTTAATCTAATACATATTGTTTCACCTGTAGGCAGTATCCAGTGAAGCATTACATAAAGGAAGCCAAAAAACTGAAGCACAAAGCCGATGCAGAGGTAGGTCTTCCTTTTTGTTAGTTTTTAGGTAATTTATTAAAAATACAAGTAACTTCATAGAAAACTGAAAACTTTTTTTGCTCTCTTTTTGTAGTCAGATAAGCTCAGTAAAGCTTTCAATTACTTGGATGCGGCCATGTACTTCGTTGAAAGTGGCATTGCCATGGAAAAAGATCCACACATTTCAGTATCTTCCTACACTATGTTTGCAGAGACAGTGGAACTGCTCAAGTATGAACCCACTTTTATCATTATCATCTGCTCTAGTAGTTTCTTGTAAAAATTAGTTTGCATATTTGTGAGAATAAGCTCTACAACCTTTATCATGGTCACAGACATTGGATTTTGTTTTCGTATCCAAGTTAAATTCCAAGCTGTAGCATGAACATTTTGGCTCCATAACTGAATTTGAATCGTATATTAGTTTTACAGCCACATTTTCCACTCTCACAGGTTTGTACTGAAACTTAAAAATTCAGTGGACGCCTCTGCTTCTCCCTCAGAAAAGGACTTTTTATCTTTGTGGTAAGGGGTAGACTATACTTTGTGCTGTTTCTTCACAAGCCAGAACGTCTATTGAGATAACATAACTGATTCAATTTGTCTCCTTTTTTCTTTCTCTCTTTAACCTGTCTAATGAAACCGATAATGAAAGTTTTGCTTTAATTATAATAAATTTTTTGCATTCATTATGTCAAAGGGATATTTTTTTGCACTCTTATTTCAATTCTGTAGTATGCAGTATAGAATAATTGATAAAGACCGATCAATTTATTCAGCAGGAACTCTGCTAGTCAATAGAAGTAAAAGAAAAAAAAAAAAATATATATATATGTATATATATCAGTGATTTGGAAAAAATTCTAGATGTTAAGGTGAAACGTAACCTACCTGTGAGCTGTGGCATTTTTAAGAATGTATACATTTCAGAGTACAGCGTGTCATTAAAATTCTTCAAAAATATAAAGGTGAAAAACTCCATTTGGACATATATAGAATGCCTGAAAAGTTATTAGTATGTTGAAAAAAGGTGGATGTTATTTTAAGTCGAAAGATAATATGATGAAAAAGATCAGTGTGGTATGTTCATTAAAAAGCCATATTATGGTACGTTTTATAATACCGTACTCATTCTATTCGTCTTTTATGTTGAAAAATGTAAAACCAAATATAAGTCTAGTATTTGTAAAAAAAGACTATAATATGGTGAATATAGTATTTAAATATAGATAAGAGTACAGATTTATGATGTGTCAGGAAAGACATCATAAAGTAATATTACTATGATGAAAAGTAATGTCATTAGGTAGTATATTATGCATTAGATAGTATTTTTAAAAGTATTATCAATGTGTTGACATATTATAAAAGGGCCATAGTGTATTATGTTGAAAACATCAGTAAAGAAGTCTTAGATTAGTATGTCAAAAAAGGCAAAAGAAAAATGATACTATAAAATATACTATAAAAACTCATAGTATGGCATGCCATTAAAATATTGAATTAATATTGCTGTTTAATTGTCTCACAGCTTGAAGTGCCAGTCTCTTCTGCAAATGGCCATGTTTCGTCACAAACAAAAAAGTGCACTCAAGTATTCAAAGACCCTCACTGATCACTTCAGCGTAAGTATTAAAGTACTGCCATCACGCCTCATTGTTTTTAAATAATTTGGGTAATTCCCAATTAACACATTTGATTTAGTAGCTGTAAAGATAACCTGTTTTGTTTTGCTGATAAAATGTTGACCTTTCAGAACTCAACAACTCCCGATCCATCTGTAGTACCTTTCAAGTGAGTCATTTAGTTTGCGGCTACATTCAATCATTCATTCAGTGTTTGGCCAATGGACTCTTTGTTGTAAAATAGTGTTTATCTTTTCCCATTTTCAGAGTGACCGTGACCCCGTCCTACACCCCTTACATGCCGTCTCCAGCCACCACGTCCAGCAGCTCCAGCCACAGCGGGTTGGGCGTGGACCCCGTCGGCAGCACCGTGCTGATCCCCCACGCCATCGGACAGGTGGCGTTCAACTACGTCAACATCACCGTGTTATTCGTGAGCGCTCATGACATCTGGGAGCAGGCGGAGGAGCTGGCACTAACGGGCAGCGGTAAGTCAAATATTCCCCGGGAGCTTAGTTTAATGAAACGATTTAAAAGGCAGGACTGACCATGATGTGACTCAACACGGCAAAAAGAATCATTCTGGAAGTCACCGGTAACCATATATATTCCTAATTTGTGCAATGATATAGCCACCATAAATGTATGTGACGTGCCCTTTGAAAAGCCATTTGATGCATTCCAATCGAAGGCGAAAAAGTCCTTTCTGTGTCCGACCGATGAACGTATTGTTCTGTATGTTCCAGGTATGCTGACCGAGCTGGACGCGGTCATGGGCCCATTGAGCCTCGCGTCCAGCATGAGCTCCATGGTGGCTTACGCGAGGCAGGCCGTCCACTGGCTGAGGCTGGACAGCCAGAAGGGGAAGTGACCCGCGGCCTGCTGTTGTCGTCACGGGATACCGGACCTTTTTTTTTACTTTGCCTCAGTGTGTCGACATGGACCGTCCCTCAGGCCTGTACCAGTTCTCTCTACTTCACATGAACTCATCTCACCGGAAAAAGAAAAAAAAAAAACTGAGATGTCCCATCATGTGCTGGACACCACATGAACATTGCACTTGTTATTTATGTTTCCCCTCACGTCCACTTCGGCGCCTCTCACTTTCTCTCTTGCACTTTTATGAGCATAGTTTTCTTCTGCTGTAATCGACATCTTTCATGTCTCGTTAGTTAGTGATTGTATTGGAATCGTTTGTGAATCACAACTCTATATTCAGGAGTGACCGTAGCTACACATGGATGGACGCGCATGAAATATTACAGAGTGCCATTCGGCGGCGCTAAAATCCTGGCCTAACATGTATTGCTAGTTCTGAAACAAATCTTATTTATTGTCATACGGTTTGTTCAGTAATACCATTAAGCCACCATACGCATTATTCAAATGTATCATGAATTTAAATTCATTTCTCCTAAAAAGAGATTAAATGTCGGCGCTCTCTGAAAGATCCGTTTGATTTCAATTCAGGGATTTTGTATTCTTTAAATTCAGCATTTTATTTCTCCAACAATTACATGGGGATGCATGAAGTCATTTCTTTTAACATTTGCACCCGTGACGAGTTCTAATGTTGAGTCAAACATGGGGATATTGGGCCAGATGGCATTCTACAGTTTTTATATTTTCAGTGAGCGAAACCAGTTATTTAACGCAGCTCTGGATGGATCGGAACACGCCTCTTGTGCAATAACACATTTCAATTTAAAAAGGGGCCATACTGTTAATCAAACAATCGCCCTTCCATAACTAAAAACGTAGGTTGAATTATGAATAGTATGTTGAGTGTTAACTCATGACAAAGATAAGAGTCCAGCCTGCGAGGTTCAGACTTGGACGAAGCCGTTGCGTATCACATGTAACTGTAGAATCGGTGGCTGTCGTCTGGGTCGTAACCAATGGCGATCAGAAATACCGGAGTCGCTTGTTGTTGTTGATTTGACGTTTTGAAGCTCAGGATCAGAAGTCGCTTGGCTTTCGTCTGACCAAAGCGGACTATTTTATTCTTTAGTCATCGTTAGAAGTTGCACATGTGCCCTCCATCTAATGAGTTATACAAGCGCACACTTAATAAACATCTTAACTACTTGCAAGAACAAAACCAAAGGGGCAGGTGTGGTATTTTTAACCCTGACTTTCCTTGGATCTGGAGGTGGATGGCGTTGAGTGTAGTGGGACCAGCAGTCTTTCAACAGATGCCAAACTGGTGTTCCCCGTTTTTGTTTTCTGCACCAGGAAGCTGCTTCCCCCGGTTTTTCCACACTTTTGTTGAGTAGGAAATGTTGAGTTGCGTTGACTGAATCTGTGGGAGTAGAATAAAAAAAGCCAAACAATAGCTCTCTAAAGAATGCACTTTGCTTTTTGGAGCATTATTGGAAAGAATAATAATAATAATCACACCGAGTTCCAAAGACCAGCAGGACTGTGCTCGTCTCTTCTTTAGTATCTTCCATCCGAAGCAATAACGCGTAGGTTTTGTTGGTTCTCATTTTTCAGTGCAGTGTTGACGTTGTTATTAGAGATTGGAAATAATCAGTAAGAAATCGTGATGTGGGAAAAGAAGCTTTTCTATTTGCTAAAGAAAAGGGCTAAACGCGGATCGTGGCTTTATTTTCTCACTTAAATGATAGTGATTTTTTTTCAAGGAGCTAAAACACTTGTGCCATTTGGGACTTGTATGTACCCACCACCATCATCATCCTCATCATCAGGCTTGTGTGCACTGCACACGATGTCATTTTGTTCATAAATAGGGCAACTTCAGCTGTTTCTTGTCTTTTGCATCCTGTGGCTTTATTTCCATCATCGTCCTCGATTGTTGGTGCTTCATTCATGAATTACTCTGCAAGTTTACACTTCTTGACAAAAAGTTATTTACTGGAAAAATGTTCAAAAACATTTTTGAAGGATGCTTTCTTCCCGTTGTGAAATATGTAAAGAATTTGTGCAGCAGTGTACATAGATGAATAAACACTGAAAATAAACAATTAGTCTTAATTTATTGGGGGTTTTCTTTTTAATTACACAATTTAGTGGTTTAAGGTCCGTAAATAACTGATATAGTGAATTACATTTATATTATGGCTGTATAACAATAAATCAGTTAAATCTTGGCACTTGGAGACATTGTCACTGATTTACTAAAAACATTCAATGCACTGTACAAAACTTGAATGACTATTTATGTGTCTGATTCTCCTGCAAAATTAGGGTTGATGAAAGACGGCTGCAACAGAAAAATGACACAAATTAGCCGTTACACTCCGACAGCAATGCGACCACGTGTTCACACCTCACTGTAACTCACCACGTCCACGGGACTGGTCGTCCTCGTTGGCAGGCTCAGGCCGCTCGGCTTATAGCCCCGAACACTGAAGACGTAGAACAGCAGTCCGGCGAGCAAGCTGAAAAACACGATGGCTCCAAAGATGGCGCCGCCTATCACGCCGGCTTCTGCACACGCAAATGCACGGTTTCCATTTTAATGGTCTCTAAAGAGAATGTAGACTGTGAAGAACATGGTCCTACTTACTGTTGGCACCTGGACCGTCGGTGGGGAAAATGGGCTCACCGCCGTCATCTGTTGTGTGGTCTGAAAAAAAACAAAAACCTGTTGATCTGCTTGTTTTTTATCTCCCAATTTGAATCGTTTCCATCTCATAGAAGCTACAAAAGCTGCAGCTGCAAATAATACAATCCGTACACTGGCGGTGGCGGCAAGCGAAGCCTCTCTTCTGCAGGCAGTCGTTGTCGTTCCAGCGCCCGTCCTGGTACATCTCCACGCAGCTCTCCTCGGCCACGTCCCCGGGGTGGAAGGCCGCGTTGGGCTCGTTGGGAGCCCAGTTGAGGAAGCCCAAAGACGTCCTGTCCGTCCAGGCCCAGCCAACTAGAACAGCAGACAAACGCGGTTTCACCACTAAAAATAAAAACTCAAATGAACCTATTGTGACGTCGCTCGTCCTCTCTACGCTCACAGTTGCCGTCCCTGGTGAGGCCGATCCACATGTTGTGATATTCGGTGGAGTTGAGGTTCCTGATGAACTCCACCTCGGCCCGGCTGTGGATGGACACCAGGTCGGCCCTGAACGATTGGCAGTAGTGTCGGGCGTCCGGCCAGGAGTAACCCTGCAGGCCGCCGTACACGGCGTAACAGTAGCGGCCGTAGGGGACCCAGAACGGCAGACACTTCCCGTCGCCGGGGGCCGGAGTCGGCGGCGGTTTCTCTGAGGTGCAATGAAGTTACACCATCAACGCTGTACGTTTTTGTTTGGTTTTCACCCTTAAAAGAAGCATATTTTGGGAGGAAAAAAAGGTTCAAACCGGAGGAGATCTTGCAGACGTAGGGTTTGGCCTGGTCACAGCGGGTGTCGTTCCAGGTCCCGTGGAAGGCGCGGGACGCGTGCATACTGACGCAGCCCTCGTCCTTCACGTTGCTGGGCTCTCCTGGTCCCCACTGGGTGAAGAAAACTGGCCAGCCGTCCGTCCACGAGTAGGAGCCGTCTTCGTCCTGCGTTCCGAGAGAACATAAGCTTCGGGTTCAATGATGGACGAGTCGGGTTTCTCAAAATATACACAGATATTTTGCACTTCATGACACTTTCACTTCAACCCGGTGAAGTTAAATTATTAATTTTACCCAGAGTTAGTGGGTGGTTTTGTTTGACCTCACACTCGAAAGGTCAGATACCTCTGAACACCAACTTTTAAGGGCCTCTCGTATCCTTTTTGTTCATTTTCCCTCCCCAACGGCACCTTGCGCCTGAGTCCGATCCAGGCGTCCGCTTTGCCCTGCAGGACCGCCCCGGCGATGAAGGCCTGGTCGTAGCTCATGTCGACGCTGGCCAGGTTTCCTCCCTGCTGCTCGCAGGCCGTCTGCGCCGCGCCCCACGCCGCCGGCTCCTCCACCAGCTTGTAGCAGTTCTTGTACCAGGAGACGTAGCCCTCTGGACAGGGGCTCTTGGTTGGGGGTGGTGGGGCGATGCTGCTCGCTGATGTGGAAGCAGATGAAGTGATAAGAAGCGCCTGAACGTGGACTTAGCAGCTGTATGTTTGAGATGTATTTCCGTGACTAAAATGATTGGTTGTAGGTTGAAAGGAAAACAATTAACTGACATTTCCTCCTCGAGCAGACGAAGCTGTGATCCTTGTGACAGACGTCATCGTTCCACTTGCCACTCATCAGGGGTCCGTGAGCCATCGCTACGCAGTGTTCCTGTTGAGGATAACAAGTGAGTTTCCAAGCTTTTAAAAAGCCCGGAGTGGAAGGTTTTAGTTCTGCTCACTGTTCCGCCTGCGTTGTTGGGCTCCTTTTCGTTCCAGTTGGTGTACAGCACGGCGCTGACGCCGTCACTCCAGGCGTACTGATTCTCCACCAAGAGATCCGACAGGCCGATCCACGTGGGAAGCTCCAGGTCCCTCAGGTAGCTAGCGACGAAGTCTGGAGGACAGGAGAGGATCTAAATATGGAGACTGGTCTTTTTTTTTTGACCCGAGGCCAGTGGACTGTTGACTTCTCGCAGCTGCAACTCACCATTCTCGTACTGGTCATCGATTACTGCCAGCTCGCCTCCTTGGGCTTTGCACCAGGTCCGCGCGTGAGACCAATTCGCTTTAATGTCGTCTTTCCTCCCTTTGAACATGAAGCATTTGTCCTTGAAAAGCATCCAACCTGCAGAGTAGGAAGGTGAATGGGTCATATTATAGATTTTTATTGGTTGTATTATCAGTTACAGCTTGATTGGTGTGTGTATAAAATAAACTACTTTAAATGCAATAGTATTGTATATTACGCAATGCGTAAGAAGGGACAGAAACCCCCCAATTCTGAAGTGGTTTGCTATTTGAACAAGACAATCAGAGAAATGAAAAACTAAAATAATAAAGAGTAAAAAAAAATCATGCAAAATCTAATTTGACTTCATGAAGTACTAAAATAGTATTTTCAGTGTAAAACCGTGTAAAAGTCTGTGTGCATGTTTTAATAAATAAACAACACCTAAAATGTAGCCAGTTGTGTGTGTGTGTGTTACCTGCAGGGCAGTTGCCCTCCCAGGGCTGTGTGGGCGGAGGAGGTGTGTGGCTGCCTCCAGGGAACTTCTTACAGACGTAACCTGCTCCGGCCCGACCACAGTTGGCATCGTTCCATCCTCCTTAAACAGCCCGAGTTCATTGTGAATATAACCAACGGTTCAGTGAGTTGGAACGGTTTCCTGTTTATATATATATATATATATATTATATATATAAATATAATACCTTGATGTCTGTTCATCTGAACACACTGCTCCTCCCCGTTGGCGTTGTTTGGCTCACCTGGACCCCAGTGAGTGTATGTCACAGGGGAGGAGTCCACCCACCTGTGCAGGTAAACCAGAGAAACACATTACAAAGAGAAACTCCACTCTGGAGCAGGATTTGCATTGTGTTGCTGCAGCGAAATACAGACCTTTCTAAGCATCGAGGCGCTAATTGATGACGTCAATACACTTTTTAACTTTTCTAAACTGATATTGAATCAGTGACTCATATGTAATCAAATGTATATTTTCATCTTAAATTAGAAAATACCCAATATTCTACTTAATGCGGAGTGCTGCGTTTTTTTTCCCTACCACTTGTAATATTAAAAGATACGTGAAAATTAATTTGGGGCAGATTTTACACATTTCAAATTCACCTCCACACCAACCACTTGAAACGACACGTACATGTATTGTCCACTGGCGATGCCGAGCATCCTCATCCCGATCCAAGCTGCAGCGACATCGCCCGTCCCCACCTGGAGGAGTGGTGCAAAGTGAGCCAGTCAGAAGTGGCTGCGTTGGAGGCCGCTGGGCTGCAGACAGGGAGACGTACCATGGTGTTGACGTACGCCTGTTCCTCTCTGTCGTGGATGGACACCAGCAAGGCCTTCTCGTGGTAGCAGCGCCTCATGGCCGTGTGGAAGTCCACGATGTCGGTGTCGTTGTAGTAGTAGCAGATGTTGCTGTTCTTCCTCCAGCCAGGATTAGAGCCACAATCAGGAGCTGAGGGTTAAGAAATGAGGAAACTCACTCTGCTTTTTTATTTAGAATTACGTATAATTGCACATTTGAGGCATATATTTTTGAGTTAATTAGCCTCCTATGAGCACCAATATCAAAATGCATTATTGTAATTAACATTTTAGACAAGGAAAATCTAGCCTGAGCTCTGTCTGGGAATTAGAAAAACGATTCAGCTCAAATAAGTAGGTGAGAAGATATTAAACATCTATTTTGAGTAATATAAACAATATGTATTGAAGGTTTCACACTCATCACCTCTTGTGGGAACAGTTTACCTGGAATTGGAGGTGGGGGCACCGGGGGCAAGACTGGGTTCTTCCCTTTAGTGATCATGCAGATCCAGTCCTGGTGAGCGTCGCAGTTGAGATCGTTCCACCAAGAGCGGCTCCCGTTGACGCTGCTCACCATCTCCACGCATTCCTCGCGCCCCTCGTGGTTGTTGGGCTCCCCGTGACCCCAGTTGGTGTGTGAGAGCGGCGTGCCGTCGCTCCACGAGTAGCCTACAGCCATGGGAAATGACCACGGGGCCTTCATTTATTTCTTTATTTCATTGCATCGGCATTATCTTATCGCTTTGTGCTCACCTCCCTCCGTGGGGTTGTGCCTGAGGCCGATCCACTTGCTGGTGTCTTTGCTGTACAGAGCGAGGAACTCCTCCTCCTCCTGGTTGTGGATGCTGACCAGATTGGCTCCTCGGGAGACGCAGTCCTCGCGTGCCGCTCCCCAGCTCTTCTTCAGGGAAAAGTCCACCTCGTGGAACAGCTGTAACACATCAACAGTCAAAAAAAACGTCCCGCGGTACCGTATCGCGCTTTTAGTTTGTCCCTTCTGCTTCCCCCGTGTACCCGGTAACAGTTCCTGAAGTGAGGCAGCGCGGTCCACCCGTCAGCGCAGCCCTGTGAGGGCGGAGGGGTCGGGGGCTTGGGGGGCGGGGTGATGTCGGGCCGGGGCTTCTCGCAGACGAAGGCGTGTCTTTCTGCGCATTGCTTGTCGTCCCAGAAACCACCAATCTGACCCGTGGTCATGGCCACACAGGTACCATCCCCGTTATCTAGAGGGGGAGGGGGGGGGGGGCGTGTTGGGTAAACACTGCGTTAACACTGCCCCGCTGACGTGAGGGGACGCCTCCAGTCCGTACCTGGCTGGTCTTTGTCCCAGTGGGTGAAGGTGAGGGGTAAGTCGTTGTCCCAGATGTAGTCGACCCCTCCCGTTGACCCTCCTCGAGCACGCAGGCCGATCCACCACAAACCGCTCTTTCCAGAGAGCGTCACCGTGAAATGAGCCTGCTCATAACTGCAAAACAAATCTTTAAGATAAGATTTAAATACACTCCACGTTACACACGCAGACACATAATACGACGGGCACATAACAACACAATCGAGGAGACTCACACGTCTCCGATGTGCAGCAAGAAGCCGCCCTGCTCTTTGCAGAAAGCCTTCGCTTCCGACCAGCTCCTGGTGGTCTCCTCCAGCCAGTAGCAGGAGTAGCCGTACGCGTGCCAGCCCTGACACACGTCACACCTCGTTACACAACTTGCAGCTCCCGTCCAACAGGCCTCGTGAGAACAGACACAGCGGGTGTGCGGTGGGAAGAGTTTCGTGCTACCTGAGGACATCCGTACACGGTGGGTTTCACAGAGGGGGCGGGGTAATGCGCTCTGGCCGCTTTGCATATGTAGGTATTGAGCTCGGTGCAGGACACGTCGTTCCATCGTCCGGTCTGTGACATTTATTAAATGAACATTCAAATAAAGAATATACGTATTTGTAGCAGGAACTGCATCACCCTGGCGTGTGTGAGACTGTTAATCACCTGATGCAACATCTCCACGCAGTCTTCGCTGAACCCGTCGTGGTTGTTGGGCTCCCCTGGAGCCCAGTAGGTGAAGGTCACCATGTGCTCGTCAGACCAGGTGAACATACCGGTCACAAACAGGTCATTCAGACCCGTCCACACGTCACTGGTGGCTGAAAAAGACAAGCAAGGAGAAAAAAAAAACGGATGGATTATCTTTCTTCGTGTGCTCTTTTAGTCTTTCTCTCTCTGCGCTGCCTTTCGAATGCCACAATCTGACTGCGTCGACCGTCACCACCTCTGTTTCCTAAATCCGTACCCATGTACAGGTAGCTTTCCAGCCAGCTCTGCTCCGTCATCGACTGGATCGATACGAGCTCCGCACCCAGACTCCTGCAAGTGTCCCGGGCATCGTGCCAGGTCTTTTTGTCCGTAGAAGGTTTGTAGCAGAACTCTCCGAACTCGTACCAGTCCGGCCCGGAGCACCTCAGCGCTGCAGCACAGAATTCAGAATCAGTCTAATCGGCATGAATTGAAAAATGGATGTTCAGTAATTGAGGGATTGTAATTGTACTTTAGCTCACCCCCATCTGCAAAAGTGTAAGACACCGCATAGTTTCCATCGTATCTGTAGAACAAAATAAAACTTGCTGTGGCTGAATTTGCCTCCCAGCGCCGCACAAAGAAAAAGGCGACTTACTGCAACGAGGTGATGCCGTTCCTGGTGGAGCCGGGATAGAAGTCCTGCCCCTCCACTTTCAACAGGGTGCAGTCTCCTCCACCCTCGTTCAGTATCACTCCAGCATGGATGGCCGCGGCGCAGATGTTTGAGTCCTGCGAGAGGAGACAGAGCGGAGACAAACGCGCGTGATCCTCCCTGCACACATTACGCAACACGTGATGCGGATCATGTGACAAACCGCTGGCGCTCACCCCCCGGTACACTGACGTGCCGTACACCCGGTGATAAGCGTTGGCGCAGCGGGCCGGACAATGGACGCTGGAAAGACACGCGAGAATCAGTCGCGTTCTGAGAGGACGATGAAATATCCCCAAAAGGACGTTACCCAACGGAATACAAATGTTATGTGTTCCACTCACGTCATTTTATCGTTGGCAAAGTTGAAGTTGGGCTTGTTGGCGCACGTGATTGCATCTGTTGAAAAGCGTTTAACATTTTCTTTAAATTATCGACCATCGGTGTAGAACAGTAGAACTCTTAAGCTCACTGGCTCCCTTACAGTCCGGCGTGCATCCCAACACGTCGAAGCGAAGCCCCGCCTGCCCGCTGAAGCCCAGCGGCAGGATGCGGACGTGCTGAGTGGACACGGGTGTCCCCAGGAGCTGAGTCACAGGACCGTCTCTGTCCGTCGAGCCTGAGAAAAACTGCAAATGATGGAAATCCTGAAAATGACATCCTGCCCACTGTCGTCAAAGTTTGCCTCTGGAAGCGCGTTGCGCTTTGTCCGGCGGCAGCGGCTCGCTCACCTGTCCGTCGGCAGTGTAGTCCGTCCAGCGGGTTCCGTCCACGCTGTGCTGGATCTTGAATTCGGTGAGCCAGAAGTCGTTCTGTGGACAACCCTGGACTACTATTCCCGTTACCTTTCTGGTCTGGCCGAGGTTCACCTGGATCCAGCTCGAGGTTGCTGGGGGAGAGTATGAAGGTTCGATATGAAGGTTAAATAGAGATGAAATATATATTCTTCCCGCTGGGTTGGTACGTACGGTTTCCTGAAGGCATCCAGCAGGAGTTCCCATTCAAACGGGCCTCGGTGGGAGTGTAGGCACCGGCGGAGGATGAAGCCGAGAGCTGAGCGTCCGTGATGTTGCCGTCCTCGACTCCCAGGCCGTGCAGACACACTGCGAGCAGCCGAAAAACCACGAAAACCCACCGTTAGCGTTCAGCTGGGATTGTTAGAGGAAAACGCTGGAATTTAACCGAATCAAAGACAAGGAGGAGCCCACCTTTTTGTTCACAGCTGTAGACGATCTCCAGGTATTTGGATACGGAGGGACACGGGTCCGCGTCCGCGTCCACGTGGGCGTAGGCGAAGCAGAAGGGATGGTTGTCGCACATCTTCCGGTAGTGAGGAAGGAGGCCTTCCACGGTGCAGCTTCCTTCCGATCCACCAAAGTGTGGACAGATGTCACCGCTCTTCCGCCCGTAGAAAGCCGACTGGATGTTGATTACGCTCTCGGGCGGACAGTGAAGGACGGCGGTGGAGTCCTGGCACACCAGCGCCGTCATGAAGCCTGCCGCCGGAATAATAAAGTTAAAAAACGACAAATTTATGGCTGTTGCGTGTTATTTGCCGAGCAAAGCTTTCAGCGGCGTCGTTACCATCATGAGGTGGAGGAGGCTCAGGGGTGATTCCTGAAAGGAAGCGCGAGTCCAGTGTCACCGACGTCAACTATCAGCACTCTAAATATGTAAATACAAGTGAAACGACGGTTAAAGCAACACGTCCCACCTTTCCGTTCGCAGACGTATCCCCTTTTTTGCTGACAGTTGTCGTCATTCCAGTAGCCGTTGTTAATTATTATGGACAGGCAGTCTTCCCCGTTGTGGTTGTCTGGATTACCTGTGAAGAAAAGTAACTCGTCACTTTATTGACAATATACCTCGCATGGTTTTATTCTGCAGCACATATTTGGGCTCAAATGACCTGCATTCCAGCGGATGTATCTGAACGGAGAACCGTCTGTCCACTCCCAACCGCCCTCGGTGACGGAGTCATGACCCCCCATCCACAGAGAGACACCTGTGGGGCTGGACTGGATCACACCTGAGAGACAAACACAAACTGAGTCCCGATAAATCGTTTTTTTTTGTAAAGACTACACCAGTTTCCCCAGAATAGCCTGACTTTTTATACAAACCATAAGAATCATTTAAGAAATTTAAATCGGTTTATTGCAGGAGAATCAAACATAACTGGTAGCAACAACGCTAATAATGAACAAGTATGAATGACTGAACAGTGATAAAAAAAAGAGCGCTCCCTCACCTTGTACGAAGGCCTGTTCGAAGGGATCCGTGATGCTGACGAGGTCTCCTCCCTGGTTGACGCAGTCGGCTCGGGCCTCCGCCCACGGCCTCGTGGACAGCAGGTTGAACTGGTAGCAGTAGTCGTTGAAAGGGTCGGCCGTCCAGGAGCCGCATCTCTCGTTCCACCCTGTGACGAATACGCAACACAAATCAAGGCCAACCCGCCGTCAGCTTGGGGGTCGTGTGTGACGGACGGTCAAGAGCACCTGGTCCAGATGTTGGGGGCTGGGGAGGGGGCCCTTGTCCCTTGGCTGTGGAGGGACGAGACGGACACAAAACCGTAAAACGCACCTTGTTTTCAGCAACAAAACAAGGGCGACTTAAACACAATGCGTGGTGGGTCAGACCTTTTTTGCAGATAAATTCCCTGGTGTTGGTGCAGACGTCGTCAGCGAGCTTCCCGGGCTCGGACTGAGTCGTCCCTCGGAGGTGCACGCAGTCCTCGTTCTTCTCCCAGTTGTCCGGCTGGTTGGTCGCCCACGGGAGGAGATCCTGAGATCACCATGAAATATGGAGGACAGATAAAGCTCCTCGCAAAGGACGACCCTGCAGTTTCCAAATGCGCGTGAAATGACAGTTATGTGTTGGTGGTTTCATCACTTACTGCAGGGGTTCCATCGGTGTACACAAACTGGTTTTCGACATTGATATCATTCAAACCCACCCAGGATGCACCCGGCATGTGAGCTGAAGATGAAACACAGGGACAACAAAAGTTCATTTAAAGTTCAAAAAACACAATAATATTTCCCGGTTTGTGGCGTGTGCCTTCTGGGCCGCGCACCGATCAGGAAGCTGAGCTCATCCTCCTCGTGGAAGCTGGCGAGGTGAGCCTGCTCTCCGCTGCAGTGAGCCTCGGCGTCGTGCCAGCTCTTCACCGACTCGCTCTCGAAGCGATAGCAGAAGTCCCCGTTCAACAAATACCCGGCGTCGCAGTGGGAATCTGAAACAAAGTTCGCGTGGCCGTTTATCGACGGCGTTCATCCGCGGTACGCGGAGACGGAACCAAAGTTTCACCAACCAGGAGCTGGAGTAGGTTTGGGGTTCTGTCCGCCGGTCATCTCACAGATGTAACCCAGGCTCTTGAAGCAGTTGGTCGTCTCCCATTTTCCGTCGTAATTCCCTGGAAGAGAACATGAACTGATGGTTGGTCTCGAGCGTGAACATGAGAACGTTTATCACGGACTAGTGGTGCAAATTGTACCTGTGTATATTTGTCCACAGTCCCAAGTGGCTGCAGTGTTTTTGGGCCAACCGGGACCATAGTTGGAAAAGGTTATTGGGGATTTATCCACCCATTTGAACTCCCCGTCCTGGTCCTTGTCTGTGTGACGTCACATGGGTCATGAACGACGACAATCGCGATGCTTTCTTACAGTATTTTTGAGCGTGGAGTACCCGATAAACCGATCCAGATGTCAGGAACGTCCACGTGGTGAAAGTCTGGGAGGTTCCCGTTGACAAAGAACTGTTCTTCTTCACTGTGGACGAGGAGCGGGACACAAAAGATGGACGGCGTGAGATTTCTAAGCAGGGACGGACACCTTTACTTCTTTGTGCGGTTTCATCATTGGGCTCCAGGGGCAGATGCTTCTCTCCTACCTGTTTATAACCAGCAGGTGGGCCCCCATACCGGAGCACCTGGTGAAGGCCTCGTGCCAGGTGGTCAACAGCTTTGTGTTACTGACCACCCAGTAACAACTGCCGGCGAAGCTCAGCCAGCCGCGGTGGCAGATGGCTGGAGGCGAGTATCAAAAGAGTGAATTGTTGTCCTTTCATGATGAAAGTAAGAGCCGTAATCTTTGCATTTATTCCCCCAAAGGTCCAGCTTACTGTTGAGCGGTCGTTTGCACATGTAAGGACGCTCATATCTGCACAGATGGGATCTCCATTTCCCAAATCCGTCGGACGGATCTTTGACGATGGCGGCACACGCGCCGGCCTGCGTGTCGCTGCTGGAGAGAGATCTCTCGCGTTTCAACGCCGGTTTGCACAAATGGATATTTCTATTTAGATGACGAGTTTGCACGATGTCTCACCCTGACGGTTCACCCTCAGCCCAGTTCGTGTACCCCACATGGAGAGCATCAGACCAGGCGTACTGAGTGTTTGTGGCTTCAACCTGACATGAAATCTTGTTGCATTTCTGTAGGGAGAAAAGCTCAACCATCCCGTGGATGCACTCGATACAACATCACGCAGTTAAAGAAAACACGGCGATCCTCTCACCAATGTGGAGAGCCCGATCCAGAGGTCAATCCACGACGCGTCCATCGCTCCTGTGACAAACTGCTCCTCCTCTGCCGAGGTGACGGACACCAGGTCCCCTCCTTCCTGCACGCAGTCGCTTCGTGCCGCCGCCCAACTCCTGCGGCCGGCCGCTTTCAGCTTGTAGCAGTCGGACGCGTGCTGCGTCCAGCCGTTCGCCAGGTCGCACCGAGGGCCCGGATTGGCTAAAGAGGAGAGGAGAGGAGAGGAGAGGAGAGGAGAGGAGAGGAGAGGAGAGGGAGCACACGGTCGATTAGGGTCAACTTCGCATGACGACGAAGGAATGAACTCAAAACTTCACTTGAGTCAGAAAAGAAAAAGTTTTTCCCACTTCTGCGTTTCTGCAGAAAACGGGTTTGATTTTTCACACACGCCGTCAGATCAACACGTAAAAAAAAAGGGGGTCTGCGGACGCTCTCTGCTGGATGTACCGTTGACGTGCTTGCAGATGTATTTCCTCTTAACGCCGCAGTTCTCGTCATTCCACTGTCCAAAGTTTGCTCCCGCCACCTGACCACAGTCCTCCCCGGGTTCCTCGCCCCAGTTATCAGGCTGGCCGGATATCCAGTACCTGAGAGAGAGAGAGAGAGAGAGAGAGAGAGAGAGAGAGAGAGAGAGAGAGAGAGAGAGAGATCGTTTGGATATGAAGGTATTTGTATGAAATGAAAGTAGTTTTTTTTGAGAAATGACGTACGACAGGTATGTTATGAAAGGGCTCCCGTCGCTCCACTCCCAGACGCCCTCCACGGCGCGGTCGTTCAGGCCGATCCAGTGGCTCTCCGTGCCGATTTGTGTCCTCACCCACAACTAGACAAGGACACAATAAAAAAATAAAATTAAAAAATGCATCAAAACGCCGCGTGAGATGCTTTATCAAATGGAGTTTCCTGCGTCGTGCGTGTGGCCTCACCCTCTCCTCGATGTCCTGGATGCTCATCAGGTTGGAGTTCTGCTCCAGACAAAAGGCGTTCGCCTCCATCCACGACTTTGTGTCCGTTGAAAAGAAGTAACAGTTGTTCGCATTCTCCCTCCAGCCTGGATGACACTGGCTCTGGGCTTAAAGACACAAGAGTACAACATACTGGTTTAACTGAGTAACAGCTTCTAGTGAGCAGTAATGGTGGAATGAAAATACTGGGATTACCTTTCGCGTTCAAAAAATTAACAAAATTAACAAAAGCCGGCGAAACATTCCCATGGATCATAAAAGTCCCATGACCGATCCACAGTCCAGCCGCGTCAATCAACTCTCATACAAAGTTTGGATAATGTTTGACTTTTAACAACCCCAACAGGACACTATAGAATCACATGTTCGGCACACATCTGTAATGATTTCAAAGACCACATGATGCAAAATTTAACCACCTCACAACAACGTGCTTCATGCAGTGGTGCTCATGAAAAATCCGACATCAGTGCAAGAAATATTATATAAACTGTTAGTTTGCAGCTTCGCTGAACAGATATAAATGCAGAATATTTTATTAAGACAATTGGTATTAAAATAAATTCTTATTTAGACCTTTTCTAAACAGCGGTTGAGTTTTTTTTAGAAATGAAAGTAAGTAAATGAATTAGACAAGAATAAGAACTACGGTTGAGTTGTCTCCTGTACAAGTATTGTACAAAAATTACTTATTTATATTTTAATGCTAAGGCTCATTTTCATTCAACGATATTGAGGTTCACAAAAGCTCCGTTTCATTTCTTTCAAAAAGTAAATTGTTTTTATAACTTCTATGTACCTCACAACATTTAGTTTACGTTTTTGTTTGTCGACACACTTTGTCTTCATTTTGAGGATTACAAAACGGGTTTATATCTTCACCTGGCCACAAACAAAAGGAAAAAAAAGGAGTCTTACCACAAGCCAGAAGAGCAGTGAAGCTGAGCAGCTGCAGAATCATTTTTGGGCTTCTGTCCGTTTCTCTTTGTCTGTGTTCACCACTCAAAGTGTGTTTCTACGCATCCTAATAGCTTCAGGGTTCTTCTCCAAACTCTCCTGAGCCTGAGATGTGCTCCAGCTCCCGGTTCTGAGACCTCTAAGCATCACCTCGGTGCTTCAGCTCTTTTCAGCATCCAGCCAGAGTCCAAAGACTGAAAGCAGTAAAACACAGATGACACACTCGACTCTTTTTCTACAAAAACAATCTGCCGTTTGCCTCCAAACCAAATTAACTGGTTGAGACCAGGTTGGTTGTTTTGTAAGCACAATGTGCAATATCAAGGATAAACCCTTAGAATTTGATTAATCCAGAAATAACGTTAATCATAAACATGGCTGACAATAGAAAACGATGGATGTATTCTGTGGTTTTGGTTCTTTGTCATTTTTTGCTAAATACAAGTTAGATGCAGAAGCCCTGCAGTCAATTGTGTTTTATAAATACCATGCATTTTAAAAGTTATTAAAAGGCTGAACATTTATCAGCTTTGGTGTGACTTCAAACTGTCCTTTAAGTTAAAAGTTTAAAATAAAAACGGAAAAAGGGTCCGTGCTCAACTAAAGAAGAAAACAAAAGTATCCGATTTTTGGGGATCGCAAAAATACATTTTTAAATTCTTTGAGGTCAAAGCGCACAGAAGTCATCAGTTAATAACGATAACAACACAAAGCTTCCACCTAGAAGAACCTGAAGGACGTGTTGGTTATAGTTTTGTGTGCACATCATATTTGACACAGTGAGACCACAAAGTCCAGAAGACGGTGTGTAACAACCACATCATAAACTTTATACAGGCAAACCTCCACCTCTGGTTACTTTTTAACTGGATAGGACATTTTACAAAACATGAAATGCTTATTTTACATCAGATTCTCATTTACACGTTTTATTGGTCAGCAGACTTTTATGAATCTTTATTGAGAACAGAAATATAAACAAGTGTCGGGTGCGTTGCAAGTGAGTGAAATGACTGTTTGCACCCAGTTTACAGTCAGTCCTAAAAAGGAGGCAACATTAGTGTTTGGCAAACAAAGAAGAAGCGAAATCCCACCAGTAAACTTTGCACAGAACTTTATTGTACCAATTTATACCAATAGCGGGTAAATAAAACGCACAGGATGGCAGCAGTCAGGAGAAAGAACAACAAAGTACAGTAAAGTTTACAAAAGACGTTTCTCGCTCAGTTGCTACAAAGTTGGAAACACGTTTTTTTATTTTGGTGTAAAAATGTTGCAGGTTGATAATACGCACCAAGATTATGATTGCCAGAACACAAGCTGTCAAATAATATTCTTATTTCTATTATAAACATAACACCTTTATGTTTTAGTCATCACTCTGTAAACCTATTCTGAGAAATAAAAAGAATATTTTTATGGAAATAGCAGTAAGGTGTTAAATAAACATCTTTAAACTTAAAACATAAAATGCTCCAGTTAGGACCAAAATATACTGAGACTTCACATCTATTCTAGGAAAATAGTGCACAGCAATGGATTAGATAGTAATAGTAAAGGATATTACCAAAGATACACCTATTTTATCATACAAAATATCCATATATTAAAATATAACGCAACCATCTGCAGAGACAAAACCTCCGCCGCTTCGAATACGCATCTGAAAGCCCTGATTAGGATTTCTGACAGTCCAGCTATCGTCAAACACAAATCTTCAACGCGAGTATCTGCCCCGGCCCGTTTGAACAGATCTCTGTACAATCAAAGTGAAAAAGAAGCCGAGAGGGGCACCGTATTGCTCTGATCGGTCCTCCGCCCTCCGGCACGCAGTCACCAGACCCTCTGGAGGAGGCGACTCGGAACCCACCATTTTTTGTTTGGTACTTGCAGCAGTTTAAACCCGTCGCCTCCTGCCCGGCCCAACGACTTGTCCCGATTTGAACCAGATGATTGTTCGAACACAATTACTTGAAAACTGCAGCTAGAACTGCTGCGATGTGATCCACGCACAGCAGTCGGGAGAGAATAATCCCGAAACGCACCTTTAAAAAGTCCAACTGCTCTTAACCTATAATAAAGCAGGAACATCAACATTGTGCTTCAGATTGACAGTTAACATTTTAACTGCGTGCACTGCAAAGGATGCGTGATCGTGATTGTTTTAAATTAGAGATTTTTCACATCTCTGTGGAAAAGAAATGCAGAGCCAACGAGTAAACTAGTGAGCCTTAAAGAGGAGACCTTTGAAAAGCTCTCACACTGGCCCGCTGTACACACCTCATTCATATTGTGCAGTTGACCTGAAGATCAAAAACTCACCTCCCATTCCCGAGACGTTAGTATCAAACACTAATAGGCTCAGCTACTGCGGCGCCTTTACAAAAAGTCACAACTATGGCGAAAACACGGTACAAAAAAAATCACTGATTGCTAAAAAACACCAATAGAAATATCTTAATTGTGTCAGAGAAGACTGATTTGTCCGTTGTGCACTTCAAGTCAGTAGAACCACGCTAACATCACTCGATCACCGCGTGCAGACTGAATATCAGCCACACAGCGACTACGGCGGATGTTTGAACAGCGGCGAAACAGCTCGGCCAAACCCCTCCGTCGCTGTGTGTGTGTGTGTGTGTGTGTGCGTGCGTGCGTGCGTGTGCTCCGTGTGGTGCGCCTGTGCAGGGATCAGGTCTGACCGGTGGCAGTCGGTCACCTGGGGAGGAGCCGGGCGGCGGGTCACATGCAGTTGGCCACGTTGCTGGAGCCTTGTCCCACGTCCCTGATCTGGCTGACGTGGGACGAGCAGACAGCGACTCCGGTTCCGGCGCGGCAGTGGGACACGGAGCCCCCCAGCTCCCCCCTGGGAAGGGGGGGGGGGGGGGCGCGAAAAGCACCACAACAGTTACTTCCAACTCGCCCGACACAGAACACGCGTGGCGGCGGTCTCTCCGCGCAGCGACTCCTCACCTGTTCATTCGAGGCTCAAAAGCCTCGACCGTGTTCAGGTAGATGTTCCCGTTGTGACCGCCGACCGCGAACACTCTTCCCATCACGGTGGCCACCCCGACGCCCCCCCGCGGGGTGGTCAGCTCCGACACGTACTCCCAGCGGTGCATTCTGGGGTCGAAGCGCTCTACGGAGCTCAGGGGGGAGTTGTCGTCAAAGCCGCCTTCAGGAAAAACGAGAGGGGAAAGGAATCATGAAATGGCTGAAGGATACAGGAAACTGGTGTGTGTGATAGTACCTGACATTAGATAATAAGGACACAGTGGGGAAGCAAAACGTGTTATAATATAATACAGCTACTGACCGGCCATAACATCCTGTTTTAATGAACCCTGTGTGACTCTTTAAATGCAGGTGGTACGATAAAGATCTCACACTGTCAATCAGTCACCAGGTAGCTTACAAAACACGAACTTTCACCTTTCCCCATTCACACATTTCTGTTTATAAAAGTGCGGCGTGCGTCCGGGAGACATGTGACCCGCTCGTGATGCGAGTCAAACGTTGCTCTCACCCACTACGTAGAGGCAGCCATTGAGTTTGCTGACTCCGTTTCCCGCCCGCCGCTGGCCCATCTCGCTGACCTCCGTCCACTTGTTGAGGTGGGGGTTGAACCGCTCCACGCTGGACAGGGACGCCACGCCGTCGTTGCCTCCCACCGCGTACACGAAACTCTGGGCCCGGGCAGAGGGGGCACAAGGAAGTGAGGTCCAGAACGCCATCAAGTCAGTTACCCGCCCTCCGTTCTGAAAGCCTTACCCCCAGCGCGACGGACCCCACCCCTCCTCTGGGAGTGTTCATCGGGGCCACGGAGCTCCAGCAGTCGCTTTCGATGTCGTAGCGCTCGACGTCGTTGAAGCAGGAGTTGTCGTCCAGGCCTCCGATGGCGTAGATGGGACCACCGAGAGCTGCCAGGGCGATGCCCCTCCTGAGGAACACAAGAGCGACATTTCTGCTGCAAACGTCTTTTGTCCCCCATATACTAAGACAACAGGAAATGACTCAATCTAAAATGAAAATATGTATGTATGTAAATAAGTGTGTTAAAGACAATATGGAGGATTCAGCGTTGTCTTGGTACCTCTTGGTGTTCATGGAGGCTTTCATCATCCACTTGTTGGTGAGGGGGTCAAACATCTCCATGTTGCCCAAGTGTTCGCTGCCATCATGGCCCCCGACTGCATACACCCTGCCTGAGGAATCCATCGTCACACAGACATGGACGTGAGTCTTTATGACCAATATTCTCAAATAGTATTGTGTGAAATGCACATACCACCAACGGAGTTGCCAGTTAATGTAAATAAACGCAACTTCCTTCATTGAGGTAGTGGCCATTAACGGTTGTATTGTTTGTGCACATTGTTCACTAGTTTCGGCTAAGTCAATAAATAAATTGGCATCGGAGTATATTGGGAATATTTTTATTATAGAATTTCTAAACCCAACTGCTCGTTAACTTCATTACATAGAAGAGAGACCCCTCTTACCTCCTACAGATATCACACCCACATGGCGCCGTCTGCTGTTCATTTCGGGGCCAAAGAACCAACTGTTCTTTGTGATGGAGTAACACTCGATGCTGCGAAATGGGTCACCAGAACCCCCCCGGCCGCCCACGCAGAACAAAACCCCTGAGGAGATGGATGGAGAGAACAAAGGGTTTGGATCGGTGAGAGCACTCGCAGGCTACTTGCACACAGAAGATGGGAAAATATACAAAGAAAATATGAGGACAAAAATGTAGGTTGCTAAAAGAAAAGTGCAACAAGACGAGTGTTACCTGCGGTGTGTTTCCGGGGTACGGTGCGCACCGAGTACTCAAAGTCCTGCACCACCTTGTTGCTCAGGTGCAGGTGGTAGTTCCTGGCTTCGTCCATCAGGTCGCGACAGCTCAGGTTGCCTTTAATCATCTCGTCCTTCGACACCGTTCCAGTCAGGAACTCCACGGGGAGCAGCGGCAGGCGCACCTGAGGGGAGGAGACCGCCGTGCACGTCGTATCGTTAACCTACGCCAGCTACGCCCCCACCCAGTCCTCCCAGTCCCCTGGAGCTGTGAACTCTCTGACCTGGGACATGATCTGGTCCAGCCAGTCCTCGTGGTGCTGCGGGTTCGCCTTCAGCCATTTCACCGCCGCGTTGTACACCTGGGTCTCCGAATGGATGTTGAGCTCGCTGGAGGACAGCAATGTGCGCAGGTGCTGCGGAGACACGCAGATGAAGTCCTCACAGTCCACCACCTCGGTGAAGTGTTCGCAGGCATAGCGGTCCGCCATGTCCATCAGGTCCACGCGATTGTGGCTCTCGGCGAAGGTTCGCACCGCCAGGCAGTTGGTGGGGTGAAAGTGGGCCTTCATGTACTCGCAACAGGCTCTCGCTACCAACTCCACCTAATAGATTCAAGCAGTAATACGGTTAATACCTAAAGAAACACGTTTCACAAACAGAATTCTGTGCAGAAATTGAAAAAAACAAAAAACTTTAGCAGTATCTTAAGCTTTGACCCTTTGTTTACCTGAAGGATGCAGGCAGCGTACAGCAGTGGCTGGACGTTGTCCACAGTTAATGTGAGCTTGGAGGAATAGGCAAAATGCACCAGGTCCTGGATGGCGTCACCGTCAAAGTCCTTGATCTCTATCAGCTCCTGTTTCGCCTCGGACATCTCAGAGAGGAACATGGCCCTGAGGGACGAACCGTGTCAATGCTTTACCTGATGCTAAAGCTCACAATCGTAACATTTTACTTTCCAATAAGGAAACCTCCCTTTTTGTAATTTTATGCTACTACCATTGTCTTGTTAGAGGAAAACTAACAAACTCGATAAGTGTCTGAGACCAGTGGTTCACAAACCGTTCCTGTCGATGATTTAGCAACATTGATTGTTTTATCATTTCTTAGGTGTGTGTGGGTTGGTGATGAAGTTCCGCCACACAACACTGTTACAGCCATTTAACAACAGGGGGCGCTCTTGCACACGCACGCGAGAGGGAAATGGCCTTGGACATAGTGAAAGAAAAAAAAGGGGGAGCAAGAGGAAGAGCAGACGTGTTGGGGAGTGGCAGTTGTTTGGGTGTCGAGTTCAAATATTAATCGTCTTTCTCCAGAATCGCCGACTTGAATCACAGGACAGAGTGAGAATCTAGCGTCTATGCTACAGTGAGGGTTTCGGTTACAGGACCAGGTCGAAGACAATGAAACATACCTGAAGTAAGGGATGACGCAAGCCAGCACCAGCTTGTGGCATGGTATCAACCTACTGCCGACCTACAAAGAGAGACACAAACAGAGAGAGATAGGAAACAAGGCCCAGCAGGATACAGCAACAATAATCTCCCCGTTTATTGATCACTGTGATCTAATCACTGTGATTACAGCAGTTACTTTGGACCCACATTTCAAACCGCTACCATGACTTTACGGAAAACATTAAACAAAGATACGCTGAATTGCAAATGGAAGAAAAGAAAAAAATTCCGTCTCTTTACTTGAGTCTGGATAGAGGGACCGACCTTCAGCGTGACGTCACAGAGTTCTCCTACTTCATAGAAATGCCTGAGGGAGTTATGGAAGTCCTTCCAGGCCTCATGAGCCTCAAAGACAAAGGAGCCGTCGGGCTCACAGTCTGCCTTCGATGTCCTGCTTACAGGCCGCTTGTCCTTGGGCTTCAGCTGCTTGGCGTGGTCCTGCACCATATCCCCTGGTGCCATAACTGGCTACAGGTCACAACACCTGCGACAGACAGAATCACTTCATCAATGGCTAATCCGTAGAGTTGATAGGAAACAACTATAATTGTGAATTAATTCATTTTTGTCTTTCCTTTTTTTGAAATCATAACAACTGGTTTTAGCCCCTCAGCTGTAATGATTTGGCTTATTTTCTCAGTTATGTTTCTTTGTTTGATATTAATGGATACTGTGATTGATCGATTCTTTTAAAGCAGCATTTATACACAGGGGAGGAAAAATATCGATCTCCTGTATCTGTCCTTTTGACAGCGGAGCTGGAGGACTCCGCTGTCCCTGCAGTAGGTGGAGGTCCGGGTTATCCAGTATGGAAAATAATAATAAAGCATTATTATAGTCGCACGCAAAATTTGCGTTGCCGTCATCTGCACTTGCAAATTGAGCTGAACCGAAACACAGTGCAAATAACATTCTATAAGCGTCAATGGAGGAAACAAAAAGGAAAAAATTAGCGGTGAAAGAAAGTGTTATCCCCTTTCAGTCACTTCCACATTCCTCATTTAGCATAGACAAATCGGAAAACACAAAGCAGGACATCACTTTCCTCCATGCAAACCCAGCGCACCACGCAGAGACTGCCTCGCTATGAAAACCCATAAAGTGTCCTACCTATTGCTGCATCAGATGAAAAATCTCCACAGTTGACATGTCACAAAATAACTGAGAGCAGACCGCCAGAGTCCAAAAGCTCCACCCACACCTTAAGGATGTCTCTCCTTTAAGCTACGTCTCAGAGACTGAATAGACTCAGTGTGTCGGCCCCTCATCACTAGTCCCCCCCGGCTTGATGAGCAAAAGAAACATGAAGTCCCGTCACAGCACAAGAGACCGAAGGCTTTCTCTCCCTCTGCTGGATTTGAGGAGCAGGAAATCATCTTTTAAACCACGTATCGCAAAGACAGATTCAGGAACACTTTCATGGCCTCGAGATGACAACATCGTCGGTTGTATTATTCATGAGGAGTGAGAGAGTCAATAATTTAAGGACAGATGTTATTCCAAAACTCATCTCCACTGAGCACAGACTGAAAAGCTGTATGTGCCAACAGCAACCTCTTTTTTAACATTCACACGTATTTTTATCCATCTATTTATATACCACACACCTGGATCAAAAGGTACACAAAAGATGAGTGTCATGGGGAACACGAGGTTTTAATGCAGATTAATGTGAATGTAAATAGGTGAGTAAAGCTTCTCCTGCAAGCTGAGGCACTATGACCACGTTTTAAAAGAAGGCAGCTTGTGAGAAAAGGTCCAGGATGACTTTCTAGTCAGCAAGAAAAATTGTTTGTGTCAACAGTTGTGTTAATGTCACACAAGCGCTTGTTTTACCAAAAAAAAATACCATAAAATGTTTGTATGTCCAAGACCTTCAAAGCCCATAAACAGTTCAGTATTAAGTAATGTATCTGCAGTCATAACTAACTTTAATCATTCCCAAAATTTACAGTACAGTGACACATGTTACAAATAGTAAAAGAAACTAGCTACAACGATTCTGTAAATATCCCCACAATTTACAGCAAGCTAGTTAGCGTTAGCTAACGTTTGCCTGTTAACGTAAACGATAACTAGCATCTATTCCACACATACCATTAACGCCAAACGCAGAGACACGTGCCAATGCGTCTGATGTACGGTCCAAATACATAACGTTACTTGTACCTGTCATGTAGCTAATTGAATAATATCGGTCAAAAATGTTGACAACCGAAGAGAAAAAAAACAAATCTTCACACGTCAACAGTTTGTTGAGATGAGCTCGCGTTTTGGTAACGTCAGTAATTTTTAAGTTAACCAACGTCGTTTGTGCCGTGTTGGCGACGGTGAAGCGCACGGTGGCGTGTCCCGTTGAAACCGGACCAAACAAAAGGGCACGGCTCCAAAGGACGTTATGAAACGACCTGGACTCATCATCGGATTTACGAGATAAAACGGTTAACTAGCTAGCTTGTTTGCTAACAGCATCTAGCAAGCAGAGTAGCATCCGCGCGAGAGCTAACGTTAGCTGGCAGGGAAACAAACGTATTCAACCGGGGAGTTCTGTGAAAATACGCCACATACAATACGACAAATTACATTGAGTGCGCACTGTCAGTTAACACATATTTAATGTAGATACCTCATGTCGTAGGGTGAATTAAGATGCCGGTTTCATTGAGCGGAATGTTTGGCATTGGCACGTTTGTTGTGATTCCAGGTGCATCATGGGTATTGTAGTTTTAAGGCATTAGCTGAACAACACCTGAAGGAACAAGATGCTTGGAGGAAGCTCGTAATGCCGGTGAAAAGCGACACGTTTTGAAGCTGATCAGAGTGACACCTTGATACGGAGTATCACTTTATTAAATATACTTTAATTTATAGGGATCTAAGCATTGCCACGTGCCAAAGGCAAAAACTATTGATCAAACTATTTCCAAATGAATATACACACAAATAGGATCAAACTCCTTAGGTATGATCAAATAGCCTAATTTTGAAAGGACTGATACAGAAATGTATATAGAAAACAATTAAGAGCATGAAAATATATGCTTATTTATTTTATTAGACATGAAATAGATATACGTGAAAAAATTCCAAATTGGTGTGAAACTTTGGCAATTTTGTATAAACAAAAAACCTGGCACAAAGAAGCGATTAAGGTTAATACGAACACGCTGTCAACTTAAGATAACTAGGGATGTGCAGTCAGATACATGTTGATTTTGTGGTCATCCAACTAACTAAGCCTAAATCTACATCCAACACAGACGCAGTGACACAGTAATTTTGAAAAACTGTTTATTTCAGAGCAGTGTGAATGTATGCAGTTTAACATGAATAAACCAGACTGTTTTTACAGGCTACTTGAAGGATGTACAATAGTATTTGACTGTCACCACAAAGATCATATGACATCATGTCCGTCCCGTCTACTTGTACTGCTTCTTCTTCTTCAGGAGTTGATTCTGTAGAGCAATCTGGAAATCAAAAAAAAAAAATCAGTCGAATTGAAATGCCACTTAACATTAAACGCAGTCAAAATACAGAAGCCATTTCCGACAGGTGAGACTCACCTGTTTCTCTCTGAAGGAGCGTTTGCCTTTGGTGCGGACATTCTGACTGTGTCTCATCATCATGAAGTTCTTTGTCTTTCTCTTCTCCCGGTTGCTGGTGCTGGCGTGTGGGTTCAGCTTGTGATGCTTCTTGACAAAGTCCTTCCGGTCGCTCCGTCCCGCCTGGAAAGTCAAATTCAGTTCAGTAAATTGCTTGAATGATGCAATAAATTACTTCAAAAAACGTTTTTTAAATACTCAAAAGTCCTTTGCCCAGCTAAATATAAATATTACCTTTAATACCCAAGTTCTTTAGTTTTTCTTTGTTACTATGTGACATTCAAGTAGCAAGTAAAACACACAAAAAATTCCGAATGCTAACTATGCTCCCATGAACATGCATCTAATCATCACACTTCAGGCATCATCTAGTGTGCAGACTCGCCCTCTCAGATCCTCCTACTGTTGATTAGGATTTACCATCGCTGTTGCCAGGCGTGTTTCCTTGTCGTCTTTCGGTTTCTTATGCAGTTTCTCAATATTCCTCAAGGTCAGCACCTCCCCTCTGAAGGATTGTGGAGAAAACCAGCAACGTATCTCAGTATGATCTTCTCCCTTTACCCCCACACATTTATGTTTTAAGCGCTTTGTTAGAAGCAGCTTCCTAACCTGCTGTCGTCCTCCTCGTCCAGGTCCACGTTCTTCCTTTTCTGGCCCTTGCCTGGTGCCCCGTTGACCTCTTTGGCCAGCTGGACCAGACGGATCTTCTTGAAGTCGTCTTGAGTGAGCAGCCTGCTGCCGCTCACCGCGGCTGCTTTGGCTTCTCTCTCCTCAACCGGTATATTCTGAAGCTTCTCCGCCTTTTACACACAATCTTACATTAGAACAAAGGTGCCACACACACAAATAAACAGTGAGCGTTTAAATAAGCCATCCTATTTTAGTTCTCACCACTTCTCCCGTTTCCTCATCAGACGAGTGGTGGACATCCACCCACTCCCCGTCGTCATCGCCGCCACTCATACTGGGCGCTCTCCCACCCATCTGGTGGACAATATAATAAAAATGTGACATTGACAACCTCCGCACACACACACACACACACACACACACACACACACACACACACACACACACACACACACACACACACACGCAATAACATAATAAGCTACTCACCTCCGTCTTCCTCTCCCTCTTTGCTCCCCTCCTCCACCTCCAGGATTTCAGCTCCAGGGATGTGATCTTTAGCCTCCAGCTCTCCGTAGTCTTTGATCTTGGCCTCCTTCGATGCTTCTGTGGGTCTCCCCTGGGGAAGAAAAGTGGCACAACCATTTACATTTTGGTAGACAGCAACTTGTAAGCAAATCACAAATACTCACATGTTGAATGCGGAGACATTATTAAATAAGACTGAGTGAAAGCCGTCGCTCACCCTGTCCTTCTTGTGCAGCATCTGTGGGTTAAGACTTCTGAACAGCTGGATCAGTCCTCTGGCAGACATCATCACATCTGAACACAAACACATCACCATGTTGTTCTGGGAGTGACTGTACATAAACATACACGCACAAGTAATCGGGCTAGAAAAACACCCACTCTTGTCTTTGTGCATCTTGTACTGAGCGAGGTCCTGCAGCAAGTCTTCAGTGATGGCGAGCGGACAGCGGGCCGCCACCTCTCTGATGGCATTCACGCTTTATAAAAAAGAAAAAGGTGCCAAGTTAATACTACAGGAGGAAGTAACTTCTGGCACGGCAGCTACAAAGAGACAACATGGGATTTGTACTTCTGGTTCGAACAGGTTTTCCCATCACGTTTTAATCCACGCAAACATTTGACACCTAAAACCAGAAGGGGGAGAAGGCCGCTACTCACCCCACGGTCATGACCTCCCCGGAGTTTCTGTCCGTCACAAAGTTGTTGGCGATAGTCATGATTACAGGTTCGATGATCTGCAGAAGGGGGGGGGGTGAAACGGGTTGTGCAGGAACCTTTATGTTACCGTGTGGACCAACCAGGTGGATCTTAACGTACCTCTGGGGGGACGAGTTGGTGGGACGCCTGGGCGGCACACAGGAGAATCTTAGTCACATCTAGGAAAAGCACCGGCTTGTTAAAAACATCTCGACAGCGGTCAAAACGCTTCAATTCACTTAACTGGGAGGTGTTTTTTTTTGTTACCTCTTTGATGGGGCTGCAGAAACCTCTGAACAAATGGATAGAAATTGAAGAGGAAGAGCTGAAAAAAAAAAAAAAGAGCATTGTGTTTTTATGCTGATCCTGCACATTGTTCATGTTCTGCAAAGGATGCAGACTCGATGAGGAGAGTCACTCACCTCGTGGATTCCAACCAGCCGGGATATGAACTCCATCATCATGATCTTCACCTCAAAGCGCTCCTTCGAGCCTTCCAACTGCTTCAGGAGTTTCTCAGAGAAATCTTTATACAAAAACAGATATTGGACGTGAATTGTTGCAAAAAAGAACCTTGAAGCGCTCTTTGTGCTGCAGAGAGGTGAGACTACCTTGCGGGTCGTGAATGAGGTGAATGGCAGAGAAATTGAACACTTCCGGCTTCTTCTTTTTCTTGTGTTTCTGCCAAAAAAAGAACAAAGAACTTTAAACATTAAATTGAACAAATGGCAGCATAGGAGTTATTAAATAGCAGTAACAAGAGTTGTACCCTGAGGACTTTCATCGCCTTCTCCATCTTCTTCTTGTTTTTGCAGCTTTTCTTGCCAGTGGAGTACCTCACCTTCAGGTCTCTGACTGATGGTCCCTCATCCTGCAAGACAAGACTGATTATTAACAAACACATTTTTATATCTTAAATAGACTGAGACGAAGTGTCACTCAACTACTTTTCATATTTTCTTTTTGGTACTTGCCTCAGAGTCTGAATCGCTGTCATTTTTCTCATCCTCATCTTTGCCCAGAAAGAATTTGAGACCGGCTACAACGATCTGAACAGGAGGAGAGGCGGGTTAGAAGGTAGAGGGCGGCCACCAATGCAACGTAATAAGCAAAGCATTGCTCTCAATGTGAGATGACGTACCTTAGTGACTTTGGAGAAGCACGCTGTTGTAATGACATTTACTGTTTTGGCATCACTCCTGTGACAGAAAACAAAAAGACAATGAGACTAAAGAAGCAAAAAACAAACTGTCTTTTAAAAGGAAGTCCAGTGTAAAAACAAAACCCACCATATGTCTCTTTTGTAAAGCTCCACCATCACGTCTAAGGAGATCTTTGCTGCTATGGGATTACTGTCCCTCAGCATGGTGTACATGAAGTTCTGTAACGTCTGAAACACACAACGTTGTCACACAAGCCGCTTCAAGCTGCCACAGTCAAACACGTGTGTGTGTGTGTGTACTTACTGTGTTAACTTTGTTGTTCTTGTGCTTGGAATTTATGTTTTTGATATCGGCCACGATGTGTGTGTACAGCGTCTGCGGGGAGAGAGCAGCACGTTTTTACTTCTGAAAGGGGTGGAGGGAAACTACAAGAGAGCACGTACACAATGAAACGCGCGAATACAGAAGAAAAGCCTGTCCAACAGTTGTAGATTCATTGTGATAAAAAGGTTACATGACGAGACATGGTAAGCATACATAAAAAAAAAAAACAACTTTCAGTTATAAACAAACTCAACTTTTGCTCAAAAATATTTCTTCAAATAAAAATAAAAACAGTAAGCGCAGACAATATAACAAAAGGGGCTGCAACCAACAATTGTTTCCAATTAATCAGATGTATCGATTGGCCTTTAGAATGGTAGAAAATATAGAAAAATGTCAGTCTCAATTTCTCAAAGTCCAAGTTGAAGGTTTTGCTTCGTCATCCCTCAAACCAAAGTATCAGTATGTTCAGTTTAACATTTCCATATTTGAGAGGCTGAACATTTTTTCCTGCCTTATTAGCATTGAAAAGGGCACGACAAATAATCAAATATCAAAACACTTTGATTATGTGCACAGATAATAGACGATGGAGGGCTGAAGGCAGCGCGCTCACCTTTCTGAGAAGTTTGTCGTGGCATCGCAGCAGCTCAAAGAAAAGCTCCAGGAGGCAAGTGGGGTCGATCAGATTTTTATTCCTCAGGAGAATCAACGCTTTGCAGAAAGTCTGACAAAGAAAAAAACAACAACACACAAACATTCATTTGCATGAATATCAACAGGCTTATTAGATGGAAGTGTCGGCGTGGTAACACACAGACTCACCATTCGTAGGTCCGGCTCGATCATTGTGTGGTGACTCATTAATAAACCGGTCAGCTCTTGTGGAAAGGTGGACAGTGGCTGCGGGTAGCAATGGCCGACCTGCAGGCACAAACATATCTTTAATTACACCACTGGAGTAGTACAACCAAGTACATGTTATCCCCGAATACTCTTTTTATTCCACCGTATGCATCTGCAGCCCCACGGGTGGATAGAAAACACGGTACCTGAGCGAGAAACATGACAAGATCTGCCAGCTCCTTGTTCGGCTTGTCAGGCTGCAGCTTGAAGATCTGCAGGTTGGACTGGTAGTGTCGGAACTGCTGCTGAAACTGTTGGAAGGCACAACGGCATCAAACCGCCAGCGATTAATAACTAGCGGAGAGTCAACCGGTAAGTTGGCTAACGACTTTAGCACGGATGGCTAACAGCACTCACCTCATCCACGTAAGACTGTGGGTCTCTTTTGATAAGGTTCTGCAGTTGTGGCAGATTGTTCGGCAGCTTGTTGTTGTGTCGCCCGGACATGTTTCTAGAGTAAGTTTGCCGGTAAGTTGCGGGGGGGGGGGGGAAGTATAAAAGGGAAGGAATTACAAGACAAGCGTGGCAAATGTGCAGGCTGCCATTTAACTGACGTCACTTCCGGCTACAACGCGTCACTTCTGGTTTTATTAAAGGGTGACTGTTACTTACGAGATTCATAGAACAACACATCTTACTAATCATTTAATGTAGTCATACATTGAAACGATTCCAAGTCACTTTATTTAGGTTTCAGAAGTTCTTACTTTTTTCCACAAAAAAAACAGCAGGAAACAAAAAAAATACGTTTTGTAGTAGACGCTTCATCTTTTAATTATAAATAAGTGGCATCATAAACAAATTGGTGTAACATACAGTAGGTAGGTGGGTGACATTATATTACGTTCCGTTTTAATATTGTGGACTATTAAAGGTCCACTTTCTCTAAAAAAAACAGAAGCTTGACCTTCATTTCTTCCTCCGTCATAAACATCATGGCTGAGTAATAAGATGAGAAACATGGTTTGTTAAGACAAATCCTTTAACTACTGAACATAATGAACATGCCATATTTCAGTTACTTTACATTCCTTATTAATTATAGTTAATGCACATTTTTAAATCACTGGAGAAGAAATTCAGAACTTCATCCCAATTAATCTTCTTTAGAACCATTTATCTGATGTTCTTTTTTCCTCTTTATTTGCAGCTGGTAAGCAAAGGTGGGACACAGTTCCTCCGTTGTCCCGGATATCTTTAGCGTTGAGCTGGTCAGGACTTCAGGCACCGTGGGGACATGACACGTGTGTAAACGTGTGTAGTGTGTAACTCTCACTGTGCAGTCTGCACAACAACCACCAGGAGCCACCGGGTTCTGTGACGAGGAACATCGTGTTCATTAGAACGCGTGGCTGAATGTTTTTTTTACCCTCGACATGGATTGGTGTCAACAGCACTGCATATACAAATTTAATGTGAATTTGTATACGTGTGCATTTGTTATATAATTGTGAACACATCAATCCTTACACGTGTTCACAAGTTGTAGCTTTTCTTCCTAATTTTCAGCATTTTGTCAGCAACCTTGGAAAAGGGGAATCAGGATAAATGGAGTTGAAAAATGAATCACATTTTTCTTGTTGAATAAAACTTCAGTTCACATTACATTTAAAATGTAGGCAGTTTATTTTTCAGGAGATGAATATGTACACTTTTAATTCCATCATTTACCTCAGGCAGTAAGCAATTACTATATAATAGATTTACAAAGCAAATACTGACATAGTATTCTGTCAAGGCATGTTCCAGCATCAAAATAGAATTCAAAATACACAAGTACAATTTTGTTCCACATAAAATATGAAATCATTGTTTCAATTTCATTATTTAAAAATAATCCAAGAATCTGGAGGAAAAAAAAGTAGGTTCTCTTGTTGTTGACAATAACAAACACAATCAGCAGTTCTCAGAAATGCATTGAAAGTGAGTAGCACCCAAGGAGGGAGAGGGAGAGGGAGAGAGGGAGAGGGAGAGAGAGAGAGAACTTGGAAAGCAAACATAAAAATATAGACTTCTTTAAAGGATGTACTCTCAAGGAACTGGATATTTTAGGGCATTTTTAAAAACATGTAGTGTAAATTTGGCAATTTCTGCCTGTGTCAACTCTTCTCCATTTGTGTTTTGCGCAGTGAAACGGTCCCTCAGCCTCTACAGGAGGGCTGCTATCCAGAGATGTTTTCCTCTGCTTGAAGGCATCGGAGCACATAGAGGATCACTTGATAGCAGAAAACATATTGCTCCTGTAAAAAAAAAAAAAAAAAGAAGGAAAATGAACGAAAACAATGGCAAATCAGAACGGTGAAGAATGAAGCTCACTTGATAATGAACTTAAACATTAAAACTCACCTCCGTCTGGATCATTCCCTGTCGCTGAAGTCTCATGTTCCTCACCACATCTGAAAGATCAAACTACAGAAAGTGCTCATTAGATTGTGATCACGATGCACTCAGAAGAAGAAGAAGAACAAAAAAAAAAACCCAGCACGTTAGATGGTCCACTTACATCAGCGTCTTTACTGATGAGCCCCAGAACCACGTCTATACAGATGAGGGTTCCCGATCGGCCGATGCCCGCGCTGCAGTGCGAGACTATTGGCCCCGAGCGGTGCACGTGCCTCATGTAGGAAAGGAACGTGAGCAGCTGCTCGGGCTGCGATGGCGTCCCGTGGTCCGGCCATCCCGTGTAGTTGAGGTGAGTTACTCGCTGGATTTCATTGGTCTGAGGGAGGAAGAGCTCTGAAAGTTAGCGTGTCCGTTTCACAGCGTGGAAACGTAAAAAAAAAGTTTTCTCTTTTCGATTGGTGTGCGAACCAACCTGGACGTCTTTGACCTCGATGAGTCGGATGACAAAGTTGTCGAGATATTGGTCTTTGATCAGCGTGATCTGTAACCTGTCGTCCACCATCTCTGCCGTCCTCGGTGTGTCCGGCCAGTACCGCTGGCATTTCACTTTCCCTCCCTCTACTTCCTGGGTCATCATGGCGATCACGTTGGACTTCTGCTCCCACACCATTTGCCAAAAGTCCCCCAGAGTTGTGGGCAGGGGCCCCTGACAGGCGATGTACATGTAGTTCTCGTCCTTCACTGACATGTTGATGAAGTTGGCATTGATGTAGCCCCCGTCTTTCCCAAGAACAACTCGAGTTGTGTCAACTAGAAGAGATTTTTACATTAAAATTTTTTTTGTCAAAAAGGCCTTTCGGTTTCACTTTACACACGTCACAAATAACACCCTTTGAGACTTTTCTTACATGGAACAATATTCTTGTAGCGGTTCTTCTTCTTGTTCTCCCTCGTCTGACCAATCAAACAGTCGTCCAGCGGCTGGAGATTCTGAAGGTTCTGCCAGGAAGGAAAACAGAAAAAAAAGATGCTCGTAAAAACATGTATTGAAAAGAAACTAATTGAGAAGGCATTGTAGATTCTTACATCAAACTCCTGCAGAGGGACCTTCTGCTCCAGAAGCCCCCTCATCATGCGGACCACCATGTTGAGCTTGGGTCCCGTGTACTGGCCATCGGGGACTACTTTGACGAGGGGCAAAGAGGTCAGCTCGTCCTCTGTGATGATTGGCCCGTCTTTAACAGGGGGAGGGGCAGAAGAATTACTAAGCAGATAAAGAATTACCAACATAATTCCAGATTACAAAAGTAATATCCCCCCAAAACTGTCAGTAAAGACAAATATGAACTGCAAAACATAATGCGAATGTTTGACCCGTTAACTCAAATCGTGGTCGCTCTAACCATCTCTTGATTTGGAGTTTATGTTTTCAATCGGCAGTTCGTCACTTCCCCATGTGATTTCATCTTCCTCTGGCTGTCCAGCACTCATTTGCAGATAGCTGTTGATTTAAAAAACAACCATTCAGATGTCTATTAATAAATTCAGTTAGTCAGTTCAGTCAGTTTAGTGTAAACCCTAAAAGCAAAATCGTACTTTTCATTCCTCGGATCGTCAACGTGGTCCTCTTGCCACTCCACTTTTCGGGAACTCTGTATAGAAAGAAAAAAAGATATATATTTAATTTAAGCTGCATATAGCATCAATGTTTCTTCAAGTAGGGTGGATCGGAGTTGTACCTCAGGGGAATCTTCAGGTAAAGAAGAGCCATCACAGTCGGTGTCCTCTGAAAGCTCTGCGCTGCGCTCCGCCTCTCTCTTGTGTCCGAGTGGATCGTCTTCATAGTCTGTGAAACAAGAAAACGTAGTTGAGTTATCTTGTTTATCTAGGAATAAAAATGATAATTAATTGCAAAGAGTTCCACTGAGATGCGTGCTTTCACCTATCGGTGGTATGGGAGGGCATCCGCCAGCTTTCAGCTCGTCGTGGAGAGTAAACGGCTTAGTCTTCGCTCCGCTGTGCTCGCTCAGATCTGAAAGCCACATGAAGGAGAGTGGTGTATGTGCAGAGAGAAAAGGTTGGATTAATAATAATTACGACTAATAATGAAAAGGCCTGGCGGCTCTGTGCTTGCTTGTACCTGTGTTTCCATTGCACCGGTCTGAGTTGATGGGCAGATAGGCTAGGTATGTGCTTGGGTTCTGGTCCGGCGGTCTGGACACTATGAGATGCACCAGGCCTTGAGCTTTACGGATGGTGGTGACCGCTTTGGTATGGGACACGCCCGTCATCAGCTCCTCATTCACCTGCAGGAAAAATCACAATCTTTGACACACGTGCGGAAGAACAAAGCAAGGCAACACTAAAGAACTAATGTTCAGAGGACAAAACGTTTGAGGTATTTGTTATTTTGTTAATTTAAAGTTCATAGTGGGAGCAGAAGTATATCAATTAAATCTTGATTACCAAAAGTACATATTTTAAAACAACCTTAAATTCTAACCAAATGTGACTCACTTTCAGCAGCCTGTCCCCGACTTGCAGTTTGCCCGAGGACTCTGCTATTCCTCCCGGTGTGATGGACTTGACAAAGATCCCCCTTTCCCCTCCAATGACAGAGAAACCCAGACCTCCGGACGGCATCTTCTCCAGATCCAGAGTCATGAGCTCCTCCTGCATATTTAAAAAAATACACTTTTAATCATTTGTTTATCTCTTACCAAAACTTGTCTGTAGTAGACAGTTTGGTAGAAGTGGCTTCACAATGTTATTGTAATTTATATACAAAGTACATCACATTTCTAAACTTACCTCTAAAGGACAAAGTGCTACTAGATTCTCTTTATCTTTTAGATCTTCACCTTTAAGAAACCCTTAAAACAGAAAAGAAAGTTGCAATTACCTGAAAAATAGTATACGCAAATCAGCATTATTTCTTTTATGCATCAGAAACATACCATTCATGCTGGATGAAACATTGTTGTTAAAAGAAGAGACACTTTTCTGCACAGCAGAAACAGGCTTTCCATCCCTTTGAGAAAACAAACAAACAGATAATGTAAAAAAAACAAAAAAACATCTTCACATCAAAGCCTTAGACAGACACAGCAGGATAAATCCCACAAGGCTACACATGTCATTCTTTCAGAGACTACCTCGTGGCTTTGAGTGTGAGGTCGTCGAGGGACAGGTCCATCAGC